AGGGTGGATTTGATTTAAATCGAGTTGATTTAAATCACGATTTAAATCACGATTTAAATCGCTAGTAAAAAGGCTTGATTTAAATCCACTCGATTTAAATCATAGTTTTTGAAGAGCAACTGTCATCTCTGCTACTCCTTTGACCCGCCGTTGACTCATCGATAGTCCCAGTGTTGCAGAATATACAGCCTCCTCCTGCTACAGAACTAAGCTCCATTTCATGCTGAATAAACTAAATTATTTATGTATCTTAAATAGAAAACCATCTTACGATAGATTTTTACCCCAAAAGTTTTTTATTAAAATAAATTCGATAAAAATAAAAAAAAATCCCATTTAAATCAAAAAGATCCGATTTAAATCAAAAAAGTTTTTTATTAAAATAAATTCAATAAAAAATTAAAAAAATCCCATTTAAATCAAAAAGATCCGATTTAAATAAATAAAAAAATGATTTTTTAAAATTTTTTTTAAAAAAATCATTGATTTTTATCCACCCTGGGGCCAATGGTCTACGGCAGTGATGGCTAACCTTTTCCGTACCAAGTGCCCAGCGTGTGCGAGTCCGTGTCCCCGAACCCCCCCAAATGCAATGCACACGTAGCCCCCGTGCCTGCACCCTACCCCCATGCATGCGTGCACACACCACGCATTGCCCCCTTGCATCTGCATCCCCCGCATACACCTTCCACGCATGCGTGCCCCCCCCTTACACGCACCTAGCCCTCCGCGGATGAGCGGCAGAGACCCGAAGACCAGCTGGTCAGCGGGAGGCACGCGCATACGTGGTGGAGCTGAACTGAAGTGATGGCTCATGTGCCCACAGAGAGGGCACTGCATGCCACCTCTGGCACACATGCCATAGGTTCACCATTATGAATCTACAGCATTGGTGTCCAGCCTTGCCAGCTTTAAAACTTGTGGACTTCAACTCCCAGAATTCCCCAGCGGCATGAATTCTGGGAGCTGGAGTCTACAGGTCTTAAAATTACCCAGGTTGGATACTCTGGTCTAGAGCAGTGTTCCCAAACTTGGCTATTTTTAAGATGCATGGACTTCAATTCCCAGAATTCCCCAACCAGTATGCCTGGTTGAAAATTCTGGGAGTTGAAGTCCATACATCTTCAAAGGATCAAGTTTGGGAAACACTGGTCTAGAGGATGAGTTAGGGACAAAGGATTACCAAGGAACAAGATTTGGGGGGGAGACAGAAAAGGAATTCCAGTACTTGCTTCATTTTTCTTTTTTGTTTTGTTTATGGGTAGAAAAAAAGCAGCTAGAATCAATGTTTTTTAACAAAAGATGTGCAGGAAAGAAATGTTTGTCGTTGACTGATGCTTAAGGAGATATAAACGAATTCAGCTCTGGCGAAGAGGAAAATAATTGAAATAATAATAATAATAATAATAAGAAAGGAGCCTGAGTGGCGTAGGAGGCTAATGCCTCCTACGAAAGGAAGCATTTAACATCCAGCTGCCTGCAATTACTGCGAGTTCAAATCTCACCAGGCTCAAGGTCGACTCAGCCTTCCATCCTTTCTAAGGTGGGTAAAATGAGGACCCGGTTTGTGGGGGCAATAAGCTGACTTTGTATAAAATATACAAAAGGATGAAGGCGATTGCTTAACGCATTGTAAGCTGCCCTGAGTCTCCGGAGAAGGGCGGCATATAAAAAAAATAATAATAATTGTGATTCTTTCTTGTATTGGAATCTCCCACCATCGTTTTAAAAAAAAAAATAGGGTGATTTGGTTTAAATTGGCAGTTTTTAATAAACGTTCCCTCTGCATTCCCATTTTAAGATCTCTTTTAAGGACAGCCACTTGTCCAGAATGGTATAGGTATAGCTTTGATGGCTAAGGAATTCTGGGAGTTGAAGTCCACAAGCCTTAAAGTTTGGCAAGGTTGGAGACCCCTGGTATAGAGTCTCCTGCTGGAGCAAAGGAGTTGGACTAGAAGACCTCAAAGATCCCTTCCAAAACTCTGTTATTTTATTATTAACATATTCCCAACTGGTTGTGGTCACGCTTAAAAGTGGTTTGAAAACAAATGCAGTAGAGCTTTGAAACAATTATTCAGAATTACTGACTAGACAATTCCCATTTTTTGGCCCACAGTGCAAAACCTATTCATTTGCCTGTGGCAGAGAGGGGCATTGTTAAAATTGATAGGTGTTGTGTTGTTGTTTTTTTAACTTGGTTTCCTGTATATATATATATATCTACACAAAATGCTAAGCTTGCTTCACTTCCTTGAAGATAAAGGCAGAGCTGATTTTTCTGTTAGGAAGGCTGGTCACTGGAGAAATGTTTTGGCCCCGTTTTGAGATTATCAATGGCAACAGTGTTTATTTCCTATCATAAACATTCGAAATTTGCTACTGTAATAAGTGTACCAGTTGCAAGCTACAGGCGATAAAAGATAAATATTTTCCTGTGTCTTGGGTGAATTAAAAAAAAAAAAAAACATCCCAGAAATTTAGAACTAAATTTAGAACTAAGGAGAAATTTCCTGACCGTTAGAACAATTCATCCATGGAAGAACTTGCCTCCAGAAGTTGTGAATGCTCCAACACTGGAAGTTTTTAAGAAGAGATCAGACAACCATTTGTCTGAAATGGTGTAGGGTTTCCTGCCTAAGCAGGGGGTTGGACTAGAAGACCTCCAAGGTCCCTTCCAACTTCTATTCTATTCTATTCTATTCTATTCTATTCTATTCTATTCTATTTCTATTTCTATTTCTATTTCTATTTCTATTTCTATTCTATTCTATTCTATTTTCTATTCTACTCTACTCTACTCTACTCTACTCTACTCTACTCTACTCTACTCTACTCTAAATGTACATGTTAATATTGTTGGTTTTAATAGGAGAAATTAAATCACCCTTTTGACTAAATGAGAGAATTCCTTTTAAATCTATCCCAGCTCTAATTGGTGCAGCTTATTCCAATGTTCTGTACCTTGTTAGTTAACTTGGAACAATCAGGTGGCTTGTGGGACCGGAACTATTCAGGTAGTCCTCCACTTATGACCACAGATTTCCGTTGCTAAGCGAGACAGTTGTTAAGTGAGTTTCGCCCCATTTTACCACCTTTCTTGCCACCGTTGTTAAGTGAATCCCTACAATGCTTAAGTCGGTAACACGTATGTTAAGCGAAACTGGCTTCCCCGTTGATTTTGCTCGTTGGAAGGGTCGCAAAGGGGAATCACGTGACCCCAGGACACTGCAACCGTCGTAAATACGGGTCAATTGCTAAGCATCTGGATTTTGATCACGTGACTGTGGGGAGGCTGCAACGGTCCTAAAGTGTGAAAAAACAGTCGTAAGTCGCTTTTCCCAATGCCAGGATAACTTCAAACGGTCACTAAACCAACTGCTGTAAGTCAAGGATTAAATGGTGATTTTATCGGGATGCTAACTTGCATTTTGGGATGCAAGTTGGCCGGTATTGTGAGCGTCCGATTCGGCTGCGTGGAGAGAACCTTTGGCTGCCCTGCTTGTCCAGACAAGATTTGTATCTGTAGCTCTTTTCCGAAGTGGGCTCAAGAGAGGGCAACAGCTGTAACAAACAGCTGACATCACAGAAGCAAGTCGTAATCCTCCATTAAATATATTTGGGCTGATGGGCCTCACTGGATAATTGACTTTTCAGCCGGAATTGCTGGCTCAAATAAAACCAGCAGGCTTGAAAAGGCAACCTGTGCCATTCAAAAGATTTGGGTTGGGGGGCGGGAGGGTGTTTGCCATCCCTGAGCTATTCATCTTGCTAATTCCATGTGTGTGTCAGTGCCAGATGACACTAAACTGCAGGCATTAAAGTGGCTCTAATTTAAAAAAAAAACAAAAAACCTGTTTTTGCTTGGAGATCGCTCCCTGAATTCAGCAGCTTTTCGTCCGATTTTTAAGATCCTGTGTGCTTACCACCAGATCGGTGTTTCTCAACCTTGGTAGCTTGAAGATGGGTGGACTTCAACTCCCAGATTGGCTGGGGGATTCTGGGAGTTGAAGTCCACCCATCTTCAAGCTTCCAAGGTTGAGAAACACTGCACCAGATGGTGTACACGCGTCCCCTGGCTGGATAACCATTTGTCTGAAGTGGTGTAGGGTTTTCTGCCTAAGGGGGGTTGGACTGGAAGACCTCGAAGGTCCCTTCCAACTCTGTTATTCTATTTTTGGGGGGAGGGGAACCGAGAAAGTCTTGTTGCCATTTGGAAAGCACCGTTGGGACAACCATGATCTGGATGATTGAGAATAGCAGTAGCACTTACATACCGCTTTACAATGCTTTACAGCCTTCTCTAAGCGGTTTACAGAGTCAGCCTCTTGCCCCCAACAATCTGGGTCCTCATTTTACCCATCTCGGAAGGATCGAAGGCTGAGTCAACCTTGAGCCGGTCAGGATCGAACTGCTGGCAATGGGGCAGAGTTAGTCTGCAATACTGCATTCTAACCACTGAAAAGGAAGGGAGGGAGGGAGGAAGGAAGGAAGGAAGGAAGGAATAAATAGCACTTAGACTTATATACCACTTCACAGTCCTTTACAGCCTTCTCTAAGCGGTTTACAGAGTCAGCCTCTTGCCCCCAACAATCTGGGTCCTCATTTTACCCACCTCGGAAGGATCGAAGGCTGAGTCAACCTTGAGCCGGTCAGGATTGAACTGCTGGCAATGGGGCAGAGTTAGTCTGCAATACTGCATTCTGGGAGGGTCGGGAAGGGAGGGAGGGAGGGAGGAAGGAAGGAGGGAGGGAGGAAGGAAGGAAGGAAGGAAGGGAAGGAAGGAAGGAAGGAAGGAAGGAAGGAAGGAAGGTAGCAACAGCACTTAGACTTATATACCGCTTCACAGTCCTTTCCAGCCTTCTCTAAGCGGTTTACAGAGTCAGCCTCTTGCCCCCAACAATCTGGGTCCTCGTTTGACCGACCTCGGAAGGATGGAATCTCCATAGAGACCTGCTCTTTTCGTTTAATGGCTGTCTGTTTCTGGTTTTCTTCCTCTTCAGAACGGGAACCTAACTTGGAGCGAAGAAGCCGACAGTAGCAGAGGGAGAGAGGTGTCCCGCGACTTTGCCAAGGTCAGTGCAACAACCTAACCTTGATTCTTTGTTTGCGTCTAGGGTAGAAACGACGCCCGAGCCGTTTTCAGCAAAAGAAACCTTGCTATTTTTTATTTTTTTTTTTAAATTTGATTTATATGCCGCCTTTCTCCGGAGACTCAGGGCGGCTTACAATGCGTTAAGCAATAGCCTTCATCCTTTTGTATATTTATACAAAGTCAGCTTATTGCCCCCACAATCCGGGTCCTCATTTCACCTACCTTAGAAAGGATGGAAGGCTGAGTCAGCGTTGAGCCTGGTGGGATTTGAACTTGCAGTAATTCCAAGCAGCTGTGTTAATAACAGGGTGCACTAAACCCCTGTACTATCAAGGCTCTTGAAAATCTCTATCATGAAAACTCTTACCGCTTGGGCTGACTCTGCAACCTGAAGGGGGTTTGAAAGAAAAAAAAAAAGAAGCTTTCCAGCAGAGTAACATGATCCTTTGACAAAGGAGACGGTTTGGATTCCTTCCGAATCAGCTTCTGTAGATCTCTTGATCTGGCTGGGCTAATCATCCCTTATCTAGAATTTCTTGGGTTAGGTAATTTTTAGTACCTCTGAATCATAATCCACAGGCTTCAAATCCACAGTGGTTGATTTAGTAAAATGAAGCTTTGTAGTGGTGAAGGGTAGCCCATTAGTCAGGGGTGGGCTTCAAAAATTTTAGCAAGGGGTTCTCTGCCCGGTTGCTGGGTGGGCGTGGCCTAGTCAGCCTCTTGCAGCACGGTGGGGGGGGGCAGCGTTTTTGCCCTCCCCAGGCTCCGGAGGCTTTTCTCGAGCCTCTGGGAGGGTGAAAACGGCCTCCCCAGGCTCCGGAGGCCCTCTGGAGGCCAGAAAGGGCCCATTTCCAGCCTTCCCGAACTTCCAGTAGGCCCATTTTTCGCCCTCCCCGAGCCTCCGTGTGCGCCCTGCACTTACCTGCATCCAAAACGGGCCGCGTGGGGACTCCTGGGAGGGGAGGGGCGGAGTGGGCGGGGCCAGCCAGGAGTGGGATTTGGAGGTTCTCCGAACTGCACAGAATCTTAGCTAGAGGTTCTCCCGAACCCCTGCGAACCCCCAGCAGCCCATCCCTGCCCTTAGTCTTTGATAGGTTAGCCTCGGATTATTTAGGAAAGTGTTTCTCAATCTTGGCCATTTTTAAGATGTGTGGACTTCTAACTCCCAGAATGGGGAATTCTGGGAGTTGAAGTCCATGCATCTTACAGTGGCAAACACCAGTGTAAAACACTGGTTTATGACATTTGTTTTCTTTCTTGCCACCTCCTCCTCCTCCTCCTCCAATCCCCACATCCATTTCAGAAAATTGATACCTGCCACCACATTAGCCTCCAAGGACTTGGTTTCCAGATCCATATAATCAGTGACTGGAATGGGAATCTGCCTGCATCACCAACCTGATTCCCTCCCCCGCCCCCCCCCGCCCCCCAAGGCTGCATTGAACAGGAGCTTCAAATCTTTTTTTAAGATTTGGGAGTGGGGGGGCGGACTTCCAATCTGAATTGTGGTTTTCCACCCGCTGAATATGCCTGTGAAATCTTGTTTCCCTTTCTACACTCTCGGGCGAAGTTAAAATTGTGCTTGCTTCGTCTTCCACAGTTGTATGAATTGGATAGTGACCCCGAACGGAAGAAATTCCTGGACGATCTCTTCATTTTTATGCACAAGAGGGGTAAGTGGTGTTTAGGGGGAAATGGCTCAGTGGCTAAGACGTTGAGCTTGTCGATCGAAAGGTTGGCAGTTCAGTGGTTCGAATCCCTAGTGCCGCGTAACGGGGGGAGCTCCCGTGACTTGTCCCACCTTCTGCCAACCTAGCAGTTCGAAAGCACATAAAAAATGCAAGTAGAAAAATAGGGACCACCTTTGGTGGGAAGGGAATAGTGTTCCGTGCGCTTTTGGCATTGAGTAATGCCGGCCACATGACCACGGAGACGTCTTCTTCGGACAGCGCTGGCTCTTCGGCTTTGAAACGGAGATGAGCACTGCCCCCTAGACTCGGGAACGACTAGCATGTATGTGCGAGGGGAACCTTTACCTTTAAGGGAACTAAACATGTGAGTGCTTGTTCTGTATGCTGGAATTAGAAACCATGCCCATAAAATCCAACCGGCTTGGTGACCTGATCTATGTAGGGTTTTACAACTATATGGAAGTTGCTCTCTGTTCTGGGATGGCTTTCAATTTTCCAATCCAGCTGACAGCCTCAGAATTTCGAAGTGGTTCTATTCAAGGACGAAGACATCCTGTTCCTTCTTAGGATCCAGGCGTCAAGATCGTCCTTGATAGAAACATTGCCACAATCAGGTCAATTTTAAGTCCCACCGAAGGCTGAACACAAAGCATTAAAGGTTGTGAAGGCAGCTGAGACGCCTTTGAACGGCCTGCCTATCTGTCTTTCAAACTCCTCCGTCTTTGAACTAAAAATGGATTTTAAAAAAATCAATCCAGTCTCCTTGATTGTTTAAAAAAAAAAAAATCCCAATCTTCAGGAGAGAGAAAGCTTTGATGTAGCTGGAATACTCGCAGGCAGGCCACTTTTATCATAAAAAGAAACTCTATATGGTGTTTCTGCTTTTACTTTGCTTGGATGCTTCCTTGTGATAACTCACAAGAGCTAAGACAAAGACAAAATTAATTCTACTTCATATAAGTACCGTGTTTCCCCGAAAATAAGACCCGGTCTTTTATATATATATATATATATATAAATACATACATACATACATAGACACTTCCAATTTTACGTGGGAGAAGACCCGAATAACCAAAGACCTACACATACATACATACATACATACATACATACATACATACATATATTAATTTTTAAACAAACATACATAAAAACATAAAGCCATCTTCAACTACACACAGTGTGTTGTTTGGTTACAAGTCTTTTGTGCGTCTTCACCATATTCATAGCTTACAGTTTACCTAAATTCTCATATTATCAATCTAATATATATCTATGTATTATTGTTCTCATTAATCATTTATTTGACTATAGCTATTCTTCCCTCATTTTGTGTAAAATATTCTAAGACTTGAGTTAATTTATATTATAACATTCATTTCATCATCCTAAATCGATCCAATAATAATACATCTTTATGTTATATTTTATATAATTCTGCAATTCTTGTATTATAAAAATCACTCTCATATTTCATTTCCATATTTTTTTATCTACCCTGTCTTATATATATATATATATATATAGAACTCCGAAATAAGTGCTTGGCCTTATTTTCAGGGAGGTCTTATTATTTTGGGGCCCGTGGAGCAAGACGGGGCTCCTCTTGCCGTTTTACGTGAATTTCGTTGTATGGGTATACTGTCTATACAATGAGACTTTGCTGTTGGCCAAGGTTGTACATGACCTCGGTTTTCCCAGATGGCTTCTTCTTCTTACATTGGATGGGCCTTTACATAGAAGGGGCTTTGTGAGCCCTGGCCGAATGGCTTCCTGCTGTTGTGTATCTTATCTGCTTCTTTTCAGATGTGGGAAAAACTCCGGAGCAAATACTAATATGGCTAACACCGTTTGCTGGGGGTGTGGGGGGGGCGGTTTATCTCCAGCCAGCAGTGGCCCTAATCAAAGTATCTGGCAAATCCCCTTAAAACCTCCCCGGTCCTTTTCGTTTGCTGCCTTCCCACTGACCTAAATCTAATTAAGTTACAAGCATTTGAGTTTAGCCACCGATGACGCCTTTGAGCCAGCCGAACAACACTCCTCCTCCTTCCGCCTCCTCTTTCTTATTCCTCCTCTTTCTCCTCCTCCTCCTCTTCTTCCTCCTCCTCTTCTTCTTCTATGCCGCCTCCTCCTCCTCTGAACAAATAATGTTCTAAGCTGCTTCTTCTTCTTCTTCTTCTTCTTCTTCTTCTTCTTCTTCTTCTTCTTCTTCTTCTTCTTCTTCTTCTTCTTCTTTTCTTCTTCTTCTTTTCTTCTTCTTCTTCTTCTTCTTCTTCTTCTTCTTCTTCTTCTTCTTCTTCTTCTTCTTCTTTCCTTCTCCTCCTCCTCTCCCCCCTCATTTTTACTTCAGATTTCACCGGGGGTCAGGGAGGTGAGAACCCCAGCAGTAGCCGAGCTGTTGAACATCTGGTAAGAGATGTTGAAAGAGAGCAAAATATATTAAACCCAGCTGGACAAGAGTGTTGTCAAGCAACGGAATCCTTCTGAGACTTAAGATATCCAGGAGCCACTTCTACTTAGACTTGCCCAGAAGCTCCATGGGGCAGCAAATAGGTTTAGCAGCAATATCTGGGGTGGGAGGGGAGTCCAGGTGAGGTCAGTAGGTGTCAGTTAAGGCTGCCTTCAACTTGGCAACCAGGTTCCGAATATAGCTGTGCTCTATCTGTCAGCCTGGCCAGAACTCGATGCGTTTCCATAGGTGTCGATTAAAACTCGAGGCCTCTTGTCAAATAAGGCATGATTGATTACTTTCCTTTCCTGCTTTGGAAACCAGGCGTGATGATCTGCAGGCTTGTGAAATCAGATAACTCAGCACTGCTTCTGAGGGTGCACTTACTTGTTTTCAAGGGCAGAGCTGGCATCCTTTCATGGGAACAGAGAACCTAGAGGCAGGCAACATTTCTTCATGACTGGTGCCTTCAAATGCCTTCTTTCCTTCCTTCCTTCCTTCCTTCCTTCCTTCCTTCCTTCCTTCCTTCCTTCCTTCCTTCCTCCCTCCCTCCCTCCCTCCCTCCCTCCCTCCCTCCCTCCCTTCCACCCTTCTTTCCTTCCTTCTTCCTTCCTTCCTTCCTTCCTTCTTTCCTCCCTTCCTTCCACTCTTCCTTCCTTCCTTCCTTCCTCCCACCCTTCCTTCCTTCTTTCCTCCCTTCCACCCTTCTTTCCTTCCTTCCTTCCTTCCTTCTTTCCTTCCTTCCACCCTTCCTTCCTTCCTTCCACCCTTCCTTCCTTCTTTCCACCCTTCCTTCCACCCTTCCTTCCTCCCTCCCTTCCTTCCTTCCTTCCTTCCTTCCTTCCTTCCTTCCTTCCTTCCTTCCTTCCTCCCTTCCACCCTTCTTTCCTTCCTTCTTCCTTCCTTCCTTCCTTCCTTCTTTCCTCCCTTCCTTCCATCCTTCCTTCCTTCCTTCCTTCCTTCCTTCCTTCCTTCCTTCCTCCCACCCTTCCTTCCTTCTTTCCACCCTTCCTTCCTTCCTTCCTTCCTTCCTTCCTTCCTTCCAAAGTTGTGAGTGCTCCATTACTGGAGGTTTTTAAGAAGAGACTGGACAGCCATTTGTCCAAAAAACCCAATAGCAATAGCCCTTAGACTTATATACCGCTTCACAGTGCTTCACAGCCCTCTCTTAAGCGGTTTACAGAATCAGCCTATTGCTCCCAACAACCTAAACATCCACACAGCAGGCCAGGTAATGCTGTCCAACAGGTCACTGATGGTGGCCCTTTAGTTCATGGTTGAGTGCAATTATAGCTCTGGAATAAAAACTATTCAGAAGATGTGTGGTCCGAGTTTTCATGGTTCTGTATCTTCCGCCAGAAGGCAACAGTCCAAAAAGATTGTAAGCAGGATGGGGAGAGTCTCTGAGAATGTTACGCAACTTCCTCAAATAGCGAGATTCGAAGATGTCGTCCAGGGCTGGTAGCTGGAGTCCGATGATATTCTGGGCAGTTTTAATGATTCTCTGTAGAGCTTTTTTGTCCGCTACAGAGCTGCTCCCATACCATGCAAGAATGCCGTATGTCAGGACACTCTCAATGGTGCTGCGATAGTAGGACAGAAGTAGATGCTGAGATAGATTTATCTTCCTGAGCATTCTCAAGCATTCTAAAGATGTCCAGTTGGTGAATGCTGAGCTAACACTGAGGGGTGCTCCAAGTATTCACAATTTGAGAAAAAAACAAATTAGTGTTTTTCTTTAGTTTTACTTAACCCCAAGGATGTCATTTTAGTTTATTTTAGATATATATATTTATTTTTTGGAGAGAGAGAGAGAGAGAACAACAGCCGTTTTCGTGGTTCTGGGCTGCAAAACGCGGACGATTCAAGCCATTCTTTGTTTAAAAGCCGCTTTCTTCTGAAGTCTTCGGGCGACTGTTGTTTCTGGTGCCTTAAAAACCCGGTCTGATTTCGATTACCCACATAGCTTGGGATCGGGTGGCAACGGGGCCGGAGGGGAGGGGAGGGGCAGGTCCAGCAGCGGAATGGGACGTCCAGATGGCATCCCAGGGCGAAGGAGGTGGCTGACCTCTCCTCTAACCAAACTTTTGGACTTTTTGCAGAGTTTGCAAACTCAGAGGTCCCCAACGGCAGGTTTTGGAAATGGGGAACGAGAGGAAAAACTCTGGAAAGTACAGTAAAAAATAAAAAAGAAGAAGGAAAAAAAAACCCAGGCCTTCTATCAAACCAGCAACAAGTCTTAACGCCTTGGCTGTGGTCGCTGACCTTTCCCGCTGGAATTCTCCCCTCTGACCCGCAGATCATTAATCCCCACCCTGCCAGATGACACTCATCCATCATGAGCTCTTGACAGGCCTTGCGGCCAGCTGTGAAAAGATCGGCTCGGCCTCCTCCCATCCCCAGATACTCATTTTTTTTCAGCTTTCCCCCGTTTTCAGCACCAGGGGCTTCCAGGAACAACTTATCATCAGTCCCTTCCGACCAGGAGGCTGTTGCACGCGGGGGTGGGCGCCTGGGCCTGGAAAGGGGGGCACCCCATACGGGGGGGGGCTTTCCACACTTACCGCGTGTGTATGCACACGTGTTTATTTCTCCTCCCCTTCGCTTGGGAAAGGCTCTTGAGGGTCCAGACTTCCCCCAGAATGGGAAGAAGGCAAACCCGTCTTCCCGGCCTCGCCTTTTTCTCGCCTTATTTTTATTTTAATAAAAATTAAAAATAAAAAGTCTTATTTTAAAATAAAAAAGAAAGAGAGAGAGGATAGGAACATATTTTCATTCGGTTCTTCAGGGAGTCTCTCCGTTCAGCCTGGGTTATAAACTTTAAATGAGCTTAAAAAATCCAAGTTGAATTTTTTAAATTGTAAGCATTTCGAACAGCAGCAATAAAATTGTCCCTTAAAGCGGGTGTCAGCAACCTGCGGCTCTGGAGCCTCATGCGGCTCTTTGGGCCCTCTGCTGTGGCTCCCTGTCAGGTGATCCCACCACTGGCTGGCCCCGCCCCTCGCCCTCCCCTCCCAGTCACTCTTCGCCTGGCCTGAGAAGGTAAGGGCAACGGCGGTGGATGGAGAAGCGGCCAGGGCAAAGAGAGAGAGATACAGAGAGGGAGGGAGGGAGGGAGATGTCAAAAGGGTTTTGTGGTTCCCAGTGCTTTTTAACAACCGGTTCTCTGCCCTAATGACTGACTGGGTAGGCGTGGCTAGGGGGGGTGTCATGTGACTGGTGGAAGTGAGTGACATGGAGTTGGCCACGCCCACCCAGGTTTTGTGACTCCCTGTATTTTCTTTTCTGTGGGAAACTGATCCAAATGGCTCTTTGAGTGTTTAAGGTTGCTTAAAACAGCCTTCCCCACCCCCCACCCCTGGAGACCCTCCGGAAGCCGGAAACAGCCCGTTTCCCGACTTCCAGTTGGCCCGGAATGCCTGAAAATCAGCTGGCCGACGCACACATGCGCGCCTGAGCTGAACTAGGGCAATGCTCGTGAGTCCACAAATACAGCTCCGCGTGCCACTGGTTCACCATCACGGTCCTAGAGGTGAGAACAGGAGCACTGAAGCTTTCGTTCATAATTCAGACACATGTTAATCTGTCAAGCTTTCAGACATTAAAAGTGGTGAAAAGCATAACAAATTCTAGAGACGAATAAAACTCTAACTTTCTTATCTCAAGCAGAGCCTTCTGCTTTGGACCTTGAGCCCAACTTACAGGAAATCTGTTTTTATGGGCAAGATCTCTCAAGTTTGGCGTTTTCTCACCCTTTCCGGTCAAGCTGGCTCTTATCTGTGGCATTTCCTATTTTTCTTTGCAGAGAACGTCTTTCATTGGCTAGATTGGTTTATTAAACGCTAACACAATACCAAAGCTTCAACATAAAAATCTACTTTACTGCTCGAAGAATGGCTTCCAGAGGGAAGCATATCTCGGGGAAGACGATAGGCGTTTCGATCAAATCTTCTCATTTATTCTGTTTTGTTTTTTAAAAAGTTTTTATTTATTTTACAAACATATCAATGCGTGAACAGTGTGGCGCCTGGGTGTCACACATTCTAATACAAATAAAACTAAAAGCATTAGTCACAGTTATTATTTTCAATCCAACTTATAGATTTCTAATAGTAATACATGTTTCTATAAAGTTGCAATCTATCCTTATTCAATTATGCCACGTTTTCTCTTATTATTACTCTTATTATATTCTAATACAAATCACACTAATAGCATTAGTCATAATTATTACTTTCAATCCAATTTATATATTTCTAGTATTGATACATATTTATATAAAGTTGCAGTCTTTCCTTATTCAATTATTCCACGTTATTTTGTACCAAGGATGAAAACAGGAGATGGGTGCCTTAAGAGTTTGATCAATGTGTACACTAGTGCTAGTGAAAGAGGAAAGGACAATCTTTGAGTTGTCAAGGATTGTTTCAGACCAAAGTGAGGGGCAGGTCAGGGGTCAGCTGTTAGTGTTCTGTCATTTCATGCTGGCTCCACCTAGGGAATGCTGGGAATTGAAGTCCACCCATCTTAACGTTCCCAAGATGAAGAAGCGATGGTTTTTTTTTTTTTTTGTTTTTTTTTAGAACAAGGGTCTCCAAGCTTGCCAACTTTAAGACTTTTGGACTTCAATCCCCAGCATTCCTGGGCTTGGGAACTCTGGGAGTTGAAGTCCACAAGTCTTAAAGTTGCCAAGCTTGGAGACTCCTCATCTAGAAGGTACTGTTTTGATAACTGGGGCGGAAAGAAACAAAGACGAGGAATACATTTGGATGATGCTTCCTTAGATTTGCCTTGAATAAAAGTCGTGAAGGTTAAAGGGATCGAGTCTAAAGTCCCGGTGGAAATTACCTCCTTTCGTGGAAGGAAATGAAACGCTCTGCGTGGGATGTAGAAGGTAGAAGGTCTCCTGCTAATGTTTTTGTCTTTTTTTATTCTTTCTCTTCCCTCCGACGCTGTCGTTCAGGGACACCCATCAACCGCATCCCGATCATGGCCAAGCAGATCCTGGACCTCTACATGCTCTACAAGCTGGTGACCGAGAAAGGAGGCTTGGTGGAGATCATCAACAAGAAAATCTGGAGGGAGATCACCAAAGGCCTTAACCTCCCCACCTCCATCACCAGTGCAGCATTTACACTTCGCACCCAGTAAGTGCTGGCGGGGCTGGGGATGATCGGCATTCCAGGAAGAAGAGTCGGTCCCATCTGGGAGTTGAACTCCATAAGTCTTAAAGTTGCCTAGGTGGGACACCCCTGTCCTAAAGTTTTTATGTAGTACTTGCTTTAATGTAGTGTCTGACCTGCTTACCTTCAGCCCAGGATATTAAAGCACCCTCTCTAGAGAATAGCAACAGCACATAGATTTATATACCGCTTCACAGTGCTTTTACAGCCCTCTCTAAGCGGTTTACAGAGTCAGCCTCTTGCCCCCAACAATCTGGGTCCTCATTTTACCCACCTCGGAAGGACGGAAGGCTGAGTCAACCTTGAGCCCATCGGGATCGAACTGCAGACTGTGGCAGAGTTAGCCTGCAATAGTTCATTCTAGCCACTGCGCCACCATAGAAGGGAGGGGAGGGAGGGGGGAAGGGAGGGAGGAAGGAAGGAAGGAAGGAAGGAAGGAAGGAAGGAAGGAAGGAAGGAAGGAAGAGCAATAGCACTTTGACTTATATACCGCTTCACAGTGCTTTACGGCCCTCTCTAAGCAGTTTACTGAGTCAGCCTATTGTACCCAATAATCTGGGTCCTCATTTTACCGACCTAGGAAGGATGGAAGGCTGAATCAACCTTGAGCCTGGTGTGATTTGAACTGCCAAATTGCAGGCAGGCAGCAGAAGTAGGCTGCAGAACTGCACTCTTAACCACTGCGCCACGGTGATTCATAGGTGGAATACGTGGATTCACCCGTCTTGGCAGTGTCTCTCAAACTTGACAACTTTTAAGACGGGTGGACTTCAACTCCCAGAATTCCCCAGCCAGCATGGGGAGAAACACTGCGTCTTGTTAAGCCTAAGGTTGCCATGCAGAACCAGAAGGCCTTCACAGAATCCCTTGGTGACACCAGAGTCCCTTCAGAAATAGGTGGAGCCACAAAGCGTGGGAGTTTCAAAGCAAATAATAATAATAATAATAATCTCTGGTGCTTTCTTTTTGTTGAAGGTCTCTATTTTAGCAACCCCCTCCTACAAATCAGGCTTCGGCCCTCAACCTGTCATGCCAAAAATTGGGCCACGTCTTTGGCCGAGTGAAGTTGCTCACTTCCATGCTAAGCAATTCTGTTGTTTGTCTGTGGCACATAATGGGGTGGGAGGTGGGAAACCCAGCAATTGGATTGGTGGATCATGGCTTACCTCTTAGGCCAGTATTCATTCAACAATGATTTATTATCAGATGTGAAGAATCAGGAGCACAAGTTAAGTTTCAGCCAAGCTAATATATTGCTCATGCCTATGCACAAAAGGGGATGTGGTGGCTCAGTAGCTAAGACGCTGAGCTGGTCGATCGAAAGGTCGGCAGTTCAGCGGTTCGAATCCCCAGTGCCGCGTAACAGGGTGAGCTCCCGTGATTTGTCCCAGCTTCTGCCAACCTAGCAGTTCGAAAGCACGTAAAAAAAAAATGCAAGTAGAAAAATAGGGACCACCTTTGGAGGGAAGGGAACAGCGTTCCGTGCGCCTTTGGCGTTGAGTCATGCTGGCCACATGACCACGGAGACGTCTTCGGACAGCGCTGGGCTCTTCGGCTTTGAAACAGAGATGACCACTGCCCCCTAGAGTCGGGAACGACTAGCACATATGTGTGAAGGGAACCTTTACCTTTACCTTTTATACACAAAAATCTATAGTCAATTAACGGTCCAGACTAAATTGGCGCCAGATAAGAGTCAACTGAATTTAAGAGGGATTGAATTTAGACTGTTTGTGACAACGTAATGATTCCAGGCTGCTTCCTCTCTTGACTCCTCCCCCAGGCTCTGCCTCTTCTTGTCCTGCATTTAGCAAGAAGCGTTGCCACTACATCTCCTTCTCTTGCACTTCCTGACCCAGCTGAGCCTTTTCTGTTTCTCTGCCCAGGTATATGAAGTACCTCTATGCCTACGAATGTGAGAAGAAGTCCTTAAGCTCGCCTGCTGAGCTGCAGGCCGCCATCGACGGCAACAGGAGGGAAGGCCGGCGGCCCAGTTACAGCTCCCCCTTATTCGGCTTCTCCCCCGCGACCCCGGGACCGCCTTCGCTCCTGTGTCCCCCCAAGATCCGCTTCCCCCTTGTTAGCCTCACTCCCAGCAGCACAACTAGCAACCCTCACCTGTCTTCAGCGGGCCCTCTCAGGAAAGGTCAGTCAGAGTCTTGTTGTTGTTGTTGTTGTTGTTGTTATTATTATTATTATTTACTTTGTTCATTAAACATAAAACTCAAGTCAGCTGAACATTTAAAAATGCATCACAAATACCATTGATTGGTGCTGATGGTTGATACGGGTGCTGCCAGCATCCTAGGTATCAACCAAGTACCTTCTTAAGATGCATTATTATTATTATTATTATTATTATTATTATTATTATTATTATTATTCTCTTTTATTTATTAAACATGAAACTCATCAACTGAACATTCAAAAATGCATCACAAATACAATTGACTGCCTCTAATGGTTGATAGGGGTTGCTGCCAGCATCCTAGGGATCAACCAAGTACCTACGTAAGATGTACATGTTCCAAGTAGCACAGTTTTTTGCAGTTCTGCTGGTGTTATTGCAGGAAGCTGCAATGCTGATGTATCTTATAAAATTTTTGGACATAGTACTAAGTGCCCTGATGACAATGGGTATCACTGTCACATGTTCATCCATAGCCGTGTAGTTTCGATGGCCAGGTTGCGATATTTCGTGATTTTTTTCCAGTTCTTTTTCTTCGACTCTGCATCTCCTGGTACAGCAATATCAATAAACTCTAGTTTCGGTTTTCGACAACTGCGATATCTGGCGTGTTGTGTTCCAAGTGACGATCCGTCTGTATTGAAAGTCCCACAGATCTTCACCTTCTCATTTTCTATAACTTTTTCCACTTTGTGTTCCATGATTTTTTGGATACAGGAAAGTCGTATTTTTTACATAATGACCAGTGGATTAATTTAGCAACTCGTTCATGTCTTAAATTGTTATTATTATTATTTATTTTATTCATTAAACATGAAACTCAGTCAACTGAACATTCAAAAATGCATCACAAATACCAGTGACTGGTGCTAAAGGTTGATACGGGTTGCTGCCAGCATCCTAGGGATCAACCAAGTACCTTCTTAAGATGTGCCATGTTCCAAGTAGCGCAGTTTTTTGCAGTTCCGCTGGTGTTATTGCAGGAAGCTGCAATTTTGTGATGTATTTTATTACTATCATTATCGTTGTCATCATTATTGTAGTTTTGTTGTTGCTGTTGTTATGATCTCTTTTATTCATAAAAGTTGAAACTCAGTCAACTGAACATTTAAAAATGTATCACAAATATTATTGATTGGTGTGCTGATGATTGTTACGGGTTGCTGCCAGCATCCTAGGTATCGACCAAGTATCTTCTTAAAATGTATTCTTCTTCTTATTGTTGTTATTATTATTACTAGTACTATTATTATTGTTATTTTCTTAAGCTATTAAGCACCTAACCAGTTTTGGCTGGTTTTTTAAAAAAGAAAGCCGAGCAGGGCTGCATCACTGCATCCGATTGGGGTTAATCCAGGATTTTAGGGCAGGTGGGAGGATGCTAAACTGAGAAGTCATAAAGCTTTAAGAAACTGCAGTGGGAAATACAGTAGATTTTGGACGCCTGGCAAGAAATCTCTAGTGGTTCTGTGTAGTTATTAGGAGTCTATCCTTGTTGGGCACCCCTGCATATATCTCTTCTGGGGTTTACCCTAAAGCAGGGGTCAGCAACCTACGGTTCTGGAGCCGCAAGTGGCTCCTTCACCCCTCTGCTGCGGCTCCTGTCTACTCAAAATATGCATCACAAACACCAATATGTGACATCCACCGGCACGCGATTTATTGAGTTTTTCAACCCCCAGTAGGCCAACCATGGATAAATCCAAGATATGAAAAGTTTCAGAAGAAAACAGAACGTTTAATTCAAACTACATATGCTAGTTTTGTGGCCACTCAAGAAATAGTCAGGCACGGGAAGGGTTTTGTGGCTCCCGGTGTTTTTTTTTTCTGTGGGAAACGGGTCCAAATGGCTCTTGAGAGTGTTTAAGGTTGCCAACCCCTGCCCTAAAGCAAAGGCATCCAACCTTGTCAACTTTAAGACTTGTGGACTTCAACACCCAGAATTCCATTCTGGCTGGGGAATTGTGGGAGTTGAAGTCCACAAATGGGCAGAATGCCATTTTAGAGACTTCATGTTGGCCATCCCTGCCCTAAGTCCTCAGCTGTCTCCATGGCTGATTTTGCTGTCCATGTCAGGCCCACCTTTATAATCCAGGATAAAGCATGGCCCGTTGGTTTCATGGTTACTTGTTTATTGAGGGAACCGAGCTGCTTCTCCCCAGAAGGATAACCTTCTGGGAGATCCTGAGAACTTCTCTCCCCGCTGCAGGCGACGGCCTGACTTTGACCACCTCCGCGCCAAATCGTCTCGCCATGCCTGTGAGCTTGGCCAACCAGCAGGCCACGGTAGCCGTGGCGGCGGCCACCAGAACGGCCACCTTGGAACAGTTGAAGGAACGGCTGGAATCCGGAGAACCGGCGGAGAAGATGGCCCGGATGACGGAGGAAGAACAGCGCTTTGTCCAGCAGGCTTTTCAGAGGAACCTCTTCAGCATGGCCCGACAGCTGCCCATGAAGATTAAGATCAACGGCCGAGGTGAGCCCACTCGGGCAGCGCTACGGTCTCTGATTCCCCCTCGCTTGCTCCAATCCAGCGGCGGCCCCAATGGAGTCTCTGCGCCATTTCATCATAACCATAGTTCTTCCATGGGAAGGATTCTTCTTATTAATTTCAGTGTTTTGTTTTCAATCCATACGGTCCCTTGGGACACAGGAAGCGTGGAGACCAGGGGTAAAATTCTCCCGGTTTGGACTGGATCGCTTGATCCGGTAGCAATGGGGGCAGGTGGTTCGGAGAACCGGTAACAAAAATCCCTGTGCCCCCTCCTCCCGATATCCAGCTGAGCCGCACGATTATCAGAAGCTTTTTTTTTTTTTTTACTTTTAAAAGCATTTTTTCTACAACCTTGAGCTGGTCAGGATCGAACTCCTGGAGTGAGCAGTGAGTTGGAGAAGGCAGGAAAGAGACCGAAGGATGAACTTTTTTTGTAAAGGGTAGATAAGCTGTTCTGTAAGTTACAATCCTCAATCAGCACTCCTTCATTTTTTCTGCTTTTCTTTTTCTCTCCCTTTCTCTCTCTCTCCCTCTTCAGAAGATAAGTCAGATCCAGCAGCCGCAGCAGCTTTAAACTGGACTCCTTCTGGCTTCGGCAGCATCAACATGTCAGTGGAAATCAACGGCACAATCTATGCTGGTGAGAGCATTTGGGAGTAAGCCCACGGGTTGAAATTGGAGGTGGGGGTGCAGGGAAGCATCCCCAGGCCACCTCTTTGGGGTTGACAGTTGCCATCTCTCTCTCACCCTTATTCCCAGCACAAGGTTGACGAAGCAGGGGTGGGATTCAGCTGGTTCGAACCAGTTCAGGCGAATCGGTAGTTATGGCCAGTGGCTGGGCCCACTGCCCTGCCCCAGTTGCCTTTTGGAAAAGTACATTTGTGACTCCTCCTTTCTGAGTCTTCCAAAGGAGAGAATTTTGTCCACTCGCTGAGCTGCTTCAAGCGGTCAACTAACTCACTTCCTCTCTTCCCACCCGACAGGCGTCCTCTTTGCTCAAAAGCCCGTCGTCCACCTCCTTGCCGGCTCCAATGCCCAGAGCACCAGCGGCGGGGCAAGCAGCAGCTCTCCCAGCCCCACCTCCTCCAGAGGCACCCCCAGCGCCGAGCCCTCCACCAGCTGGTCTCTCTGAGGGTCCCGGCGGGCTCGCTCTCCAGCCTCGAGCGGCTCCCCTGTCCCCAGGAGAAATCCCGTCCCTCCCCCTCCCCATCGACCTGGTCCCAAGGAGCACCTCCTGCCCCCCAGGCCAGCCGTGGAGAGGAGCCGCCGTCTCTGTGCTGGCGAGTTTCCCATCCGGATGGACCTCGCTGGCTTTTTAAGCCTTTTTTTTCAGGTCTTGCTGTGTCCTCAGTGAAGATTGGGGGTGGGTAGGGAGGGGAAGGGAAGGGAAAGGGAGGGGAAGGGGACACGAGGCGTGTTTCAATCAGGGATTCTCCAGAGAGGCTAAGCGGTTTTTGTAGATGACTGAGCATTGCCAGGGTTAGGGCGGCAAAAGGCCCTGACAAAAATACCTGTTCTTCTTTTCAACCATGGAAGCCTAAAGGGGACACTTTCGTGCTCTTTTCTCTTTCTTTCTTTCTCTCTCTCCTCCCTTTTCTCCCTTTCCAAATACGACTGCCGTTTATTGACAATCCTCCCCTCACCCCCACCCCTCACCCCAAGGCAGGAGAAAAATGTCTCAATTCCCTTCTTAATGATCCTTGCTTGGCATCCTTATCACGGCCCTCTTCCCCTTTTATCCTTCCATCTCTCAGACTCCCTGCCATTCCCTTTCAGCACAACCAGTTCCTTCGGACGGGACCTTCATTTGCAGCAATTAAATCGTAGCTAGCTTCTTCTGTTTTTTTAAGAAGAAGAAAAACTGAGATGTAAACAGCAGAAAGAGCTCGGCAGCCTATTTCCGGCACCGCCTCCGGTCTTACCTGCAGTCAAAGGTCTCGCACTCCAGCCAGAGGCTCTTCTTGGGTTTCTTCGCTTCGTCCTTCCTGTTTTCGGACCTGAGCGGAGGAATAAACGGGAAGGAAAATCCCGCCGATCGAAAAACAGCAGCAAAGGCAGAAGTAGAGTTTGGAGGGGTCAACAACTGGGGTTTGCCTTGAGCGAAAGAGGTGGGTGCATAGGTAGCATCAGTCTCAATGGCTCCCTTTGCAGAATCCCATGTAGGACCCCGGCCCATTTTCTCAAATGAAAAGAGAACGGGCTGTTTTCTGAGCCTTTCTGGTGATGTATCCCAGCTCTGCAGCCTGTGACGTTCTCCTGAACCCAGGATGTGCTGAAAACTAGGTTCTGTTTTTGCTTTCCCCACCCCCACCCCCGCCAATGCAATCATTTCCCCTCAAATCCAACTTCCCTCAAACCCAACTGAGATCATCTTGGTTGGTTGTTTCCCTCAAAACCCAACTGAGATCATCTTGGTTGTTTCCCTCAAACCCAACTGAGATCATCTTGGTTTCTCTGTTGGTGGTTGTTTCCCTCAAACCCAACTAAGATCATCTTGGTTGGTTGTTTCCTTCAAACCCAACTAAGATCATCTTGTTCAGTTGTTTCCCTCAAACCCAACTAAGATCATCTTGGTTGGTTGTTTCCCTCAAACCCAACTGAAATCACCTTGGTTTCTCCGTTGGTTGTTTCCCTCAAACCCAACTAAGATCATCTTGTTCAGTTATTTCCCTCAAACCCAACTGAGATCATCTTAATTTCTCGGTTGGTTGTTTCCCTCAAACCCAACTAAGATCATCTTTGGTTTCTCGGTCCGTTGTTTTTAAACCTAGCCGCTTTCCGCTCACCTGAGCAGCATTTCACCTTAAGGGAAAATGCCCCATCCTGGTCATACTCAGTCATCCTACAGAACTGCGACAGCTTCTCTCGAGCAGATGAAATACCTCAAAAAAAAATGTACTTATTGCTGTGTTGTTGGGTGGGTTGGGTTTATTTTTTTTCCTGTTTGTTTTGTTTTTCCACCTCTTCTGGAAGGATTTGCGTATGTTAAAAGCTTCTTTTTATATGTCTCGTCGACTGCTTTTTAGTTCGAATTTTATATATATATTGTAGCACCAAAGAGACACCAAACGAGAGAGGAAGGGAGAGAGAGAGAGAGAGAGAGAGAAAGCAAAAGAGGAACAAAACTTTCCCCCTGGCTTGAAGGAATGGAGGTTTGATAGTAGGTCAGGGATATACTTGGCACAAACCGCCTCGGGCGTGGGAGAGAAATCGGCATTGGTGGCAGGTTAATTCCTTTTTTTTCCCCTTCCCTCCTTAACCCTGAAAAGGGCTTTTTACTCCCTTCTTCTACAGGAGTGTTTCTCAACCTTGGCAACTTTAAGAAGAGTGGACTTCAACTCCCAGAATTCCCCAGGTGAACTCCACTCCTCTTAAAATTGCTGAGTTGAGAAACATTACTCTACAGCAGAGGTCTTCAAACTTGGCAGCTTTTAAGACTTGTGGACTTCAGTTCCCAGAATTCTGTTCCCAGCACAGCTGGCTGGAGAATTCTGGGAACTGAAGTCCACAAGTCTTAAAAGCTGCCAAGTTTGAAGACCTCTGCTCTACAGCGTTGTGCTTTCGAAATGTGCCGGGATTCCAGAATTCCTAACTTGAGAACGCGAGTTATAATTCTGGTGTATCTGAAGAGCCCTCAAAATGAGTCACGGTTGAGGAATCTGTGATCTCCCAAAACTTGTTGCAGAAACCCCAACTTGCCAGTAACGAGGGGCTGGATCCCTCCAGTTCGATTTTAAACAGGTCTTTTAAGGATCTCCTCCTTCTCTGGCCAACAGGCTTCATTCCACCCGAGTGGACAATCATTTTGGCCACGCGGCCCCTTGAAGATTGAGAATAACCCTAACCCTGAACCGATTCTCTTGGTTGCTACGTAGCTGAAATTAAAAGAAAAATGATCCTTGGGCAGCCCAGATCTACCCAATGCGGGCCAGATAATCTTGCAAAATACCCATACCTTGGTCTCCCCTCTCTCCTTTTCCCAGTCCTGCCTTCTTATTGGCGAGTTGTGAGCAGTCCACCCATGTTTTCCATCAACCGAGAAAGAAAAATCCTTGAAGCGAATCCATAGATCAGTGTGAATTGGTCTTTGGCTTTTGTATATCAAGGGGTGGACAGGCCAAAGGTTTCTCCCATGTCCCCTTAGCACTACCACCACCCTTCTGACAGGCATGAGGCCCAGATTGCAAGAAGGACAGCCCATATTATCTCCCACCCTTGTCAACCAGAGCACCAAATTCTCGGTCCTGGTGGCGGCCAAGATAAGCTCTTGCTGGCGAGGTCTTATCTGCAACCAGAGTGAGCGGCACCTCCTTCGCCCTGCTTGGCCCTCCGTCCAACATTCGACTCCGAAACATGTCCCCATCTACCTGGGCCATGTCTATAAAGTCCCTTCCTGCTTCCATCCCAAGGGAAGGCAGGAAGTCCAAAGGTTGTGCTCCATGGGGCCATTTCTTCTAAAAAAAACCCTACCCATCATCTTCCTCAGGCTAAAGACTGCATAGATAGCAGTGCCTCATGGTTAATGGAGTCTTCTCATTAAGGCAGGGAGGCTAAAAAAGAATTGGCGGTCCAGGATCTGCCGACCTTTCCTGGCGATTTGTGGCTTTTTTAGCTGATTCCCCCCCCCCAAAGTAGGATTCTTGCATGAATCCTCTACGTAGTTTAAAGTTTCTCTGGAAGTGCATCCCTGTGTCTGTTTGTCCGTCCATCTAAGATTGTCACATCTGTTATATTGCTTAGAACAGGGGCCTGCGCTGGCTGAGGAACTCTGGGAGTTGAAGTCCACAAGTCGTAAAGTTGCCAAGCTTGGAGACCCCTGGCTTAGAAAATGATCCTAGCTGTCTCCCCAGCTTTTAAAACCGAACCCTTGGCGGTGGTTTGAAGGCCACCTCTGCCGGAGGAGACCTCTTGAAAGCACATCCCATAATTGGGAGGGTTTTTGCGGGCTGGCAAGAGCAGAGAGAGTGAGAGGGACAAGGGAAATACTTTTGCCAAACACTTGTAGCTTTTTAAACTCTTATTTATATTTTTAATCACGCTTACCCCTCTCTGGCAATTTTACCCCACCTGGAGCCCTCTTGAATATCAAAACTTGGCCTTGGAGGTTAAAAAAAAACCCATTTTGGGGGGGGGGGAAGGTAAAAATCGATGGAAGTTTGCAAACCCATGTGATTTCTCCCCCCCCCCCTTTTTTTTTTCCCCTTCGTCTCGAGAAAATTAACCTCTCACCACTGCTGTCGTCTCTTCGGTACGTCTCAGGCCTCGTGTTGAAAAAAATCATTCTGCCTGTCCCAGCCATGCCCAACTTTGCATCTCTTGCAGAGGAGGCTGTTTGAGTCATTGGAGTGGCTTTTCCAGGGCTGGGGGGGAGACGGTGGGTGGGACAGCCTCCATTCCTTTAGCTAACCGGGATCGAGGCAGGGGACTAAAAGAGTTTGTTCTTCTCCAGGGGTTTTTTTGGGGGGAGGCGGGCGGGGTTGAGCTAGATTTCAGGAGGGTTTGTAACGATATATATATATATAAATATAAATATAAATATATACCTCATTCAGATAAGCTGCGGCATCACACGTTGGCTCTGTTAATTGGGGGGTGGGGGCTCTGTTATTTTTGCTCTGCCTGCCGCTTTTTTTGGGGGGGGGGACTGTGAAGACGGGACCCCCTCGGTTTCAGAGCTGCCCCACCGTGGTGGTGGTGGCAGCGGCGTTCCTCTCTTCTGTGGGATTTTTTTGGGGGGGGGGTCCGTAAGCCAGCGGCAGAGTACGCCTCAATTGGGGAGAGCGGGGTGGGATTGTTTGTGGCAAGGGAGGGAGCCTTCCCTCTGACATTACCTAACTCGGGATATAAAAAGATTGTATGGCACTCAGGACTTTTCAGTACGAGGGGAAAGGGCAGGGTCTCCCAAGGACCGATCCGTATTTTCAGAGGGTGAAATCCTCCTTCCCACCCTCCTCGCCATCCGAAGGCCCCCGTGGCAACTTGGCCGGGCGGAATTGGGCATTGGAGGGAGTGACGATACCTAAATCATCACCTGGAACCTGGGCTGCTCCACTGCCTGCTTGCCGGACCGAGGATCTTAACTCCTCAACCTTTCGAGCAATCGCAGGATCTCCGATCTTGGAATCCCAGCCGATGAAGCAGGGCTGCTACCCACCAGGGGCTTCCATCCGATGTTTCCGGGGTCTTTCTCCCCCACCCCTGCCCCACTTTCGCCCTTTGGTTGAGCAAACGGGCCTCAGCGCTTTTAGGTAGCGCCAAAAGTTGGATGGATATGACCCACCAGAGTGGAAGGAGTAGAGAGGTGTCCCCCACACCTCAGCCCAGAAGGATCTGCACTCACAACCTTACACAGGCCTTTCTGTCTGCTGCTGCTATTCTTTTTCCTTTCCTTCCCAAGAAGCTAGAAAGAGGAAGGAAGGAAGGTAGTAAAAATCTTAAGATCAGGTCATTACAGCAGCCTTGGAAGTAGTTCGTTCTTAACTATTTAAAAGAAAGAAAAAAGAGAAGAAAACGTGATAGCCTAGATGGTGAATAACTAAAATACCTCAGATGTTTTTTCCTTCCAGCAAGTGTCTGTATATGTTGTCATTGGGTTTGTTTTTTTGTTTTCTATCTTAACAAGTTATCTGAATGTTTATATTCCAATAAACTTCTACCTCTTCAGATCGTGGCTGTCGTCGTCCTTGTTGCTTTTTTTTGGAGTACGTATCCGGTACTCAAACCCACTGAAAAAGGTGGCAGGTACTCTGGATGCGTCAAAATCTTAATATTCTCAGATTTATATGTATGTAGAATGTATGTATAATGGGCACGGTGGCTAAGACGCTGAGCTTGTTGATGGAAAGGTCGGCAGCTCAGCGGTTCGAATCCCTAGTGCCGTATAACGGGGTGAGCTCCTGTGACTTGTCCCAGCTTCTGCCAACCTAGCAGTTCGAAAGCACGTAAAAAATGCAAGTAGAAAAATAGAAACCACCTTTGGTGGGAAGGGAACAGCGTTCCATGCACCTTTGGCGTTGAGTCATGACGGCCACATGGCCATGGAGATGTCTTCGGACAGCGCTGGCTCTTCGGCTTTGAAACGGAGATGAGCCCTAGAGTCGGGAATGACTAGCACATATGCGCGAGGGGAACCTTTACCTTATAATGTACATACATATGTATGTAATATACATATGTCTATGTATTTATATGTATTAATCTTTACTAGCAAATATTTCATAAAACGGCTCTTTTTTTTTTCCTTTAAATGATGTCGCAGTGTGAGAAATTTTGCTGGTTTCACTAAAGCCAACACAGGTTTCTGCACCCCGGTAGAAGCGGTTCTGTGAATTGTAAAATAGCACTGAATAGTTGATCCGAATTAGCGAAGCCGGATTCAAACAGATCTGAACTACGGGCAGACGAGCATTCTGCTCACCCTTGGCCACCAGATTTGGGCAATGCAGTGTTAACGGTCTCTTTGGCACTCTCATAGTCATTTTTTAAAAAATCATTTTAATCTGTCGATTAGCTCGCTTGTGTTAATCTCGTTTGTGACCTTTGAACAATAGGCCTGGCTTAATTGGGGGCTCATTTGCGGTTTCTGAGTATGCTCTATGAAACCAGCAAGTGGGATTAATTCATGGGCAACAAAGGTAAGTGAGTAACCGGTTAACCCTGGTGCCATCCTGTCCTTTTGAAGTGAGCAAATGCTTCCTTGCCCTTTGGCAAAACAACTGTTCTAAAGGAAATTTAGATTCTGGTCTAATCCGAGACTCAATCCATGGTTATTTTCATGGATAAGAGTCGATCGATACAAACTGGATCAATTGGCTCTCTGCATCGTTGGCTTCATCCTGGCCCAGCTCAAAAGTTTCTGGAGGCCCCTCGTAAAACTTGAGTTTTCAGGAAGCCATTGAGAGTCGGGCTGACTCATAGAAGGGCTACAGCAGGGATCCTCAAACTTGGTGACTTTAAGACTTGTGGACTTCAACTTCAAGCCAAGTTTGGAGATCCCTGGGTTACCGAATTCTCTTCCTTTTTTCAAATCTCTATGGTGGAACCTACCAGGAAATCTCCGTCCAGCTGAACAAGCCAAACAGCTTTGTTGGAATCGATGGGGAGGTTGGGTATCGAGTTACACCCAGGGACATAAACACCAGCTGGCTGTGTATCTCAAGCACCTTGGCAGATGAGAAGAAGCCCTGGAGATACGGAGAGCACCAGGACCAATCTTCTCCAAACCCAAGAGAATTTCAACGGAAGAGAGAAACTCCAGGGTTGCGAGAGCCAGACTCTTAAAATCAGAAACCCTAGCTGAGCTCTGAAAAGGAAGCCAAGTTCCTGCCCTCCTTGTGTTTATGGTGGTTTCTTATTTTTCACATCCCTTTCTGCCAAAGAGAATAATAGATCTCTCCCCAACAGTACTAGCTTCAAGCAATCTTGTGATTAAAAGAAGCCCTGAGATGGGAATATAGAGTAGAATAGAATAGAATATGGAATAGAGTAGAGTAGAGTAGAGTAGAGTAGAGTAGAGTAGAGTAGAGTAGAGTAGAGTAGAATAGAATAGAATAGAATAGAATAGAATAATGGAATGGAGTAGAGTAGAGTAGAGCGCAGAGCAGAGCAGAGCAAAGTAGAATAGAATAGAATAGAATAAATTATAGAATAGAATAGAAAATAGAATAGAATAGAATAGAATAACAGAGTTGGAAGGGACCTTGGAGGTCTTCTAGTCCAACCCCCTGCTTAGGCAGGAAACCCTACACCACTTCAGACAAATGGTTATCCAACATCTTCTTAAAAACTTCCAGCGTTGGAGCATTCGCTTATCATCAACTCGGAGATCTTCCATAACTAGGCAAAGATTAAATCCAATCCAGTTTTTTTTTTTAATACCATAATACATTTTAGAAAGAGAAGAAACCTCATTAGCAGCAGGAGGAGGAAAAAAAAAAAATCTCAGTGCAAACACAGAGATTTCCTTCCCCAGGTCAGATTTCCTCCCCCCTCCCCTCTTCCTGATGTTTCTTCTGTCCCAGGAGCTCACCCTGGTTTCCTACACTTCTCTTCTGTTCTCTGGCGATTCAGCCCTCTCTCGGAAAGGGGACCATGGTCTCGGGGGCCCAAAAGGCTTGGGGGACAAGAGCCCTGGGCTGTGGGGTCTGAGTAATGCTCCTTCCTCCTCGACATGCTTTAGGAGAGCCAGGGGGGCTAAGAAAAGTTTGTCGGAGGCTGAAGATGTATCGGAGAGGGTCCCGGGTGGTTGAAGAGATGCGTCGGGAGGGAGAAGCAAGGGGCCCCTTCGCGCCATCCTGATGTTCGAAGAGGTGTCCTTTTGCTCCTCCTCAGGGCAGGCTTGAAGCTGTTCCGGTATCTCTACGTGATGGGAAGAGGATGGAGCTTCATCCTTCCGCGAGGAAACCTCCGGAATCTCATGGCAACGATCCTTTCGCGCGTCATCTCCAGGGCCGGTGGGAAATCTTGGAACCTGCAGCTCCTGGTGACTCTTTTCCGACTCTTTTCGCTTCGAAAGCTGGCGGATGTGCTGAATCTGTTCCTGGAATCTCAGTTTGGCTGTTGGGAGGAAAGCCAAGCTTCGTTTAAACAGCCATCGACTCGCTGCAGGTGGTCCTCGGCTTACAACGGTCCCTTTAGTGACCGTTCAAATGTCGGTGGAGATTCTCAGTCCTCCAGGTCATGGTTGTCCCAAAGATGCTTTTTTCTTCCAAGAGGCAACTGGACTTTCTGGTTTTTCTTTGAAGACGTTTCGCTTCTCACCCAAGAAGCTTCTTCAGCTCTTCTTCTTCAGAGGTAAAGAAGCTTCTGGGATGAGAAGCGAAAGGTCTTCGGAGAAGAAAGGAAGCAAGAAAGGAAGGAAAAAAAGAGGAAGGAAGGAAGGAAGGAAGGAAAGAAAAGGAAGGAAGGAAGGAAGGAAGAAGAAAGGAAGCAAGAAAGAAAGGAAAAAAGGAAGGAAAGAAAAAAGGAAGAAAAAAGGAAGGAAGGAAAGAAAGAAGAAAGGAAGCAAGAAAGAGGAAAAAAGGAAGGAAGGAAGGAAGAAAGAAAAGGATGCAAGAAAGGAAGGAAAAAAGAGGGAAGGAAGGAAAGGAAGGAAGGAAGGAAGCAAGAAAGAAAGGAAAAAAGGAAGGAAGGAAAGAAAGAAGAAAGGAAGCAAGAAAGAGGAAAAAAGGAAGGAAGGAAGGAAGAAAGAAAAGGATGCAAGAAAGGAAGGAAAAAAAGAGGGAAGGAAGGAAAGAAAGGAAGGAAGGAAGGATGAAAGAAAGAAGAAAGGAAGCAAGAAAGAAAGGGAAAAAAGAAGGAAGGAAAGAAAGGAAGGAAGGAAGCAAGAAAGAAAGGAAAAAAGGAAGGAAGGAAGGAAAGAAAGAAAAAAGAAAAAGAAAGAAAAAAGGAAGGAAGAAAGGAAGAAAGAAAAAAAGAAAATGAGAAAGAAAGAAAATGAGAAAAAGAAAGAAAAAACGAGACAAAGAAAGAAAACCAACCGACCAGAAAAGAAACCAGAAAGTCCAGTTGCCTCTTGTAAAAAGCACATTTGGGACTGTTCAAAGTTACAGTGGCACTTTAAAAAGTGACTTATAATCCTTTTTCACAATTACAACATGATCAAAATTCAGATTCTTGACAACAACTCATATTTATGACGGTTGCAGTATCCCAGAGTCACATGTTCCCCTTTTGCATCCTCCTGACAAGCAAAACATCAATGGGGAAGCCAGACCTACTTCGCAACTGTGTTACTTACTTAACAACTGCAGTGACTCACTTACCAACCGTGGCAAGAAAAGTCATAAAACTCATTTAACAAATGTTTCACTTAGCCACAGAAACAAACGCTGGGCTCAATTGTGGTCGTAAGTCGAGGATTACCTGTACATCCTGCAGCTCTTGCCCCAAAAGTCCTCAGAGGAAGCAGCCAAGATTAAAAAAAAACAAATGTTTGAATCTTAAAAGTTAGAAAACAATTGAATCTCTTGGTCTTGCAGTAAAGTTGAGACCTCACTGAAATAAGAGCTAGAAGCTCCTCACCTTGCATTAAGTTCTCATTTTTCTCTTTCAAAGTTTGAATTTCACAGGCCATGGCGGAAATCTGGAAGTGAGAAAGCAAAATTAACTCAATGCTGCAAAGAGGGAGCCGTCGGGGACACCTGTGGTGGCCCAAGAGCTCCGCCAGTGAAAATAGGCTCCTGAGCTCCATTTTCGCCTGCGACAGCCTCTTGTAACCCTCTGCCAGTGAAAATGGAGCACGGGAGGGCTGCTCCCAAGCTCCATTTTCTCTGGCAGAGGGTTGCAGGAAGCCATTGCAGCCGAAAACGGAGCTCAGGAGCGTATTTTTGCTGGAAGAGGCACTGCAGGTCGGTCCTTTGCTGTTTTCCAGGGCGGCCCTGTGGGCCAGATCTACCGTATTTTTCAGAGTATAAGACGCACTGGACTATAAGATGCACCGACCTTTTTTGGTGAGGAAAAGAAGAAAAAGAAATCTGCCTCTGCCTCCCAGCAATTTTGCCTCGTTGCAGCAAACAGCAAACAGCCTGCTTTACTTTCATTTTCGTTTTTAGCATAGCTTGATTAGCACAAGGGGGAAAAAAAATCTGCTCCAGCAATTTTCTTCCTTGAAGCAAGCAGCAGAGCCCTGCGCAAAACAGCTGAGAGCAAAACAGCTGAGAGTCAGGAGGCCGATCCAATCAACTTGTGCTAATTAGGCTGTGCCGAAGCTGAAAGGAGCTGTTTCTTCTTGCTGCTTGGTGCAAGGAGGTAAACTGCTGGGAGGCAGTGGCCAAAGGGTGGGGGCCAGTGGGTGGGCGGGGCTGCATTCGGTGTATAAGACGCACCTAAATTTTCACCCCCTTTTAGAGGGGGAAAAAGGTGCGTCTTATACTCCGAAATATACGGTAAGTACCCCGCGGGCTGGATCCATCCCCCAGCCCTTGAGTTTGACACTCCTGCCATACATGGTTTGAGTTATCTTCAGAAGCCTCTTCCATCTACTGAGGTGTGGTTGACAAAACCGTCTTCTTTCTCTGCAGCTGTTTTTGAGGACGCAGCCTGCAAATAAGTTGTGCTTACCACATCGTTTTTTGCTTCCAGCTGCTGCCGAAGGCTCTGCTCTTCTTCCCCCCTTTTGGATGCGTCTCCAGATTCCAAACGGCTTTCCTCCGATGAAAATCCGAGGGATTCCTGTGAAGTGGTCTTTTGGGAGAAGCAAACTGGAAGTCATTCTGGGCATTGCTGGTGGTTCTTCACCTTCGAGGCTAAGACCCCATCCTCAAAATCACATCTTATGAGAAAAGCTGAGCGGTTGGATCGATCTAAAGCAGGGGTCCTCAAACTTGGCAGCTTTAAGACTTGTGGACTTCAACTCCCAGAATTCTCTGGGAGCATAGCTGGCTAGAGAATTCTGGGAGTTGAAGTCCACAAGTCTTAAAGCTGCCAAGTTTGAAGACCTCTGATCTAAAGCATGGCTTGGTCCAGCATCCTAATTCCTACCATGGCCAACTGGCTGCCCCTGCAAAACCTTCTTCGGTATGCTCCAGAATCTGATATCCTCCCACCTAGAATTGAAGAACCTAGAACCCATTCTATGACTGGTTGATCACCCCTGTTCTATCCCCACCTCCCAAAAACAAGGTTGGTATCCGTGCAGCTGGGGCTCAACTGGTGGCCCATCAAGACGATGGAAAGATGGAGTCTCACCAGTGCTCGCGGAACATTCTGAGGTGCTGTTGAGTTCTTTTCCTTGAGTCCCCCATCCTGATGTTTCCTGGCTCCTGCTTCCGGCTGTTGCCTCTGTCTGAACAGTTCCTTCAGCTTTTGGAGAACAGAAACAGATGGAAATAATAGTCCGGTTAATGAAAATTAAACCCACACTTGAGGGGTTCTAGAAACTACTAATGCCATACTAACTACCCAGAAAATAAGACCCAACCGGAAAAATAAGTCCTAGTATGATTTTTCAGGATGCTCATAATATATAAAGCCTACTTCCAAAAATAAGCCCCAGTTAAGATCGTCAGCCAGATGGATGCATTTAATACTGCATTTCCCCCCAAAATAAGACCTAACTAGAAAATAAGCCCTAATGCATCTTTTGGAGCAAAAAATTAATATAAGACCTGGTCTTATTTTCAGGGAAACGCAGTAGGTTACAAACCCCATCATCCTCATCCTCATTGGGCAAGCTAGCTGCAGTTTGGGACGATACAACCCAAGACATCTAGGAAGAACTAATTTAAGGCACGTGTCCTTATGTTAAGTAGTTTAAGATTGGAAGATATGGAGAGACTTGGCCCGTAGAATTTGAAACCCACCACTGGTGTGTCAGTCTGGGTTTACAACTCCCATCACCACCAGTCAGCAAGGCAGTTGCAATGTTACACATCTGGGGCGCATTAGGGGTCCTTCTGGTGTAAGCGATGGAAGGCAGGGAAGGAAAAAGACTTTGGTTTCAAAATGTCTGCAATAATACCAGTCCATTCTTACTGGGCCTGGTGATCAGTCCATCAAAGCTTGGGTGATCCCATTTAATATAATGTAATAACAGAGTTGGAAGGGACCCCAGAGGTCTCCTAATCCAACCCCCTGCTTAGGCAGGAAACCCTACACCACTTCAGACAAATGGTTGTTCAATCTCTTTTTAAAAACTTCCAGTGTTGGAGCATTCACAACTTCTGGAGGCAAGTAGTTCCACTGATTAATTGTTCTAACTATCAGGAAATTTCTCCTTAGTTCTAAGTTGCTTCTCTCCTTGATTAGTTTCCACCCATTGCTTCTTGTCCTGCCTTCTGGTGCTTTGGAGAATAGCTTGACTCTCTCTTCTTTGTGGCAACCCCTGAGATATTGGAACACTGCTATCATGTCTCCCCTAGTCATTCTCTTCATCAAACTAGAAATACCCAGTTCCTGCAACCGTTCTTTGTATGTTTTATCCTCCAGTCCCCTGATCCTCTTTGTTGCTCTTCTCTGCACTCTTTCTAGAGTCTCCACATCTTTTTTACATCGGGGCAACCAAAACCGGATGCAATATTCCAAGTGTGGCCTTACCAAGGCCTTATTAAGTGGTATTATTTCTGCAGAGGCCCTCTCCTGGCCCTCAAAGAGATGGCAGAGGGAGAAAGATAGGAAGGTGAATAAATGCCATGACTGACATCATACCTGCTCAGTCACTGAATGATGTTGTAGCCTGAGATCTTCCAGCTGATTCCCAACAATCTTTGCCTCCAAGCCACCAGGACGCCCCTAGAAGGGAAAAAAACCAAACCAAACCCAGAGCTCTGGGTGAGCAAGAATGTCCTGATTGCAACCTCTCGTGTATGTCACGGGAAATTAACCTGCACCTCTCAAGATTTTTGTGAACCGATTTGCAGATTATGAACTATTGTGACCTTCCAAGGTATCTCTCTAAACCCTTACTTCCTTATTCATCATCTTTTAACGGCTCCACAATCCCTTGCAGGGTGGAGTCTGGGCAACTGAATGGAGCTAGCAGAGCGTTTAATGGCCAGATGCCTTTCCTGTTGCCAATACAGAGTTTTGTTCAGCAGATATATTCCCATTGTGCCCAGAGAGAGAGAAATATCTGCCTCTATTTAGGATTGAACTCACAGGCTCCTGATTGTCACTTCAGGACAATCAGGAGCCTGTCAAGCACTCGTCACTTCTCGTCTGGACTATTGTAACGCTCTCTACATGGGGCTCCCCTTGGGGTACACCCGGAGGCTCCAACTGGTGCAGAATGCGGCCGCGCGGGGGATTATGGGAGCGACTGGGCGCTCCCATGTGACTCCTCTCCTGCGCGAGCTGCATTGGCTTCCGGTGGACTTCTGGGTGCGCTTCAAGGTGTTGGTGACCACCTTTAAAGCGCTCCATGGCTTAGGGCCGGGGTACTTACGGGACCGCCTTCTGCCACCAATTGCCTCCCACCGGCCAGTTCGCTCCCACAGAGAGGGACTCCTCAGGGTGCCGTCGGCTAGACAATGCCGGCTGGCGACCCCCAGGAGGAGAGCCTTCTCTGTGGTGGCACCTACCCTTTGGAACAATCTACCCCCAGAGATACAAGTGATCTCCAACCTCCGGACCTTTCGTCAGGCCCTAAAAACTCATCTCTTTCAGTTAGCCGGTCTCTCTTGATTTTATGATTTTATGGTTGGTTTTAAATTTTGATATGGATTTTAAATTGATAAATTTTAAACTATGGGCCAAATTTAATTATTTTAAATCTATTTTTAATCGTATTTATGTATAAATGTTTTTATTTTGGCTGTTCACCGCCCTGAGTCCGAAAGGAGAAGGGCGGTATAGAAATTTGAATAATAAATAAATAAATAAATAAATTGTGAGGCTGAGATCTCCACCTCTAGGCCACCGCACCACTCCAAACACTTACTCCCTTATTCTCCTGGTTAAAGCCTATATACGGTTATGTAGCATGACCAATTGCTCTCCACTCTTCACCAATTCTGTTGTTGTTGTTAGTGGCGAAGTTGTGTCCGGCCCATCGCAAACCCGTGGACAACATTCCTCCAGGCCTTCCTGTCCTCTACCATCCTCTGGAGTCCATTGAAGCTCATGCCGACTGCTTCAGTGACTCCATCCAGCCACCTCGTTCTCTGCCGTCCCTTCTTCTTCTTTTGCCCTCAATCATTCCCAGCATTAGGCTCTTCTCCAGGGAGTCCTTCCTTCCTTCTCATGAGGTGGCCAAAGGATTTGAGTTTCATCTTCAGGATCTGACCTTCTAAAGAGCAGTCAGAGCTGATCTCTTCTAGGACTGACCAGTTGATCTCCTTGCAGTCCAAGGGACTCGCAGGAATCTCCTCTGGAACCAGAGTTCGAAGGCCTCCATTCTTCAGCGCTCAGCCTTCCTTATGGTCCAACTTTCACAGCCATCCATTGCAGCTGGGAAAACCGTAGCCTTGACTATACACACTTTTGTTGGCAGGGTGATCACTAATTCTACATGCTCCCAAATTTATGTTTAAAAGGAATAACTACCTTGAACCTTCCCTCTTGTTCAAAAAAATCAATCCTAATTCAACAATTTCACTGGGTCAAGAAGGCCCGTCTAGACTTGGTTTTTCACCATGGCCCGTTGGATGTCTCCAAGCTCACTTGACTCATAGCAACTGGGATGGAACATGGAGGTACCTTCTACGTGTAGCTAAAACATATTCAAGGTGGGTGCCAGATCCAACAGACATGTCTTCTTGACCAGGACTAACCTCATAAGATGTCCCCGGACCTTCTCTTGTTATCTTCGGTTCTGGTGAAGTTCTCGTCTCCAACGCAGCTCTCTCCACATCTCTGGTCTGCCTGAGGTCTCTCAAGGCTTGGTCCCTGGAGACAAGAATTCTTTTGAACTAACTGGCACAGCAGGCAGCCCCTCCTGGAAATCATACCCAATGCTTAAGTCTTTTGGCACTAAAAAACGTATCATTTCCCGTGGAGATCTAGTGGTCCTTTACACCTTGAGATCCCTGTCTTCCTGCCTTGTTTTCCTTACTTTTCAGCCAGCTGCTCCTCCGAAACACGGACCAGTTGCTGCAGCCTCTGCTTCTCCAAACTCCATTCTGCGTTCTACCAAGAAACAAAGAACTCAAGTCAGCAGACAAAGAGGCGTGCCAGCCCTGAGATGATGTTGCAGAGGTTTGCCGGGGTATCACTGAGACTTAAATATGGCACCAGCTGTGCCAAGTTCCAAAAAAGACTGGCCAATGAAGGAGAATATTTGTAGCACGGGGTTGAAATGAGGAATCCTTGGTGCTCTCTGAGCTTGGTGGTCTTCCTGCAGATGTTTCATTAACCCAAACTAGGTAACATGATCACTGCACTGATGAAGTTACCTAGTTTGGGTGATGAAACATTTGTAAGGAAACAAGCAAATTCAGAGAGCACCAAGGATCCCACAGTCCTCCTATTCTTCCTCCTCTTCCTCTTCCTCTTCCACCACCTCTTCCTAAAACCTTCTAGGACTGATGATATTACCTAGTTTGGGTAATGAAAGGTCTACAAGAAAACCACCAAGCTTAGAGACCACCAGGAACCCTACTGATCCTTGCCTACAGCTGAAAGTTCAAAAGAGCTAGGACAACTGAAAAGCCAGAAGACCAGGAAGGGGAGGAAAACTACCAAGAAACTGTTGGCCACACCTTGGCTTGGAGGGCCTGGTTCTGGGCCCTCATTTTCTCCAGCTCTTCTCCTTTGGTCTTCAAAGCGGCATCTACTTCCTTCCATCGGTTTCTCCACTCTTGGGAGATGGACTGTTCCTCGTCCAGTTGCTTGCCCAACTCTTCTACTTGTCTTTCAAGGTCCTGGCAGTGAACCTGTAGAAGATCCTTCTCCTTCTGCAACTGGATCTGAGATTCCCTACGGTAACCCAAGGGGAAACAAGGTAGAAGGTCCAGGAAAAAGCTTTTGTGAATTCTTCAAAGCCAGCTGGAAAGGAATCGGGGAACTGATTTTTGTACCTATGGAGTTGCCTTTGAGGAACATAAAGGGCAGGTCAGTGGTGAAATGTAAAATTTGTCACTACCGGTTCTGTGAGCGTGGCTTGGTGGTGGTGGGGTAATGTGACTGGGTAGGCGTGGCCAACTTTTTTTTTTTTTTACTTTTAAAAGCATTTTTTTCTGCAATCTCTTTGGCTGAAGAGGTTGTTAAAAAATGCTTTTAAAAGCCTCTGACGATCAGGCAACTCAGCTGGGATCGTCAGAGGCTTTTAAAAGCATTTATTCTACAAGCTCGAGGTTGTAGAATAAATGCTTTTAGAAGCCTCTGGCGATCCCAGCTGAGCCGGGCGATCTCAGAGCCTTTTTTTTAACTTTTAAAAGCATTTTTTTGACCGAAGAGGTTGTAGAAAAAATGCTTTTAAAAGTTAAAAAAAAAGCCTCTGATGATCGTGCGACTCAGCTGGGCATGGGGGGGGGGGCACGCAGGGATTTTTGCTACCAGTTCTCCGAACCACCACCCGCCATCGCTACCAGATCGGGCGATCCATTCCAAACCGGGAGCATTTCACCCCTGGGGCAAGTCCTTTTCAGCCCAATCCCTTTAACCATTGGGCTACCTTGTTCTCTTGACTCAAGAAGGTTGTCAAGTGCCTTGAAACGCTAATGAAATGGATATGCTCAAAAATTAAAGTTTACGGTGGACTGCATTACTTCCTGGCCAAAGAGACTGGACTCGTGATGAACAGGCTCTCCATCAGGGGTGAAATGCTACCAGTTAGCTCTGGTTCGGGCAAACCGGTAGTGATAAAAAACTACCTGTTCGGGTGAAGCGGTAGTAAAAAAATGCTTTAAAAAGTTTAAAAAAGGTTCCGACGATCACAGCTGTGCCACATGATCATCAGAATCTTTTTTTTTTTACTTTTTAAAGCATTTATTTAATATTTATTCTTTTACTTATTCTAGTAAAAAAAAAGCTTTAAAAAAGTTTTTTAAAAAGGTTCCAATGATTGTGCGGCACAGCTGTGATCGTTGGAACCTTTTTTATTTTTATGTTTTTTAAAGCATTTTTTTTTACTACCTATTCGCCCGAACTGGTAGAAAAAAAAAAAAAAAAGTTGGCCACACCCATCTAGTCACATGACTCACCCCCACCAAGCCATACCCACAGAACCGGTAGGAAAAGATTTTGCACGTCACCACTGCTCTCCGTCCTTGCACACTTTGTGCACAGGCAAAAAGCACAGAGAGATTTTCGTACCGCAGCAACTTGACGTCCTCCTGAAGCATTGGATCACGGCCCCCAAGTTGGGAAGAAGGTCTCAATGCTTCTTACCTGAGATTTTCACAGCTTGCCTGCAGAGCTTTCCTGCTCTCTTCCTGGCCCTGCTGCTCCACCATTCTTTCGAGAAGGTGTTGCTCCTTCTCTTCCAGCAACCGGGTCCGTTCGTCCTCCAGAGCCTGGATGTGGTTCGCCTGGGACTTCTTCTCCTCCTCCAGAAGATGCAGCTTTTCTAAAAGAGCTTCCAGCCTTTGGCAGCTCTCAGCTGCTGTAGAAGAAAGCTCTTCGTTCGACTGGGAGGAGAATTGCGAGAGTGAATGGTGTCAGTTTTCAGATCCGTTCACCTGGCCCATGTTGAGCTGGGTTCCACTGGGCAAAAATTACAGGTAGTTCTCGCCCTATGATCATAAACCCTACTCCTCCTTCTAGCACTGATGAGGTTACCCAGTTGTGTAGTGAAACGTCTGCCAGAAAGCAACCAACCTCAGAGAGCACCAAGGACTTCACAATTCAACCCTGAGCTACAAATATTTTCTTCTATGTTACTACTAGATATCTTCTTAGATATTCCAGGATGTTCCTCCTCCTCCTCCTCCTTCTCCTCCCTGTAAGCCCCACTCCCTTCTAGCATTGATATTGTTACCTAGCCAGGTAATGGAACGTCTGCAAGAAAGCAACCAACCTCAGGGAGCACCAAGGCTCAACCCTCTGCACGATCCTGCGCTACAAATTCAACCCTGTCCACAGCTCAACCCTGAGCTACAAATACTCTCTTCGGCGTTACTACTACCACCACATTTCCCTGAAAATAAGACCTCCCCAAAAATAAGGCCAAGTGTTTATTTCGTGGGGGTCAAAAGAACATAAGACCCAGTCTTATTTTCGGGGAAACATGGTAGATATATCCTGAGAGATTCTAGGACAGTGATAGCTAACCTTTTCGGCACCGAGTGCCAAAACTGGAGCATGTATACACACATGTGCACATGCACCGGAACCCGGAAGAGAGCAGCTGGCCAGTGCACATGTGTGCGTTGGCCAGCTGCTCTCCCAGGTTCTGTTGCATGTACGTGATGGAATCCGGAAGAGCAGCCGGCGATGGCTAGCATGCCATAGGTTCACCATCACGGTTCTAGGATGGGCTACCCTTGAACCTCTTTCCCCCTCCCACTCCCATCTAGCTTTGGGATTGCAGTCTCTTCTTCATCCAGGCCTCTTTCTGGGAAAGCTGCGTCACCAAATCTCTTATCCACTGATTCTCCAGGTCCACATTAGAAGACTTAACAGTTTAGTTAAGGCTAAACTGAGAAGATTCACAACATGTTGAAATGATAGTGTGGACCAGAGGTGGGTTTCAGCAGGTTCTGACCAGTTCTGGAGAACCGGTAGCGGAAATTTTGAGTAGTTCGGAGAACCGGTAGTAAAAATTCTGACTGGCCCCGCCCCCCATCTATTCTCTGCCTCCCGAGTCCCAGCTGATCAGGAGGAAATGGGGATTTTTCAGTAACCTTCCCCTGGAGTAGGGTGGGAATGGAGATTTTACAGTATCCTTTCCCTGGAGTGGGGTGGGAATGGAGATTTTACAGTATCCTTCCCCTGCCATGCCCACTAAGCCACGCCCATCAAGCCATGCCACGCCCATCAAGCCACACCCACAGAACCGGTGGTAAAAAAATTCGAAACCCACCACTGGTGTGGACCGATATTACGGCCAAGAAAACTTCATGGTTGTGTCCATGAAGGTATGGGAAGCTGAGCTTCACTCTTTTACTTTTTTATTGGATGGGTCCTCTCCCTAAAAAGACGAGGAACACAGTCCATTGCCAGAACTGAGATTTACCTGTCTGACCGATTCCATCTCCTCCTTCATGAGGACTTTCTCTTCTTCCTGTTGATTGGCCTGATTCTTATTACTTGCAAGTTCTGATTTGAGAGCCGAGATCTGGTCCCCGGATTCTTCTTGATTTTTCTGGGCATGCTTCAACTCCAAACTGAGATGCTGGACTTGCTGAAGCAAAGCCACGTTCTTCTGCAATGAAGTTGCCAATAGAGAGAGATCCTTCGTAGCCCATTTTTCATCCATAAATTACAGACAAAGGCGTCCTTCGAAAAGGAAAACAGCCTCCCGCCTCGAAATACAAGGGCAATTTGTTGCCTTGATCCAAGAGATTTTTTTTTGACACCCACCTGTTTGATGTTCTTGTAAGCAGCTTGGAGTTGGCGTCTTTCTCGCTTGGTTTCCAGTGACGCTGTGGCTGTTGGGTGGCTGGCTGAGCTCTGCTCTCCCTGAAGACCCAAAGGAAGAGAAATGGGTTCTTAAAAATAGTTCTCAGACCATCACGGATATAACAAGGGTGAAGTCAAGAGCTGAATTTGAACTGGCTCAGAAAGGCTGTTGGACACAGAAGTGAAGGGAGGGATCTCAAGGTCTGGAGAGAGAATAGAGTAGAGTAGAGTGTAGAGTAGAGTAGAGTAGAATAAGAGTAGAGTAGAATAGGAGTAGAGTAGAGTAGAATAGAGAGTAGAGTGTAGAGTAGAGTAGAATAGGAGAAGAACAGAATAGAATAGAGAGTAGAGTACAGTCGAGTAGAGTAGTAGAATAGAAATAGAAATAGAAATAGAAATAGAAATAGAAATAGAAATAGAAATAGAAATAGAAATAGAAATAGAAATAGAAATAGAAATAGAAATAGAATAGAATAACAGAGTTGGAAGGGGCCTTGGAAGTCTTCCAGTCCAAACCCCTGCTTAGGCAGGAAACTCTACACCACTTCAGACAAATGGTTGCCCAACATCTTCTTTAAAACTTCCAGTGTTGGAGCACGCACAACTTCTGGAGGCAAGTTGTTCCACTGATTAATTGTTCTAACTGTCAGGAAATTCCTCCTTAGTTCTAAGTTGCTTCTCTCCTTGATTAGTTTCCACCCATTGCTTCTTGTCCTGCCTTTTGGTGCTTTGGAGAATAGCTTGACTCCCTCTTCTTTGGGGCAGCCCCTGAGATATTGGAACACTGCTATCCTGTCACCCCTAGTCCTTCCCTAGAGGGATGGAGATATTGGAGAACGAGTTCCAAAGGGGCTTTTTCGGGAGGAAACTGGACTTCCTTGTTTCTTTCTTTCTTTTTTTTTTTTTGAAGATGTTTTGCTTCTCATCCAAGAAGCAGCTGGTCATTTGGAATCTTTTAGAGAGCCAGTGAGACTACTTGGAGGTTTTATCTGTGTCCTCAGGGTCACCTGAGTGGTGCAAATGGTTCCTGTAATCTGAATTTTTTCCTCTGGAAATCCATTCCTACTGCCACATCATTCCAAGGGGGTTCATCCCAAATTGCATAGCTAAAAGTCTGTAGAGATTCTCAGTCATCCAAGTCATGGTTGTCCCAAAGGTGCTTATTTTTTAGGAGGCAATTGGAGTTTCTTGTTTTTTCTTTTGAAGACGTTTCGCTTCTCATCCAAGAAGCTTCTTCAGCTCTGACTGGATGGTGGGGAACGGAAGGATTTATACTCCTTGCAGACAGCTGGTCGTTTGGAATGTTTTAGAGTCACTAGACAAAGTCCAGTTGCTTCCTGAAAAAAACACCTTTGGGACAATCAGGATCTGGATGACTGAGAATCTCTACAGACTTTTAGCTGTAGAAGGAGGATTAGAGAACCCAGAATGGAGGTATTACCCCGAAAAGATTTAGTGGCCATGAGACTGAACGTGTCTCAGTTTGAAACGAGTGGCGGACGGAAATGGAGTATCCGGCAACTGAGAAGAATTGTATTAGGAATGGTTTATTTCTTTCCAACAGCCCCACCCCTTTCGATCGTAACATCTTCAAGGGCAGCCCCATGGGAGAGCCCGTTGCAGCAGACAAGCTGCTCCCTCTGCTGCCTGTTCAGACTTACCTCCTTGACGCATTTCAGCTGCTGGACCATTTCATTTCGTTTTTCTTCCAAGGTCTTGATGCAGTTCTTCAAAGCAGAGAGGCTTTCTTGAAGGTTCCTCAGCTCCTGGCCGACGTCCAACGTTTCCTGGGTCTGAAGAGAGTTATTTCCAATTTATTGGGAGCCGCGGTGGCGCAGTGGTTAGAGTGCCGTACTGCAGGCTGCTTCTGCTGACTGCCGGCTGACTGCAATTTGGCAGATCGAATCTCACCAGGCTCAAGGTTGACTCAGCCTTCCGTCCTTCTGAGGTGGGTAAAATGAGGACTCAGATTGTTGGGGGCGAGAGGCTGACTCTGTAAATCGCTTAGATGGGCTGTAAAAGCACTATAAAGCGGCATATAAGTCTATTCCTTCCTTCCTTCCTTCCTTCCTTCCTTCCTTCCTTCTTTCTTCCTTCCTTCCTTCCTTTCCAGTGGTTAGAATGCAGCATTGCAGGCTAACTCTGCCCACACTCTGGAGTTCGATCCTGACTGGCTCAAAGTTGACTCAGCCTTCCATCCTTCCGAGGTGGGTCAAACGAGGACCCAGATTGTTGGGGGTGAGAGGCTGACTCTGTAAATCGCTTAGAGAGGACTGTAAAAGCACTGTAAAGCGGTATATAAGTCTAAGTACTATTGATATTTTCTTTCCTTCTTTCCTACTTTCTTTCCTTCCTTCCTTCCTTCCCTCCCAGTGGTTAGAATGCAGTATTGCAGGCTAACTGTGCCCACATTAAATTAATAATTTAATAAAACAATGTTTGGGGGGGGGGAAAGGACTATCTGTAAATGCTTCTTATCCTTTGAATCGGAGACATTATATTTGTGGTGACAAAAGCTCTAAAACTAACAAGCTGGAAGTCATTAGCAATTAGATGGCCATGCCTCCCACATACCCCTCGCAGAAGGGGTAATGCCAAAACAGTGGTTTATTTTACACAAAAATCACTTGCACAAATATTGATTTTACACCTCGTCTATCAAGCTTTGCAAAGCTACTTCAGGGACACCTCTGGCTTTAAAGAGTTCAAGAGACATCACAACAGCTAAACCAAAGTTGATCTGATCTTTTGCATCACAATTCCCATCATTCTTCCAACATGGCTACCTGCACGCTAGCAGGGCATGATGGGATATGGTACCAAAACCCCTGCCAAGACCCATCTGGAACAAGCTAGGCCACATACAGGTAGTCCTCGACTTACGACCGCCATGGAGCCCAACATTTCTGTTTTGCCCCATTGTACGACCCTTTCTTGCCACCGTGGTTAAGTCCACTGCAGTGGACAAATTAGTAACCCAGCTTTTAAGTGAATCTTAAGTGAATCTTTTAAGTGAATCTGAGTTCCCCCCAGATTGTCAGACGGTCGCAAAAGGGGATTTACATGACCTTGAGAACAAAGCAACGGTCATAAATATGAACCAGTTGCCGAGCGTCCGCATTTTGATCACGTGACCACGGGGATGGTGCAGAGGCGTAACTGAAAACTGGTCGTAAGTCACATTTTTCAGGGCCAATGTAACTTTGAATGGTCACTAAACGATCTGTTGTAAGTCAAGGACTATGTGCACTGACAGACCTACAAACAATTTTAAGCCATGAACGATTCGAAAAAGTACAGCGGTGGTTCAGAAATTCCGTTCTCCTATCGCGCATCTCCTTTGCGCTGTAGCCACATTTGTGCCTCGTTGCAAAATTGCAAAACAAACCAAAGTTCGGGGCCGTTTCAGATCCAGATGTTAAGATTTGGAAGGTTTTCCTTACCACATGTTCGCTCTGACCGAAACCCTGGGGAAGCAAGTGGTGATCTCTTTTACCAAAGTAAGACCTCGTCTTGGCCAGCTCCATTTCTATCTTGAAGATCCTGAAAGACACACCAAACAAGAAGATGGGATTCCTGTATCTCTGGGGATTGCTGGAGAAGACTCCTGCAAGTCCCTTGGACTGCAAGGCAATCCAACCGGTCAGTCCTAGAGGAGATCAACCCTGACTCCTCTTTAGAAGGCCAGATCCTGAAGAAGAAACTCAAATAATGAGAAGGAAGGACTCCCTGGAGAAGAGCCTAATGCTGGGAAAGATGGAGGGCAAAAGAAGAAGGGGACGGCAGAGAACGAGGTGGCTGGATGGAGTCACTGAAGCAGTCGGCGTGAGCTTAAATGGACTCCAGAGGATGGTAGAGGACAGGAAGGCCTGGAGGAACGTTGTCCATGGGGTTGTGATGGGTCGGACATGACTTCGCAACTAACAACAACAGCAAAATAGGAATTGTTAATAGGAATATCTTGGTTTTCTAGAAGCTACAAAATAGCCACAGGATTATGAACTATTTCCCAGCTTCAGGAGTGGACAGAGTTGGCTTCTTTTGAAGCACAGCAACGGACGGCCTTTGGAAAAGCTGAACTTTTTCCCCCTTTATTTCTTTTTTTTTCTCCCAAGTTTTATTTCTTTTATTTATATAACATTCCATTTTCATCAAACAGTGTGTGTTCTGGGTACAATTATGTTCATCACCATCGCATTAATAATATAACAATACAGTAATATAATTGCTGTGGTTAGTTGCGAAGTCATGTCCGACCCATCGCAACCCCATGGACAACGTTCCTCCAGGCCTTCCTGTCCTCTACCATCCTCTGGAGTCCATTTAAGCTCAATAATAACGTTAATGTCAGTTTTGGAAGACAATTTTCTTAACTGCCACATATTTTAGCTGGGGAAGTTGGGAGGGGGTTGTTGTTGTGGAGCGGTAGAAAGTTAGTCTGTATTCAAGGACTTTTGCCTGCATCTGATGGAGACTGCCAGAAGATTGTATCAGGTGGAGTATGAAGAGTTGATTGGACAATGTGATGAACTTATGGGTGTGAGGCAGGGCTGTGAACTCTTAGCTGGGTGGGGAAAACCTGGAAGCTTTCAGATTTGGGTTTCCCAGATGTGCCAACATGACATCTCTAATAAATTGGAACTTTGAGGAACCTCAGGCCTCAGAACTTTATTTTGTTGGGTGTGTTCCTTGGAACCCTGACAGTTAATACTTAACATTTAACATCCTCATCTTTAACAACTCTCCTCTATCCCATTTCCTCCATTATTATCACCTCCTTTCTAACTTATTTTTCTTTTTATCTAGCCATTGATAGAATACGTCCCATCAAATATAAAAAAATATTCAGTTTCTTCTTGATCCTTAATAGCAAATGTTATTCTATCCATTTCTGCACATTCTAATATTTTTTAAAATTACATTCCCCTCAGATTGGTTCTGATATACAATCAGAAATATTGCATTTACACCTGTTGTTGTAAATATTGTAAACACTCCTGTTCTCCAAGAAGGGGGCTAACTCACTTATCATCCAGTTCCCCTTTTCGTGTCCTGCCTTCCGAACGAATCACTTCCAACCACTTTCTTTCCTTTTCCAAGTAGGCATAGGAACTCTCCATCTGCTGCAGGAAAGACAGAGAGTCAGGGGAAATTTCACACGCATCAACCAGAGGAAAAAATAATCTGCATTAACCTCCCTTAACAATTTCTCTTCGGCGAAAGAGAATTTGCTTGAGAAATTCTTTCACGGAGAAAATCATTTGCCCCATTGTGTAATCTTTCTTGCCGCAACTCTTTAAGTGAAATGTGAATCGCTGCAGTTAGTGACGTTAGCAACACAGTTGTTAAGTGAATCCGCCTCCCCCGTTGACTTTGCTTTTCAGAAGGTCCAAAAAAATCTGATCATGTGACCCCGGGACGCTGCAACCGTCATAAATTCGAGTCAGTTGCCAAGCATCTGAATTTTAACCACGTGGCCATGAGGATGCTGCAATGGTCATAAGTGTGAAAAACAGCCGAGTCTCTTTTTCAGTGCCACTGTAATGTCAAATGGTCACTAAATGAATTGTTGTACTGTTGTACATGGCTACCTGTACAGTCTGCAGATTGGGAAGAGGCCGTACATTACCTTCTGTTTTAGGGAACAGAGCTCAAATTCCATCATGTCAACTTCCAACTCGAGGTTCCGGGCTCCAAACTCTTTAGGTTGTCCTGCCAGGGAGTCACCCACGTCTCTAAGCTTCACGTTCCTTGGTGTCTCTTCCAAAAAGTTTGCCTGTAGATCCGTCTGCGAGCCGCTCCACCTTTTTCTAGCCAATGCCTGGTCGGAATAAAAATCCTTTGTATTGTAGTTTGGAAGGTGGGATAAGGAATTCCTCCTCCTAAGATTTGAACCGGGAGGCTGTATGGGGTACTCCACCCGCCTTGGAACATCTCTGCCAAAAATAAATGGATAAATAAACACATAAATAAATAAAGAGCTGAAGAAATTTCCTGGATGAGAAGCAAAACATCTTCGAAGTCCAGTTGCCCCTTGAAAAAAAGCACCCCCCAATTAGATTTCATGCCAAAGCTTCCCCCCGTTGTATCCAGTTTATTCCAAACCTACATTCTGTCGTTGTTGGCTTGAGAACCAGGCTGGGACCCCACAGGCACGGCTCTGAGAGATCCAGGATGTAGGAACTTCATGCTGGTTCCTCCTGGGCTTCTGAGCTCCAGGGCTGCTGTTACCCCATTGCTCTTTAGCTGAAAGAGAAAAGCAAGAGTTTCAAAACTCAATTGGGAAAATGTGACCATCCCCAGAGACCAGGGACAAGAGGGCAGGACAAGAAATAATGGGTGGAAACTAATCGAGCAGAGAAGCAACTTGGAATTAAGGAGAAACTTCCCAACAGTGAGGACAATTTAACCAGTGGAACAGCTTGCCACCAGAAGCTTGTGGGCGCTCCATCGCCAGAGGTTTTTTAAAGAAGAGACTGGACAGTCACTTGTCTGAGATGGTATATAAGTTCTCCGGTTTGAGCAGGGCTGGACTAGAAGACCTCCAAGGTCCCTTCCAGCTCTATTCCAAAATTTTAAAGTCCAAAAACGCCAGGGAATTTCTAGAAGCATCCAAATTTTGATCACGTGACCATGGGAGGGTGGGGGAGGTGCCGCAATGGGAGTAAGTTTGAAAATACAGTCATGAATCTTTTTTTTTTCCAGTGCCGTTGTAACTTTGAACCAGTGGTGAAATCCGAATTTTTTTACTACCGGTTCTGTGGGCGTGACTTGGTGGGCGTGGTGTGGCTTGGTGGGCATGGCTTGGTGGGCGTGGCAGGGGAAGCATACTGCAAAATCCCCATTCCCTCCCCACTCTTGGGCCAGCCAGAGATGGTATTTGCCGGTTCTCTGAACTGCTCAAAATTTCCGCTACCGGTTCTCCAGAACCTGTCAGAACCTGCTGGATTTCACCCCTGCTTTGAACGGTCACTAAACAAATGGTTGTAAGTGGAGGACATCCCATATGGGAGTCCCCTGACCCGCAAAGGTTAAGAGCTAGCAGAAACACCTGAATGCTTACCTGTGATGGAAAAGCAACTGTCTTTGAAGGAAGGATCTTTTCTGCGGCCAAAAGTGACTGAGAGAAGGACACGGGGTTCCCGCTGGTATTTTCCGACTCTTGGCTGGGGAGCCTTGAGCTTCCCGCCTCCACAGAGCTGCGTTGGAAACCTCCATCGATGCCTCCGTATCGGGAAGGCAAACTCCGAAATCCAGTCCACTTTCGGAGTAACATTGAAGGAGTTGAGAATCCCAGGAAAACTTCTTTTTCCTGAGCACTGTGGCCGAATCAACGTGATGATCCAATCTGGAATTCTGGCTGACGGAGGTTTGTGAATCCAGTCTGAAGAACCTAAAAAATCCATGACCCAAGATAGAGGGGGAGAGAGAGGTTTCCCAAAAACTATTTCCCCCAATGCATTAAAAAGTTTCTTCAGAACAAAAATCTCACAATCAGGACATTTAAAACGGTCCCAAATATTGGCCTTCATTCCTGATTCCCAAGTTTGCTCCTTCAATAACTATGTTCAAAAAATTTCACATTCTCTATTCTCATGGACCAAATCTTCATTCCTATAATGTACTTTTGACTGAAGACAATGAGGTAATGGGTTTTAATTTCCTAAATGCAGTCCTAAAATCATTCAGTTAAGTCATTACTCTGCAAAGCAGAGTTTAAGAGAGATGGTTCCAGAGATGGGTTTCAGCAGGTTCTGACCAGTTCTGGAGAACCGGTAGTGGAAATTTTGAGTAGTTCGGAGAACCGGTAGTAAAAATTCTGACTGGCCTCTGCCTCCCACGTCCCAGCTGATCGGGAGGAAATGGGGATTTTGAAGTATCCTTCCCCTGGTTGGGGAGGAAATGGAGATTTTACAGTATCCTTCCCCTGACACGCCCATCAAGCCACGCCCACCGAGCCATGTCATGCCCACCGAGCCACATCCACAGAACCGGTAGTAAAAATTTTTGACTCCCACCACTGGACTCTTCAATTTATTAAACAACTCAGGATAAGGGCATTATTTTGTTTGTCTGATTGTTTTAGAAGACGGTTATAAAAACAAGATCTTTCGTAATATAATTGCAAGTTTGAGTTCTACACATTTTAGGTAATATTGGATTAGTTTACTGAACTGTTTTATCTAATGCCAAAATTTGGATTATATTTGTATTTTCGTATTTGGATTTTTTGGCCAAGTAAACTTTCTCTTTATTTCATTTCAAGGGAAAACATTTAACAGTCTGGTAATACAATAATATTTCGTAAATCAAGAATGCAAAACAAAGATTTTGTTTGATCCAAGGCTAAAGTGATATATACACAGAAAGCTACAACAAGAGAAGGAATGAAAAAAAAAACCCTTTAAAAATGGAGCAACTTTTGGTGGATGTAATAAAGAGAAAGTAGACTCTGGGGGAGTTTTCCCTGGAAAAAACTTCTGCTAAAGAGAAGAAAGGAATTGAACGCTGCAATTAAACAAAGAAAGATAGCAGAGTCGCTGTTGGAAAGAGAGTCTACAGAAAGAAACAGATTCTCACATCCAGCCAAAACTCATGTGTATATAGAGGGAAGGTTCCATTATCAGAGAGCAAAATTAGACATTATTCTAATTAAAAAGCTACGTTTTTTTCAGACTCTGTGATGTGTTGAGCAAATGAGCCCAGCGTTCTGTTAAAGGGGAAATTGCAGACAAAAGTGATTTTAAACGCGATTATCATTCCTGCTTACCTCCCAATAATCAGGGCTGCCTAGTGGCGATCTCAGAATAAATGGGGAGCGAACAAGAATCTCCCCACTTGATCAACCTGGCTTCTGTAGGCACTAGCTTTCCCCAGGCCAAGAGGAAGAGTAGGGCAGTTGCTGCTATGGGAACTGTGGTGGCAACTAATCTTGGCTCTTACTCGCTTTCCATTGTTCGGGAAACTGATAGGTTTGAAACGTTGTCACCTGCCAGGTAAGGAGAACAGGAAAAGCGCCAAAAGGAGAAAAGTAAACTCTGCTGGCCGCTCCTTAAGGTGCGAAGATGGGTGGATTGATAGCAGCAGCTCATTCATTAGAAGCAAAAGTAATCCAAAATCACTGTAAAGGACGATGTTTGCACAATGATCAGCTGAATCGCAAATGCTAGTGGTTTGGAGTCACAGCGATATTAAATCGTAAAACAAACCATGCTAGGTTGAGTCGCACAGCTTCATTCACATGACACATTCAATCGTTTGAAGGTTTAGTAGCTGTGTTTGCACCATGTGCTAAGTTTAGTTAAACTTACGCAAAACAAAGGCCATTTCATTCAAGTACAGTTCAGCATCTTTAAACACAGAAAAGAATTAATTTAGCATCCAGTCTGTAGGATCTGAATGAATCCACCAAGCTTCACGTTAATCACCTTCTCTTTTGCCCAGACTGTGAACTGAGCCAGTGTGGCTTAGCTCTTGTGATCTAGTGAGAAGGAACGTTGTTACACCAAATGAGAACTTTTTAGCTACTGTAAGAAGAATTATCCTTCTCGGTTCAGTTCCAAGTGGGGAAAAAGACACTGGAAACATGGAGACCGCTTGGAAAGATGGTTTAATGGTGGACAGGATCACATGGTTTGAGTTCCTGAACAGAAAAGTGGGGCGAGATGCAGCGAGTCCCGGAGTTTTATGTCCTCTCTGGCTTTGAACTTCCGGGGGCCCAGAAAGAGTACTCTGATTGGTTGTCAGACTCCCAGGGGGTGGGGGTCTTAGCTAGCCTTGCTGGCTGATGTAATCTTCCCAGGTGCCATGTGGTGAGTTTCTGTTGCTAGATGGGTCCTATTGTGTTAGTTTCTGTTGCCAGATGGGTCCTATTGTGTTGCAGATGATGGTCCATTGACAAAGATTGAGTTTCTGCCTCTGGCCCATTGACAAAGGGTGGGGGGGGCAAGAAGATGGGAGCTGCTTCATCTTTAAAACATGATTCTCCATTTCTCATCCAGGGAAACATAATAATCTGCCTTTTTAATACTTCCTAAAATATTTCATTCTTCTAGGAAAGGGGTGGGTGCTAACTTCCTACAGTTTTACCCAAAATTATGATGTAATGTTGGAATGGCTTCCCAGTTGACTCCTATTTCAAATGCCTTCTGGGAGCTGTTCAAAAGGCCTTTAAGCCCTGGTTCCATCTTAGTTTAGAGTCAGTTTGGCTTTAGTTGATTTAAAGTTTTTATGCTCCATTTTATTTCGCCTGGAGACCTTTTTAATTAGTGTGCAGCAGACCTTTCCTTTGCACACTTGGTCTATTGTCCCTGCGTGTCCTTCTGGTAAGCTGCCAGAGCCCTTAGAGATTTGCCAGGCTACAAAGTGCAACAATAACAACCACAATAATAGCACGTCTCCTGCGAGCCTACGCTTCCCTTGCCGCAGTCCTCCACTACCACAAAGTCGGACTCCTAGAGCGGCGGACCAGCCAAGGGGGAAGGACCTCGGCGTTCAGCCGCTCTAGCCCGCGCGACGACAGCCACAGAGATTCTTTCTCCCCCCCCCGCCCCTTTCAGAGCTCAGAACGACCCGAGTGCGCCTGCGCGCAAGTGTCGTTTTCCTCATCATCGTCGTCGGTGTCGGAGCCGAGTTGTGGAGGCCTCGCTGAGGGCCGGAAACCGCGGTGAGAGCCGGGGGGGCTCGTTCTCTACTTGGGGGGTCGCCTCTGCGGCGGAGAGGCCACCAGAAAGCGGGGGAAGAGAAGCCTTCGCCGGCAACCGCGGGCCTAGTCGGCGTCACCCAAGCCCGCCGCTTCTGAGGGGCGAGAGGGGGGTGGGGGAATAGAGGCTGAAAGGAGTGGGCGGGGCTTAGGCTTCCCTCACAGGAGAGCCGGCCACGCCCCTCCGAGGCCTCACCGTTCTATTCCCCCCTCCCCTCCCGTCCGGGGACTTGCCACGAATTCCGTCGCGCGGCGCTCTCGTCCCAAGTCTCGCGGGAACATCGGCGACGCTTGGAAAAAAGAGATGTCGACGGTCCCTTCCGCCCGCCGGACGGGTCCCCGTTTCCTGGACGCGGGTTTTAAGGGTCCCCCTCGCGCCCGGGACCTCCGCCGGGTAGGGGATTGGGGGGTGAGGGGCGAGGATAAGGGGCTTTTAAGGAAGGGAGCGGAGCGGCTGTCGGTCGGGGCAGGGCCCTCCGGCGGGCCTGGCCTGGCCTGGGTGGGGGGGGGGGGGGGGGGGCCCGTTGGGGGGGGGGCAAGCCCGGGCTTGCCGGGGGGGGGGGGGAGAAGGCTTCGGGCCTACTGGGAGGGGGGGTAAAAGGGGGGGGGGTTCCTGCAGAGCCTGTGGCAACTTCGCTCCTGAGCCTGCCTTAAAAAAAAAAAAGCATCGTCATAAAATGCGAGATTTTTTTTTTTAAAAAAATCTCTCTCCTTAAGCCATGATGGTTAGGTTCTGGTTAGTTGGGCTTTACCCATTCTTTGTGCAAACAGGTCCCCCCCCTCTCATCTTTAATAAAACAACCACCCAGGTAGTCCTCGACTTACGACCACAAGCTGAGCCCACCATTTATTTATGTATGTATGTATGTATGTTATTTATGTATGTATGTATTTATGCATGCATGCATGCATGCTTATATGCCGCCCTATCTCCCAAGAGGACTCAGGGCGGCTCACAACAATAAAAACAAGCAAAATCAATGTTAAAAATGCCAGATTAAAATTATAAAAAGATCATTAAAATCCCCTTTAAAACCCCTTCGGTCCAAACCAGCCAGGCAAAATAGCCATGTTTTATTAAGATCACGGCGGAAAGAGCGAAGATTAGGGGCTACCCGTAGCTCCAGGGGGAGCTGATTCCACAGGTTAGGTGCGCCCACAGAGAAGGCCCGCTCCCTAGGGGTCGCCAGCCGACATTTATGGGAAAGTGAAGGGCAGTCCTTGGAGTTTTGCCCCATTTTACGACTGTTCTGTTATGACTGTTATTAAGCTGCAGTGGTTGAGTGAGTCAGCGGTCGATTTGGTTAAGTCCTCCTGCGTTAAATGGCACTTTACCTATATAGGTAAATAGAGGTACTCCCCGACTTACAGCAGCAGTTGAGCCCAAAATTTCGGCTGACATTTGTTAAGTCAGTTTTGCCCCCATTTTACAAACTTTTCTTGCCACGATTGTTAAGCGGTTCACTGAAATTAAGTGAATAACGTGTTTAAGTGAATCTGGCTTCCCCATCGACTTGGCTTGTTAAGGAGGTCGCAAAAGGGGAATCACGTGAACCCGGGACACTGACCGTCATAAATATGAACCAGTTGCCAAGCATCTGAAATTTGATCACGTGACCGTGGGGACACCGCAACAGTCATAAGTGTGAAAAATGGTCATAAGTTGCTTTTTTTTCAGTGTCATCGTAATTTTGAAGGGTCCCTAAACGAACTGTTGTAAACCGAGGAGTATCTGTATTGTTTTGCGTGGTGTGAAATAATGACGCATCCTTGGGGTGAACCAGGCACCGCTGTCCAGGTGTCAAACTACAGGTGTAATGGACACATCTGGTGTGCATCAATTTGGGAAGGTTGTTCGTGGTTGACTACTAGGATAGTCACCTCAATGTGGTAGTGACCGCTTTGAACAAAAGCCTTTTGTTATGTAGTGCCAAATATATAAATAGCTTCCATGCTATTTTTACAAATTTTAAACATAAGTTTCTTAGATGTGTATGTTTTATGATCATACATCAGTTGCTACTTCGTTGTTTTTATGTAAACCTTTATTGTAAGAGGTGTATGGAAATTTCTAGGGAGAGGAGAAAATATTAGACAAAGGGCACTATTTTTAAAAAAAATCCCAGAGTCATTTATCCCCAGTTCTACAATTGGGACTTTGAGAATAAATTAGAAAGTAGAATCTGATTACCAAGGCTTAGCTCTCATTGGGAATGGTGGAATTTTTTTTTTTAACATAATTGTTTTGTTGACACCTGGTATGGAAGAATATCTGGCTGGAGAGACAGCTTTGCTTATATGATTAATCATTTCCTCCTTTTCTTCCCTTAATGGATGGTTAGCCTTACAGTTTAGAATAAAATTCCTATCTTTAAACATTAATCCCGCACAACTGCTTTTTATAGATACTAGTAATTTGTACATACTTTAAACATGTTTGTATACTATTAATTTTTTTAGTACATTATTTCTGCAGCTAGTCATTTTTTGTTTTCTTATTTGTTATTTTATTACTTTGGTTTTTTTAGCGAAATACTGACTTAAGAAATTTCTGGTTCTGTCCTATTTATTTTAGCAAGTCAAAACAGTAATTGAGCTGCTCTGACTTGCAGTCCTAGTAGCTGTTTGCATTATTATTATTTCTCAAAAAAGCTTACCATATAGAAAGAAGTAACAATACCCTTAATGATGTACACAATGACTCTCATTAAATTTATCCTGTGTCAGTTATGCTTAGCTTAAAACATTTCCAACAGAGCCTTCGTGTAAATAGGTAATATTCCTTTAACACGATAGCTCTTAGACAGTCTGTTGCTTATGTCATAAAGGTCTTTTTAATGCCACTGGTATGAATATTCTTGAATTTGATGCTGCACTAACCTGTCTTCTTGAGGATACACTAGTAAAAAAAAATTCAGTATAATAGGATTTTTGAAGTTTGTGAATGGTGGCAAAAAGGTGTGAATTATTGGGAAGAATTTGTTCTGTTGGAGAGGTGGTTTCTTCCGTTGACACACATCTCTCCCCTGTGTATTCAGATGCATCACTGTAAACGTTACCACTCACCTGAGCCCGAGCCCTATATGAGCCATAGATGGAAGAGGCGGCGGTCTCGTAGCAGAGAGCACCATGAGGGAAGACCACGGTATCCCACTCTCCGGGATTTTCCTAGGAGGTCGCGTTCTAGAAGGTGAGCTGTTTAAAGCCAGCATTTGACTGCTTGATACTTGATAATGGTTTGAAAGGAGAAATTCTAAATGTGTTTGCTTAGAGATAACTTATCATCTCTGTAAGTATCAAGAATCCTAGACAATAAATCTGTCGAGGTACATAGTGCTACACACACCCCAAAAAACCCCCACCTTTCAGGTTTATATACAGTTGAGGGATTTTGCTTTCACATTTGGTGAGCCTTAGTGAATTGTTTTCACCACTGAAGGCAACACAATGCTCCACCAGCTGTCCTTTTGGACTGAGCAAAACTGCTATTGTGTTCTTAATTGGTTTCTTAGGTCAACCCACAGCTTATGGAGTCTAGAATGCTCCAAAGCAGGGCACTGTAGCTATTCTATCATGGCACCTGATTGTTTTAGATTGTTGGCTTCTGAATACAAATTTTGATAAGGGTTCTTTCCTGCCTCCTCTGTTTTTCAAAACGTATAAGGCAACATTGGTTGTCTTAGTTCTTGTTCGTGCAGATAAAACAGAACTAATCTTAGGAGGCTTTGCAGATAAAATGAAGAGGATTGGGAGAACCTAGACAAAATATTTGAAGCTGTATATTAGTAAGTATCCACCACTGTGTGGTGTATAGCAGAGAGCTTGTGGCATTTTAAAGTGAATTTTAAGATCCGCCCCCTCTCTTTTAGCCTCCAGGAAAAGCTTTGAAATCTGGCTTTGCTAGTTGGCCTGAAGGAGAAGCTGTTGGCTGGAGGTGGTTGGTGCGCTAACAAGAGAAAAGGAACTCCACCTCTCCCCTCCAAATCCTTGTTTTGTAGTTTGTTTCATTTTTTTGTAATTGCAATCTGTTTTTTACATGTATAATTGTTGAATATTTGTGGGTTTTATCTTGATGTAAACCGCCCAGATTTGCCTAAACCGTGAGATGGGCAGCAAAGAAATTTGAGAAATAAATAAATCATTCTGCCCTCTTAAGAGAAATAGATCAGAGACAAATATAGAAGTCAGTCCTCTACCATTCCCACTCCGAACCTCTCCAAACCCTCCAGCCCATGGAATTGGGATTAAAAAATGGAATGGAAATGAGATACTTCTGGGGAGCAATCTGCTAGCCATCTTGCTCTTAGAGCTGGCTGCTCTCCGCCCCCACCCACCCCAAATGTGGCTGAGATTTGGGCAGCACATCCTCAAGATGTGGGAGGTTGACTCCAGCGTCTGCTTCAACATAGAAATATATCGTGCTTGAGAATCAGACCCTCCACATTCCTTTGCATGTTGCTGTGGAACTGAAGAAATCAGGCAACGTTGCATTCACCTTTAAATGCTGCCAGGGTTGGCCTGGCACAGGTTGTCATTGGCATCTCCACAGTACAGGGTGGGCTAGAATAGACGAAATCAAATAAGGGCACTCAAAGGTCAGCTGTGACCTACAATTATAGGCCAGTTGGCTTTAGCAGTGCGCATCGAATTACCAATTTCACTTTTCACTTTATATAACGTAATATGCGAACTGTTTTGTATGAAAGGTACAATTTGTGATGAAATAAAAACCTGCGCATGAGACACGATGGTGGAAGGCTTTATTTTTGCCTCGGAACACCCCTCCCTCCAGAATAATTTTCTTTGTGATTGTGAGGACTAAGAATTGAAACAAGGCTTGCTACCCTGAAAAGACTCTAAAGCAAAGAGGCTCTACATTGTTTGGTGCAATTTGTGAACCGGCAAGTTGCTTTCATGAGTGAAAAATATAACAGTGGGCCCACGAAGCCGTCGATTGCCATACAAAGAGACTTTTGAATAAAGAGCCCACTTGATTCTGGAGGCTGAAATTCTAGCCTCAAGCCCAAATAGGGCGTGGTTTTTTTATGCTGGAAATATCTGCTCTTCTCCAAATCCTAGTTAATTGTTCTGTATGCTACAACCCAACGCCGACCTGGTCTCTCCTCTGATCTGTTATTGGCAATTATTAAGACTTCTGATCTCGGACAATTATAGATTGCTTAAAGGCCTGATTTATACTGCATAGGGAAATATGTGCAGATGAAATGGGACAAAATAGGAATAACGTAAGAAAATGTGTTATTACGTACTCTAATCTCAATGAAGCCTACTTCCCTGGTTCTTTTCTCGTTTGCTTAGGACAATTTTTAGTAGAACCACAGCCTCAGAATAAACAAACACGATTAACATTTGCAGCTTTGTTACAGAATATGTGCTACAGTCAGTGATGTCATGCAACCTAATTGACAGGTGCATCTGCTGACCGGTCAGTTAAGATTTGTGTGTTAAGAGTTATTTTAGGCAGCTGTTGTAAGTGCGTTGGCAGTAAGTGAACATCCTATGCTTTCTTTTGTTTGCAATTCAGCCAGGACAGATTGCCTTACCAGAGAGGGTACCGAGACAGGACGGACAGTGAACTCCACAAGTTTGAAGAGCAAAGCCCGTCTTTTGTGGAGGACTATTACTCTACCCGTCGTTCACGTCACCACAGGAGATCTCGGGAGCGTCATCGGACCAGGAAGCACCAACACCGTTGCCGGAAACGCAGGACCAGGTCTTGTAGCAGCACCTCCTCGGTGAGTAGCATCCAAAACGAGTTCAGGAAATGGTCTAGGGCCCAATTGACCTTCTAGCTCTTTTTCAGCTTTGATTTAACATTGGGTGAGTACTTCTAATCGCTATCTTTTTTTTTTTTTTTTTTCCCCCTTCTCGGTACGGTTTCTTAAGGTTTCTTGTCTCGTGCGATCCTGGTTATGTTAGGCTTGGTCACCCAGCTGTGAAAAAGCTGTAGTGGATGAGAATCCAGTGTGGTGTTTTCTAAGATGTATTGGGAGGTGATGATTCAAGGGGCGTTTGTGCAGGTGACTCAGGACGGCTGTGCTGCATCCTTCATTTTCCACTCTGAAGCGTCCACCCCATAATATGCATGGTGGCACTTGGTTAGTTGTGTTCAGTGACTCAGGCTGTTCCCCTGCCTTTGTAACAAGGACAATTTTTTTAGCCTTTGACCCCAGCCAGGTTGTGTTGGACTTGGCTGAAGGACGTCACTTCTTGGCATAACAACCCTCTTGAAGAGAATTCTGGTGAAATCTAGATCCTGCGGAGTATACAGGTAGTCCTCGACTTACGACCGCAACGGAGCCCAACATTTCTGTTGCTAAGTGAGACATTTGTTTAAGTGAGTTTTGTCCCGTTTTACAACTTTTTTTTCCATAGTGAAATCACTGCAGTTGATAAGTTAGCAACCGGGGACGTTAAGTGAATCTGGCTCCCCCATTGGCTTTGCTTGTCTCGAGGTCGCAAAAGGGGATCACGTGAGCTTGGGAACACAGCAACGGTCGTAAGTATGAACCAGTTGCCGAGCGCCTGAAGTTTGATCCTGTGATCATGGGGATGCTGCAAAGGTCGTAACTGAAAAACAGACATAAGTCACATTTTTAAGTGCCGTGGTAATTTTGAACCGTCACTCAACGAACGGTTGTAAGTCGAGGACTACCTGTATAAATCAGCCTGAATAACCTGGCAGCCTCCCAGTTACGCATGGCAGCCTCCCAAGGACTCAAAAGAACTCCAGACGATGGGAATTTGAGTACCTGCTGAGCAATAATACAGGGCTACAATGTATATTCAGCCTGTCGGAGGTTTGGGAAACATGCCCACATGGAGGTTTTCTACCTTTGGTTACAACTGTGTTCCTATTCGATGCATTTTTAAATTAAATTAATAACTAGTTCCCAAATCTCATCCACCGATTGGCTCTACCCATTAAACTGCAGAGAAAGGAAACAAGTAATTTAATAAGAAAACAAAGCAGTGACTATTAAAGTGCATGTATGACTTTGCTTTACTGATTCATACACCTCCCAGGTCCCTAACGCTGGAGGTGCTGTAATTGCTCTGTGCCCTTACACACCTAGTAAAGGGAAGGGAGTTTTGTGGATGATTTGAACCAGTCTGTCCTCTTTCCCTTATCCTGCTTTTCAATCACACTTGCTAATATCTTGCAGGCTGCTCACCGTAAGCCTCCCCTCTCCCTCCAGATCCCTGTTCTTGGAATTTGTCCCATAAGTACGATTTGCAGCGTTAAGGATACGGAGTTTGCTCGGTGTGACCTAAACCGTCCTGTTTTCTTAACCTTCTTTAACATGCTTAAGGATCTTAAGATTGACCTCAGCTCGTCTGTTCCAACCACTTTCTCTTAGACCAATACGCCTAGTTGTTCTCCAGTGGAAGGTGGAACAAGAGAAGGCAGGCTTGGAATCTGCAGCTCACTCTAAACGAGCTACATAACATTTTGCGATTAAATGGTGATTGGGATAATCCTTTATACTAGTGGAACTCTTCAGGATTGCTTGGCTGTTTTCTTCCCTCTCCTTCAGTACAGTAGAACCTAGTAATCATGAAGGACTCCTTTTCCGTTTTTGTTTTTTTTTCCTTTCTTCAAGAGGGTCAGAAACTTTCCTGAGCATTGGGGGCGGTGTGGGGCTGACCTCTATGACCTTAGTTGGCCTTTGGTCCTTTATAGACCGGTCATCAGCCACATTTTAAAAAATGCTCGACTCCCACACAGGGCTCCTGTCTAAAAACTTCTTCTAAGCTTGACTTTTACTCAGTACTGAAAGCAAACGAGGGGTTAGACCAGGTTTATCAAAGGTAGAACAACCAGATTTGCAGTGGTTTCCATCTGATCAGGAGGGTGTTGAACAGCCACTGGGGTAGGAGGGGGCAACCTAGGATTCTGCTGATTTTTTGGGAGGGTTGCCCATTATCACGGTTGCTGATGGAGACGCTCCTTTCATTGAATCCTCCTTCCTGCGCGGATCGCTTATCTTCCCTTAGTGATTAAGAGGTGGCAGTTGAGGCCTATGGGAGCGTGCCCAGTCACTGGGCACACGCCAGCTGCTTACCCGCTGCTCAAGACCTACGGGCACCAACTGCTGCGAGACTCCAGCCCTCGCCTTCCATAGCTAATCAGTTTCTTTACATACCTGTAGCTGTTTTTTTTAACCTTTGTTTTGAAAGTCGGTTTGTGTCTTGACGTGTCCCTTGCAATATCCCTATCGTTATATATGCTGTGTGCCTTATGAAATGCTGGGATCTGGAAAATCCAACCACCGACGCCATCGTCGTCTCTCCGCCTTTGAATGACAACTCAATCTGCCAATCGGAAACTGCCCGCTGTGTGCGATTGGTCGGATGGCGTTTCGGGGGGCGGTGTGTACAGAGAAGCCAACAGAGCAATAAGCGCAGCAGGAGCGTGGAAGATGACAAGGAAGGTCACCTGGTGTGCAGGATCGGCGATTGGCTCCAAGAGCGATGTACAGCCACCTTTCGTAAAACTTTACCTCTCTACTTTCTATCCCCATGTTAGACGAGATCGCTCTCAGTGTACGGGAGGGGTCTCTAATGTTTATTGCTTGTAAATGGACTGAACAGTAATTGCTTGACAACAGAAAATAGACAACTTGTGCATTAAAGAGTGTTAGCAGTGAGAGCTTTTCTTGAGATTTTTGAATGCTGTGAAATTGCAGGACCTCGCACCCGCGCGCCTGTGCCCGGCGCTCACATCCGCTTTTGTTTTTTCTCCTAGACGAAATTGTGGGCAGCCTTGGCGAAGGGACTTTTGGCAAAGTGGTGGAGTGCGTGGACCACGCCAGGTATGAGTTACTTAACACCTGACCGGATTATTAAGGCTCTTCTTCCAAAGGCAAAAATCTGCCCTCTTTACCTCAAGAGCAGAGGTCAAAACCTTTGTGCTTTCCAAGGCCACTTAGCACGCGCCGTGATTTCTCAGTAGGAGCACAGATTAGGCAAGCTAATAGGACACACGATGGGCACATTTTCATCTCATTCTTAAAGCCAGCAAAAACTATCCCAGGATGAGAATAGAAGAATAGAATAGAATAGAATAGAATAGAATAGAATAGAATAGAATAGGAATAGAATAGAATAGAATATAGAATAGAATAGAATAGAATAGAATAGAATAGAATAGAATAGAATTCTTTATTGGCCAAGTGTGATTGGACACCCAAGGAATTAGTCTTTGGTGCTCTCATGTACATAAAGGGATGCAACCTCACAAATTCGCATTGAGGTTGCCCTTATTTCTTCAGGGACAGCACAGAATCACCTTCGCCATTGCATTAGAAGTGGCCAAACTTCATATCACCAGCTCCTTCCCCCTTGGATTTTAAAGGAAAAGAGGGAAGAAACGGAGAAAATTGGGAATGCTGTGAGAAAACCTAGCATTTCCAAATAAATTCAATGACACCAACGCCTTTTGCTGTTGGCATCCTTTCGCCAAAACCCCCCTACATCTTTCTTACTGAACTTTAAGACTCCCCTGCCTCCTTTCCCTACAAGAAAGAGTCCCAAAAGATTTGCATCAGAACTTTCCCCAATTGTCAGCCCAAAGTGTTCTAGCAGAACAAAAATACTCTCAATGCTCCTTTCTAGCCTTAAGAAGGAATTCCACAGTGAAGGAGACAGCCTGGAGACACCCTTCAGGGGAGATGTAGGTCCCGGAAGTGAGAAAGGAGGGTGAAAGGGAGCATGCAAGCAATTGAGGAATGACAGTTCCCCCCAAAGCCAAGGAAGCAGGTTCTGCCCACCAATATGCAAGCAGGCCTGTCCCCAAGCAATGCAGCTCGGAACCCAGTTCGTGGGGAGTATATAGGGGTTCTAGGGAATGCTTTGAGAATCTAGGACAGAGTTCTCCTGACTTGGCAACTTTTAAGACTCGTGGACTTTAACTCCCAGGATTCCTCAGCCAGGTTTGGCTTGGTTTGCTTCTGCAACCATTCATCTTTAAATTGGGTAAAAGCAGTTGCCAGGATTCTGGTACCCTGTTTCCCCGAAAATAAGACATCCCCTGATAATAAGCCCAATTAGGCTTTTGAGCGCATGCGCTAAAATAAGCCTCCCCCCCAAAAATAAGGCCTCCCCGAAAACATTTAAATGCAGAGCTGGAAATCAGGTAAGACAGCAAGAGGAGCCCCATCTTGCTCCACGCGCCCCAAAATAATAAGACCTCCTTGAAAATAAGGCCAAGCGCTTATATCACAGTTCAAAAAAAATAAAAGACAGGGTCTTATTTTCAGGGAAACACGGTAGTCCTTTCTCTGACAGGGAGCTTGTTTTTCTAGCTGCTCTTATCAATCCAACTCTTGTTCATGGAGGCGTATCGTTGGAATGAAAGGAGAGGGAATTTCAACTCAACACCAGCCTGGAGCTGCTGCTTCCTAACCTGACAGCTCCTTCATATTGGTGTTTACCTGGCCCACTGAGCCTGTCCATGAGCAAATGGGGTGAACACAGCTTTCGGTGTTAAACTGAAAGTTTGACTCTAGAAGGTTCTAGAAATATGGGCGGGGGGGAGAATGGTATATAGAGAATGTCTTTCCCAGCCACGGTTCCCTGGGAAAGTACCAAATTGTTGGACTGTTGCAATTTTCCCTACATGGGACTGAAGTCCATGTAGATTGTTACAGCATGGACTGCATCTAAATTCGCCCCATGACACTTACATTGTCGGGAGTTGCAGTTGGCTGGCAGTCAGCTTCTGTGGGCAGTCTAGAACCCGTGTCAGTCGTTCCCCTTTAAGGTTCTGCATAGCTCAGGGCTTGAGTATCTTCAAGACCCCCTACTCCAAAGTGAATCTGCCTTTCCGTTGAGAGAAGGCTCGCTGAGGGTCTCGACCTCGAGGGAAAGTCTAACTTCAGGAACCCGCCTTAACCAGAGGTGGCCTGTCAGTGCATGAGCTTGCCTTCATAACATCTGGATTGATACCACCCTGAATTTTCTACAGGGTTGGTACAACGTAACCCTCTGACAGGGCATTTGGGGGGACATTAAGATGATGTGCCACTGCTTTATTTGAATACTAGTAAATGAGCACTGAATGAATAATCCAACTATCTACTCCCTTTGTGAGTGCTTTGTCATCAAGAAACTGCATCAAGTAGCATGAAGCACCTCTGGCCTTCAAAAGGACATGAAGGGGGCCTTCAAGCAGTGAGATAGACAGGTGAAGCGCAGTTGCTCTGAAGAGCTTTATGATTTAATTATTACGGTACTTGATCTTTTATTTTTTGCTCTGTTGTCTTTTGGCACCTGTCTCTGGGAGCTTGAAAGGAAAGAGGAATTGGTTTCTCCTGTTTTAGGTTTTTATTGAACGAAAGTATTGGATTTAATCTCAGCCACTTCCTCGTTGGAAATATCTGCTGTTACTTCTCTAACAATCCGTCTTTCTTCATTTGCTCTGTAGAGGCAAATCTCTGGTAGCTTTGAAAATTATTCGAAATGTGGGCAAATACCGTGAAGCAGCCCGACTAGAAATTAATGTCCTAAAGAAAATCAAAGAAAAAGAAAAGGACAGTAAACAGTAAGTATTGTTGCTGCCATTTATGTTGTGTGTTCTTTTTTCAAATGATGATGCTGGAACAACCTCCCAGGGGGGGGAGTCACGAAATAGGCAGCTCTTTTACCCTATGCACAGCCCCCTCCCAAGAATTTCTAAAAATGAAGTAGTGCTTATTCTATTAATTCCTTCCAAATTTTTTTAGTTTTTGAGGAAGTGGATACTTTCATATGCATAAGTATCCTTTGTACTCTTTTATGCTCCTTGGGCAATAAAACCCACCCACCCACTCGTAGAAGCTCCATTAAGTTGCTTTTCCTTCTCCCCAGATTTCCCAGTAACCTTAACGTTTGCTTCCGAAGTAACCTTCCTTCAGTGGGGGTGAATTCTTAAAAGGCAGCCCCATAGAATTTGACGAGGCGGTTAATGCTTCTTTGGCAGCCAGATTTCCACCCTCTCTCTGTTCTTTTCCTCTTCAGGCCTAGCCTGTGTGTCTTGATGTCGGACTGGTTCAACTTCCATGGCCACATGTGCATCGCCTTTGAGCTGCTGGGCAAAAATACTTTTGAGTTTCTGAAAGAGAATAACTTCCAGCCCTACCCTCTTCCGCAGATAAGGCACATGGCCTACCAGCTCTGCCATGCCTTGAAATGTAAGTGCTACTTCTGTAGAGAAAAACAGAAATAAAAGATCTCGGTTTTCTCATTGTTTGGGTGGGGTGGGGCTTTAGTCATTCTTGCTTAAGTATCCCGGTCAATCCTGAAGTATTTAACAGGATTGTAAGTCTAATGGCCAAAGAGCCAAAAATCACCCCGGGTTTTTCATGGGAGATTGTTTATCTGGTAATTGATGGCATAAAATTGAATAGGTGCACTGTGAAATCAGATGGGGAGGGAAGGGAAATGAATTCAGTCTCCTGAACGTTCCTAATTTGGGGGTGATGATTAGCCTGAATGTCGCCCTTTTCAGTAAATTTTCTTTGAAAAGCCTAAACACTTCACAGCATCTTAAAAAAAAAAAAAAATTGGCCTCGGGGTAGCTATTTCTGAATAGATATTCCGGTAGTTAAATCCCTATTAGACTTCAGCTGTGGATTACAAGTTGGTAGCTGTAACTGCAAAGCTGATTGGAATGTCTCCTCCCCTTTTTCTGCAGTTCTGCACGACAACCAGCTGACTCACACGGATCTCAAACCTGAAAACATCTTGTTTGTAAACTCGGAGTTTGATACCTTGTACAATGAGAAAAAGGTGGGTTTCATTTGAATAGGAAGGCTAGGCGGTTGCTTTTACACGGAAATGAAGGAATATTGCTTAACGCACTGTAAGCCGCCCTGAGTCTCCGGAGAAGGGCGGCATATAAATCAAATTAAAAAAAAAAAAAAAAAATATCAGTTTGTGACCGGACAGGGAGCAGCTTATGATTACAGCAATATTCAGGATGGCAATTCCCCCAGATTTCAGAAGCTTGAAGGCTGTGTAAAATTGCCACTTCCCTCCCTGTATCTCTGATTCTTGTTGTATAGGAGTTAAGCCTTTTGGCTGATGTTGAGCCATTTAATATCTCGTGTTAGCTTTGGGGATTCGTGACAGACGTGCAGGCAGCAAGTGCCCATTTTCCACCTAGTCGGAAAAGAAAGGCTATTCATAGACCATTCCCTTTGAGAATATCACATTTTTGAGAAGGCAATGAATGGACCGGCGGCCTCTTTTCTGCCTTGTAGAACTGTGAAGAGAAATCTATCAGGAACACCTGCATCCGGGTGGCAGATTTTGGAAGCGCCACTTTTGACCATGAGCATCATACCACTATTGTGGCGACTCGGCACTACCGGCCGCCAGAAGTGATCTTGGGTGAGTCGTCACTCATGTTCCTGTTGATTGCCACATTAAGTTAATTTAGGATAGGATAGGATAGGATAGGATAGGATAGGATAGGATAGGATAGGATAGGAAAATAGGATAGGATAGGATAGGATAGGATAGGATAGGATAGGATAGGATAGGATAGGATAATAGAATAGGATAGTAATAGAATAGAATAATAGAATAGAATTCTTTACTGGCCATTTCATAATCATAAAATCATAATATACAACACTCAATGATAGTCTAAGATGCTAAATAAGCACATTCTTACTGTGTCATAAGAAGATAAGAAAATAGGAAAGATGAGAAGGATAAGGAGTAATACAGCCCTACTAGATACTTTGATAGTGTAATGGAAATTAGTTGTTCATCAGAGTGATGGGACCTGGGCGGGGTGGGGGTGGGGGGATGACGACTGTCCTTGTGTCTAGATCTGTCATGGGGAACCTATGGCACGTGTGCCCAAAGTGACCCGCGAAGCCATATCACCCGGCGTGCACGGCCTTGCCTGTTTGTCTTCTGGGTTTCTGGTGCGCATGCATGCGTAACACTCAGCTGTCTTTCGCGTGCTGGTGTCCTTCGCATGCGTGCCAGCCAGCTGATTGTCAGGTGCACATGTGCACCAGAACCTGGAAGTTCAGCTTTTCTGGAGTGTGGCCCCAACAAGCCCCGCACACGTGACATTTCCGCCATCACTGGTCTAGATGTTTTGGTGTTTTAATGCCCCAGCCTATAGCGTCGTCTTGGGAGAAGTTGAAACAGCTTATGTCCAGGGTCTGTACAAGGGTCTGTAGATATTTTCACAGCCCTCTTTCTGGCTCGTGCAGGATACAGGTCCTCAGTGGAAGGCAGGCTGGTACAGGAAGGCAAGCACTTGAAATAAAGAATCGGAGCAGTTTGAGTGGTGGAGAGAGAATGCAGCCATCTATAGACTTCAGTTGCGATCACAGTTATATCTTCACTTGTTATGTAGAACCCGTGTGATTTTGTCCTTCCTTTTGCAGAGCTGGGCTGGGCACAGCCTTGCGATGTCTGGAGCATCGGTTGCATCCTCTTTGAATATTACCGGGGATTCACACTTTTCCAGGTACATGGATTTCATTGTCTCTGGATAGATTCAAGTATTTATTTTTTTTCCTTCCGTGTTAAAAGAGCGAACGGGAATTGCAACTGGAAACTCCATCGCTAAGGGATGTCATAGAGTGTAGTGTCATATGAATGCATCGTTAAGCAACACATTCTGGGTCATTAAGTGAGGACTTCATGTGACTGCAATGTCCGGCTTCTTGCTGCCTTCCCCATTGACTTTGCTTGTTAGAAGCCAGCTGGGAAGAGGTTGTAATCGTGGGATTGCAGGACACGGCAATGTCATGATTGCAATAATTTGACCCCAAGGACACCGTGACGGCTAGGATTACAAGGAACGGTCATAAGTACCCTTCATTCAGCACTGTCATAACCTTGAACAAGCACTGAATGGGTCATTAAGCAAAAACTCCCTGCAATTATCCTTGCCTATCAATTGCAGTATTCGATCCGTAGTCCATTTGCTAATTGCACTGATTGTGTCTTATTACGTTTTGGTGACTGGTGTATGGTTGACTTTGGCAGCATTCAACCTCTCGTCTGCTTGACACAAAGAAGAGATATTGTCTTGAAGTCAGTGAGAAAAGAAAAATGCTGATCCTTTTTGTTTTGTTTTGTTAAATAGAAATAACGTGCTTTGTTTGACTTCACAGACTCATGAGAACCGAGAACATCTAGTAATGATGGAGAAAATCCTCGGCCCGATGCCGCAGCACATGATCCGCAAAACTCGGTAGGAGTGCTTGACTGAGTAAGTTTGGTCTTTTTGGGAGCAGGAAGTAGGCCATCATCATCTTGGGCAGGTGGATCAGCCAAGGATTACTTGTTGGCAACGTAAGATGTTGGTCAAGGTTTCTCTGGAAGAGTAACACACGTATAAGGAAGCACCAAATCTCTAAATGACAGATTTGTTGAGACGGGGTAGTAGTCTTTGTATTTTGTAAAATAGTTTCTGCAGCAGCTGGGGGAGAAATGAGTTGTGCGTGCTGTCAAGCTTTTTTGTCTCAACCCTTAATGTTAGTTTTCTGTGTTTTTTTCTTTTTCCTTGTTTACAATCAGGAAACAGAAATATTTTCACAAAGGGAATTTAGTATGGGACGAGAACACGTCTGATGGAAGATACGTGCAAGAGAACTGCAAACCACTACAGGTAAGGAAGGGGAAAAAGCTTTTAATAATGCTCTTAATTCGTTAAAAAGTGGACTATTATCTGAATTCAGCTTTCATTATGCCTCTGGAACATTTTCTGAACCAATATTAGATAACGGGATCCATTGGCTGGGAATGTCTTGTAAATGAAAAAAGAGAAGAATTAAGTCCATGTGCCCTAAAATGAGCTGAAAGCGATAACCAAACATCCTGCTATACTTAAGCCTCCCCAAATTAGAAGGCGGCTGGCATAAATTGTATTTATTAATCAAGCACAATTTCACTGGACATGATTTTTTTTTAAGGGTTTGCCTCCTGAAAACTTTCCATCTTGCCTTACTGTAACCTTTTTAAAGCAGCGGATTATTTCCTGCATATTACTATCCTGTACATATATCGCTAATATATATAGCAATAATATATATTTTAAAAATCTCGTTATCACATGAAAAGAAACACCTGTGACATTTCAAGGGCCTGGAGGTTAAACACTTGCCCTTCCTAAAAAAACAGGAGCCATTTATGGCTCCCTGTCCCTTCTTCTCTCCTCAGACGTACATGCTCCACAATTCCGCCGAGCACCTGCAGTTGTTTAACCTGATGATGCAAATGTTAGAGTTCGATCCTGCGCAGCGGATCACGTTCGGCGAAGCTCTGGTCCACCCCTTCTTCGCCGGCTTATCTGCAGAGGAACGGCGGCTGACTAACCGAGACTCGAGCCGCGATTTAAGCAGATGACAGACCGGTCAAGGGGAGCTCCCAGCAGGATATGTAAATACTCTGAGATTAGTCTGACCTCTGCCAAGGAACAACGTCAAGGGTCCCGCCCCTTCCCCGGAGCACCATGGACTGCGTTGTTAGTGCCATCTCAGATCGGACATGGGAGGGGAATGGGACCGCAGTCCAGAAGCACAGATTTCTCTCGTAATTTATATGTTGTAAAGTTCAAATAAAGTGTTTCATATTGTTTGATAATTTACTTGTTATGACTGCCGTCTAGCGACTTGGGACTTCCTTATGGATGAACTTTTACGTTTTAACAATAAAAATGGTGGTTTTATATCTTGCCACAAATCCGGGAATTTTACAGTAATGTGTCTTCCCTTGCTGGCTGTGTTTTAAGTCCCCCCCCCCTTTTTTTTTTTAATGGTAAAGGAGGACATAGGATCTTGTACTTTGGCATATATTTTTGGTCATTCCGCCTCTTGTGGCTAATTCAGTTGTGAAATTGACTCAAAAGACGCTTGCCTTGTAGACTACAGCTAAACTACAGCCTGAATGATCTAGGCTAATATTCACTGTCAACCTGCGAAGTTTTAACTAAAAATAGATGGTTTTGAGAGTGTACTAAAAGTCAGGCCCCACTCTTCACCCCCCACCCCCCCGAGAGAAAATGTTCAATATTTAGTAATGTTCAAAAATTACGCATCAATAAAGTAAGGAAGCATTTAAAAGAAGAAAACCAGTTCAAACATTTAATGCGTTTCATATAATAAATTGCCTTTGGGACCTGACTTCTGAGGCCTGACTTAGCTTACATATTTAGACACACTTTATCTGAAGATGAGCAGCTTTGAATGGAATATTTGATAAGAGGTATGGTTTGAATGCCAAACTAGACACGTTATGACAAATCCTGAATTGAAATGAGTTACCGAAAAGTGCTGATAATGATTGTCTACTAAGGCATTATTACACCAGCCCTGTTTCGTAATTCCTAGGGATGATTTACGGAAAAGGTCCGGTTTTCAGGGATTTGCACAACCATCCGAAGATCTTGGTATCAATTCAACCCAAGCTTGCGGTTTGATCTTAAAAAAGATGTACAACTTCCATTAAATTGGAAGTTATATGCATGGCACTGCTGTAAACACCACAGTAAGAATCGGGGCGTGTTAAGTTCTCTGCCCCCGTCTCCAATTGTAATTATTTTTTAAAAATTTATTTTAAGCCTAGAGAATGGTCTAGTGGTGAAGGGGCTCGCCTCCCTCTCGGAAGGTTAAGAGTTCAATCCTAGGTAGTGGCGGATGTTTCTCTCCTAGGGTGCAAAGAAAAAAAAAAATCTGCTGCAAACTCCGCATAGGCATCAGGAAGGGCATCCGGCCAGTAAAATGGTCAGCATCATCCAGTTGCCCTGACTCTGCCCCAAGTTAAGGGATTACAGGATTGTAAAAAAAATTTTTAAAAAAATTAAGCCTAAATTAGTGTGTGGATTCAGTCTGGGCTGACGGTTCTGGGGAGAAAAAAGCAACTTGTTTCCTGCGTCGGGAGCGAATGGAAATGAACACGACTTGTCAAGCGAGCTGCTTTACTGCAGTTTAATCACTGTGATTCATGAGAATTCTGCACGGCATCTTTGGAGACGAGAAAAGGCTGAGCGCGGTGGTGGCTTTCTTGAAGCTTCCCGCTTCATCAATACACGGAGCCCCCCCCCCCCCGCCAAATCTAGACGGCGCCCAAGGACTGCAAGAACACGCGCCCCCCCCCCCTCCTCATAGCAAGAACCGGCTCCCCGCAGAGCATTGTTAAGACAATTCCCCACAAAAATGGGAGAAACGGAAGAGGAACCAAAGCATCGCTACAGCAGCGCCTGCGGAAACGGTGGCTCATGGGCTTTTCAGTGTGCGGGACCACAATTGTGGCCAGCCAGTTTGCCTCTTAAAGGTGGACTACCTGACGACATCACATCCATTCTATCGCTCCATGCAAGCACAGGTGTGCGGTCCTTATAAAGGGAAGTAGACCACTGTGCCCGAGTCAAAGCGCTTAAAACCTTCCTGGACCTTTGTATCCAATGGGAACGGCATGGGCCCAACAAAGCGCCTAGTTCTTTCGGTCTTGTGCACACAGTCTCACACGCACACACACACACACACACGAGGAATAGCCATTCATCCGCGCACGCTTTTCACAGATGGCAGGACGCGAGTTACGGTAGAGACCTAAACGTTGGCACGATCCCATCCGTTCCTCCGTCACTCCAGGCGTCCTTGCGACACCCGCGTGGCACCGTTCACTCAACGAGCACAACAGGAGAAGCAAGTGCTAGTTAAGCCAGGAGCCGAGGATGGGGGGGGGGAGAGAGGAACGAGGGCCGGCCCTGGAATGGAGCACGTGATCGCAACCCAAACATGGCAAGTCCAAGAACGCTTGAGGTGGAAAGAAAAGAAGGACGATCCAAGCACTAGGAGGGAACCCAGATAAATCGTGATCGTTTCCCCTGTGATCGTGGAAGGCCAGGGCGCTACCCAAGCAACCTTTCGCCCACACTAGTGCTGGGAAAAAACAAACAACCACCCCAAAAAATCCCCAAAAGTTTAAAAGAAAAATCACAAGGAGTCTGGTAACGCAACCAAAGCGAAGCGGGGCTCCCGGGGTAAGAGGACACTTCTGCTCATCTTCCCACCATCAACGTGAGCTGCCTTTGAAGACTCCTCCGGGCAATGGCACAGGTGCACGGATGGCTCGGAGCAAGGGGGAAATCCTTGCGCTTCTCTTGACTCGTTGAGCCAGTGTTCCTTTTGGAGAAGAAACACGGCCCAGAAAGTTTACAAAAAAAATATATATATTTCTCCTTAAGGCGTCCACAAACGTTTCATACGGTCAGGATCCACTGGGTAGCCGGAGCTTTTGTCTTCTCCTGGATGATAGTCCAGGGCTTCCCGCCCTTTAGGTCGAATGGAGAGGGATGACAAATTTGCAGCCGAAAGGCGAGTGGTAATTGATGCCCACCTCCTGGAACACTTTCTGCGGGATGCCGATGTCGCACAGGTACAGCCGGCCGGCCCTCTCGCCCAGCGACAACGGCAGCCCCAAGGCCAGAGACCACTTGGCGTCGATTTCTTGTTCCATTTCGTTGACGGGAGGGTCCAAGCTGAGGACGGGGGCTCTGTTCTGGTTGGCCCAGTCTACGGCAGCTTTGTACCAGGGCTGGTCCCTCAGGAAAGCGTTTTCGTGGCAATCTAAGCAGTTGATCACTAAGTCAACAGGCGTCTCTGGAAGATCTAAAGGGGGGGGCGGGGGGGAGAAAAAAAGAGGGCGTTAGGCATTCGCTAATGGGGTGTTTAGGGGACGTGGGTGGCTCAGTGGTTAAGACGCTGAGATTGTCCATCGAAAGGTCGGCAGTTCAGCAGTTCGAGTCCCTAGTGCTGCGTAACGGGGCGAGCTCCCGTTCCTTGTCCGAGCTTCTGCCAATTTAGCCGTTCAAAAGCATGCAAAAAATGCAAGTAGAAAAATAGGGACCACCTTTGGTGGGAAGGGAACAGCGTTCCGTGCGCCTTTGGCGTGGAGTCATGCCGGCCACATGGCCACGGAGACGTCTTTGGACAGCGCTGGCTCTTCGGCTTTGAAATAGAGATGAGCACTGCCCCCTAGAGTTGGGAACGACTAGCACATCTGTGCGAGGGGAACCTTTACCTTTAATGGGATGTCGGGCTTAAGTGGGGGAGATCGAGGTTCAACCCCCGTCATGGATCGCTTCGAACCACTTCCTCTCTCACTGAACTGCGGTGGAGATAAAAAATGGAAGCCGTCCGCGAATGGTGGAATACAGCCAGTCCTCGGCTTAATGACCATCAGTGGAGCCCCAAATTTTTGTTGCTAAGCGAGACGTTAAGTGAATTTTGCCCTATTTTTACGACTTTTCTTGCCACGGCTGTTATAGGGAACTGGCTGTAGTTGTTAAATTAGTAACTTCAACCGGGTATTTTCCTACGTAAACCAAGTTTCTCAAATTGCAGCCATTGCTCAGTGAAATCACATCTACTATCTAGGCTTCTTCAGACAGCAAGCATGCATTTTGTTGCCTATTGGGAGACTAATATAGATCTATTTCCAAAATAGATTTGGTTTACGTAGGAAAATACCTGGTTGAAGAAAAATACATACAAAAACCGACCAAATTCACCTGTTCAGGTTATCTCCCTGAGATGGAAAAATAAACCAAGGTCTCCCCACTAGGTGGAGCTCGTAAGGTTGAAAATTAACAGGCTGTTAAAGGCAGCTGATGCTTTTCGCATCTAGAAGCTTCCATGGATCTCAACTTCCTTGGCTTCTTCCAGCTGCCACTCGGACATCAGCAAAAATATATTCCAAATCTTCTACCACCACCCCGAAACATGCTGGATTCCAATTTTCATCACCCCACCTTCTTCCTAAGCCTCCCCCCACACACACCCTTAAAACAAAGACATTTGATTTTAAGCACTTTAAGAGTTTTTAAGATACCAAATGTTGACCTCCCCTCCTGAGGAAGTACAAAGTTTGTGGAAAGTTCATGGGAGTACAAAAAGCATGAATGAATTAATTGTAGCATGAGCCCAACATCGAAATGTTAGGTGACTTTTGGAGGGTTCCATAAAGCGACCCCACTTCTGAATGACTGAAATGGATTGTTTTATGGAGAGCTGGGAACACCCCGATTCAAGCTCCTTAATTTCTCGTTTTTAGATGGCGGCGGAATCGAGGAGATGATCTGGAACATTTTTAAATAGCAGGCAGCGTTTTAAAGTTTCATCCCGTCTTTCTGTTTGTATTTTATGCTTTTGCTTTTACCGTGTTTTATGATTTGGGGGGCTTACTAATGAAGACTCTGGAATTGAGAGATAATTTTTTTTAACAGATTAACAGAGTTGGAAGGGACCTTGTAGGTCATCTAGTAACCTTGTTGGTTACCACCTTTAAAGCGCTCCATGGCATAGGACCCGGGTACCTTCGAGATCGTCTTCTGCCACCAATAGCCTCCCACCGACCAGTCCGTTCCCACAGAGAGGGTCTCCTCAGGGTGCCATCGGCCAAGTTATGTCAGCTGGCGACACCCAGGGGGAGGGCCTTCTTTGTGGGAGCCCCAGCCCTGTGGAATGAACTGCCCCCGGAAATACGCAAGATCTCCGACCTCCGGGTGTTCCGCTGCGCATTGAAGACCTTGTTGTTCCGCCAGGCAGGGCTGTCAATATAATAATTTTAAATTGGGGTATTTTAATTTTTAGAGTTTTAAATCAGCCAAACCTATTTAATTATTTTAATTTTTAATTATTGTTGTGTCTTGTGTTTTTAAACTGGCTGTACACTGCCCTGAGTCCTTCGGGAGAAGGGCGGTATAGAAATAAAATTATTATTATTAATTATTATTATTAGTCCAACCCCCCACCCAAGCAGGAGAGCCTACACCATTTCTGACAGAGGGCAGTCCAGTCTCTTCTTGAAAGCCTCCAGTGATGAAGCTCCCACAACTTCTGAAGGCAACTTCTGTTCCATGGGTGGATTGTTTTCACGGTCAGAAAATTTCTCCTTATTTCTATGTTGATTTTCTCCTTGATCAATTTCCATCCATTATTCCTTGTCTGGCCTTCAGGTGCTTTGGAAAACAGCTTGACCCCCTCCTCTCTGGGGCAGCCCCTCAAATATTGGAAGGCTGCTATCCACAGAGAGGGCTCGCAATCTGGGAGTCCTCCTGGATATGCAGCTGTCCTTGGAGGAACATCTGACGGCTGTAACCAGGGGGACCTTTTGTCAGGTTCGCCTGATTCGCCAGTTGCGGCCCTTTCTTGATCGGGATTCCCTGTGCACAGTCACTCACGCCCTCGTCACCTCTCGCCTTGACTATTGCAACGCTCTCTACATGGGGCTCCCCTTGAGGAGCACCCGGAGGCTCCAGCTGGTCCAGAACGCAGCAGCGCGGGTAGTGACGGGAGCAGCATGGCGCTCCCATGTAACACCGCTCCTGCGCGAGCTGCACTGGCTCCCAGTTGTCTTCCGGGTGCGCTTCAAGGTGTTGGTTATCACCTTTAAAGCGCTCCATGGCATAGGGCCTAGCTATCTTCGAGACCGCCTGCTGCTACCAACGACCTCCCATCGACCCGTGCGCTCCCACAGAGAGGGCCTCCTCGGGGTGCCATCAGCCAGACAATGTAGGCTGGTGACCCCCAGGGGGAGAGCCTTCTCTGTGGGGGCACCTACCCTCTGGAATCAGCTCCCCCCAGAGATAAGGAGAATCCAAGACCTAAGTGCCTTCCGTCGCGCCCTTAAAACCCATTTATTTAAACAAGCCGGGCTGGCTTAAGATGAAATTTTTAACTGTTTTTAAATGTTTTAAACGTTTTTAATTGGTAAATGAGTTTTAATTGGGCCAAATTTATATATCTTTTAATTGTTTTTAATATTTGTTCTGCATGTTTTTTTTTAATCTGGCTGTACACCGCCCTGAGTCCTTAGGGAGAAGGGCGGTATAGAAATCCAATATAAAATAAAATAAAATAAAAATAAATCCTGTCTCCTCTGGTCCTCCTCTTCACTAGACCAGCCGTGCCCAGTTCCTGCAACCGTTCCTCGTATTCATCGTATAATTTGAAAGGCTCCTTTCCACATTTGCATTTACCTTTAATACTGGACACCTGCTGCCCTTGCGTCTTGCTGAACAGCGTCAGCTCGTTGGTGATCGATTCCAGCATCTTGACGAAATTGGGGAGGAACAGAATGACGTCCACGTCGTGATTGGAGAGGTGCCGACCACAGCTGATCCCCTGGGCCCCTTTCACGTGAGGGCCACACAACAAGGCCACGGTCGGTCGCTGGTGAATGTTTTTAGGGTTCAGCCTGAAAGGGAACAAGGGTTTAGTTTTGTGGACGCGTGAATTTTCAGACGAAGGTGCAGCAAAGAAAACTTGTCGCTTTCTCTAGGAAAAGAAACTTCGAATCCTTTACCGCAGTGGCACAGTGCAGTACTGCAGGCTACTTCTGCTGACTGCCGTCTGCCAGCAGTTTGGCAGTTTGAATCTCACCAGGCTCAAGGTTGACTCAGCCTTCCCTCCTTCCGAGGTGGGTAAAATGAGGACCCAGATTTTTGGGGGCAAGACGCTGACTCTATAAACCACTTAAGAGAGGGCTTGTAAAGCACTCTGAAGCAGTATATAAATCTAAGTGCTATAGCTCTTTTCCTTTCCTTTCCCTTTCTTTCTCTCTCTCCCTTTCCTTTCTTCCCCTCCTCTCCCCTCCTCTTCCTTTCCTTTCCCTTTCTTTCTCTCCTCCTCTCCTTTTTCTTTCCTTTCCTCTCCTTTCCCTTTCTCTCTCTCTTTCCTTTCTTCCTCTCCTCTCCCTTTCCTTTCCTTTCATCCTCTCCTCTCCCTTTCCTCTCCTCCCCTCTCCCCTCTCCCTTCCTTCCCAGTGGTTAGAATGCAGTATTGCAGGCTAATTCTGCCGACTGCCAGCAGTTCAATCCTGAGTGGCTCAAGGTTGACTCAACCTTCCATCCTTCCAAAGTTGGTAAAATTAAGAACCAGATTGTTGGGGGACAATATGCTGGGTCTGTAAACCCTTAGAGATGGCTGTAAAAGCACTGTGAAGCGATATATATGTCTAAGTGCTATTGCTATTACCTGTTGGGTCCTCCGAGCAAACTCAGAGCCATCTGGCTGGCGCACACACCTGTCATTTCCAACCTCCGTTCGAGAGTCAAACCGTGTTTCTCAGCCACGGAAAGCAGTTTTTTGTGTAGCTCGTAAGAGACGCTTGGGACTACCAAGCCAGAATCTGAAATGCAGAATGGGAAGAGAGTTATCAAGGGGCCCTGAGCAAAAGGAGTAGGGCAGATCCATAATCCAAGTCGTCATCCAAAGGGAGGTCAGGTTTAAGCAATGGGGCTCGACCCTTTTAAACTTGGCCATCCCATCCCAGAGTTCTTTAGGACCATTGACACAATGAGTGGCTTTTTCAGTCATATAAAGCTCAAGGAACTATGGGTGCTCCCAATTCTATACGCCAGCATGTTAACAAGCTTAAGAGAGACTTAGGCAGGTTTCAGAGCTGATGTAGAGAATCCATACCTTCAAAAAGCAGGGGTGTCGTGGGCCTCCAGATGTGGCTGAACTACAGTTAACAACACCTCCGTCATGCTAAAAAAAAGGGGTTACTGAGAATTTCTTCAGCTCCCAGAGCCCATTGTTACAGATTAACAGAGTCGGAAGGGACCTTGTAGGTCATCTAGTCCAACCCCCCACCCAAGCAGGAGACCCTACACCATTTCTGACAGATGGTAGTTCGGTCTCTTCTTGAAGGCCTCCAGTGATGAAGCATCCACAAACTCCAGAAGGCAACTTCAGTTCCATCGGTTGATTGTTCTCTCTGTCAGGAAATTCCTCCTTATTTCTAGGTTGAATCTCTCCTTGATCAGTTTCCATCCATTATTCCTTGTTTGGCCTTCAGGTGCTTTGGAGAATAGCTTGACCTCCCTTCTCTCTGTGGCAGCCCCTCAAGTATTGGAACATTGCTATCATGTCTCCCCTGGTCCTTCTCTTCACTAGACTAGACTAAACTTCTCGAAAGCTTCCAGTGATGAAGCTCCCACAACTTCTGAAGGCAACTTCTGTTCCATCGGTTGATTGTTCTCACTGTCAGGAAATTCCTCCTTATTTCTAGATTGATTTTCTCCTTGATCAGTTTCCATCCATTATTCCTTGCCTGGCCTTCAGGTGCCTTGCAAAATAGCTTGACCCCCCTTCCTCCTCTCTGTAGCAGCCCCTCAAATACAAGAACTTCATTCCTTCTTTAACGCAAAGCTACAGCAAAGAAAGCAAAGAAAAAAGATGATTATTCTGCAAGAGTATTTCAGTAGTCTCGATGCCAAATCTTCAGGGGACCTGAGTAACCACAAGATCGGGTTTTTTTTTTAAAAAAAAATCATGATAGAACCTGGTTTGGTTTTGGCTTTAGAGGGACGAGTGAACTCAATCAAATTGAAGCGAACCGTGACTTGTGAACCCAGTTGGCAACAACCAGTGGCTTAATGTCTCTCGTGAGAAGCTTATTACACAGAAAAAGAGAGTGTAGTGTGACCTTGCATGTTCACAGCCAATTAAAGTCCCCATCTTATCTTTATCGGCTTTATTGCATTAAGTATCAATGCTACGGCTACTTTGTTCTTGAAACCCAAGACTACAACAGTGATAACTTGATTGCAAAAGAACCAGTCCTGCCTGTTCAAAGGCAGAGAGACACCAACGCTGGTTATAATAGGATAGGTAGTCCTCAAGGGGTTATTAAGGGGCCACCACAAAGAAGAAGAGGGGGTCAAGCTATTCTCCAAAGCACCTGAAGACAAGACAAGAAGCAATGGAGGGAAACTAACCAAGGAGGGAAGCAACCTAGAATTAAGGCGAAACTTCCGAACAGTAAGAATAATTCATCAGTGGAACCACTTGCCTTCAGAAGTTGTGGGAGGCTTTTAAGAAGAGACTGGACAACCATCTGTCTGGAATAGTATAGGGCCGTGATGGCGAACCTGGGGCATGTGTGCCAGAGGTGGCACTCAGCACCCTCTCTGTGGGCACGCGAGCCTTCACCCCAGTTTAGCTCCGCCGCGCAGGCCTCCAGCTGGTCTTTGGGTCTCTGCCACGCATGCGTGAGGCATGTACGGGAGGGCGGGGCGTGTGCATAGGGGCAGGGCACATGCGTGGGGCACACACATGCTTGGGGGGGGCAGGCCACTCACGCTTTGCATTTTGGGGGTTCGGGCACGCTTTGGGCACTCGGTCTGGAAAAGGTTAGCCATCCCTGGTATAGGATTTCCTGCTCAAGCAGAGGGTTGGACTTCCCACTCTGTTACAGTTATTCTGTTTTTAAATGCAAACCCGGCGTTCGCTCTGGGCGCAGTTTGGGAAGTGAGCAAACGCTAAGCAACCGGTTGTAACCCGAGGACTACTTGTACTGCCCTTGAGCCCCAAAGGTGGCGAATGGAGGGCGTGCAGGGTTTGGGCTACTCTCCAAGAGAAACAGGCCTCTTTCGACATTCTCGTTTTGCCAGCCTCGCGTGCCTCCGCAGCTCTTGGCTCCCATGTAAGGGGATCTTGTTGGGAACTCGAGAAAGATAAGGTGTGCGATTACACAGCCCCACGGCACGCAAGGACGGGCGCTACACTAAGGGCTGCCGGATGCTTTGTGTTAATTGTTCTCGGACGGGAGCGTGAGAGCACCGAGGATTCCCCTCCCTGCTTCTCTCACTCACGCAAGGGCAACCAGTCGGACCAGCTTATCACAACCAGACGGTCTTAAGTAAACTCAGAAAAGGCGGCGGCAATCTAAAAAGGTAGCGTGTAAAGCTGGAGGGGAAAATATATATATATATATATATAATTACAGAGCTGCAACCAGAGGCTGGCCGAGAGCCAGGTTTAAATTACACCGGGACTGGGAGATAGAAGAGTAGAACGAATCGACTTAGGACTGGATGTGGTTATCGCCGGGGTTGCCAACTCAAAAGGTAGATGCGGCTGATACAGCTTTGCGAGGGGCGCCGAAGGAGGATGTTAGGCTTCCTTTGCTGGGCTCCTGCTTTTCCCTCCAACTCTTTTAATTCCAATTTATTCCAAATCCTGCCCTCATTCGCCCTATGTGTGCCTTATGACGGTTGCTGGCTTCGATTGGTTGCCTGTAAACCCCTAACGGGCTTTTTGCTGGCTTCGATTGGTTGCCTGTAAACCCCTAACAGGCTTTTTGCTGGCTTCGATTGGTTGCCTGTAAACCCCTAACAGGCTTTTTGCCTGCACGAACTATATTTTCCTCCACTCGGCTGCGGTCACCCTCCATTTAAAGGAGAATCATGTGAGAATCACGGCTCTGGCTTTGTGGCCTAATCTGATTTGCTGAAGGCAACTGGGACGCGGTTCACAGGAGCACCAGGGGCCAGCGGCGGCCGGATGCATCCGCTTCCTCCCATCGCTCCTTTGGGGAAAGCATCTAAAGCAGTGTTTCTCAACCTTGGAAGCTTGAAGATGGGTGGACTTCAACTCCCAGAATCCCCTAGCCAGCAGCGCTGGCTGGGGGATTCTGGGAGTTGAAGTCCACCCATCTTCAAGCTACCAAGGTTGAGAAACACTGATCTAAAGTAAATGGAAAGTAGCCACATCGGTACAGGTAGTCCTCCACTTACAACAGCTCGTTTAGTGACCGCACTCAAAAAAGCGACTTATGACCGTTCTTCACACTTACGACCCCCTGCAGCATCCCCATGGTCGTGTGATCAAAATTCAGATGCTTGGCAATTGACTCCTACTTATGAAGGATGCAGCATCACACAATCCCCTTTGGCAACCTGCTGACAAGCAAAGTCAATGGAGAAGCCAGATTCACTTAATGACCGGGTTACTAATTTAACAGCTGCAGCGATTCACTTAACAACAGGGGCGAGGCAGGTTGTAAAATGGGGCAAAACTCACTTGACAGAAATTTTGGGCTCAACTGGGTAATACAGGTAAGCCAAGGACTTACCTGTATTAAACCTTTCTTTTCAAAGCACCCACCCCAAATAGTTTTCTAAGGTTTACAGGAAGCCTTCGACCTACGACCTCAGTTCAACCAAAATTTATGTTGCTAAACGAGACAGCGGTTAGGCGAGGTTCACCCCGTGTTACGACCTTCCCTGCCACTGTTGCTAAGTGAATCAGTACAGTTCTTAAGTTAGCAACATGGCTGTTGAGAGAATCTGGGTTCCCTGTGTACTTTGCTTGCCGGAAGGTTGCAAAAAGGGGACTCTGGGACCAGGGGTGAAATCCAGCAGGTTCTGACAGGTTCTGGAGAACCGGTAGTGGAAATTTTGAGTAGTTCAAAGAACCGGCATATATCTCTGGCTGGCCCCGGAATGGGGTGGGAATGGGGATTTTGCAGTATCCTTCCCCCGGAGTGGGATGGGAATGGAGATTTTGTAGTATCCTTCCCCTGGAGTGGGGTGGGAATGGAGATTTTGCAGTATCCTTCCCCTGGAATGGAGTAGGAATGGGGATTTTGCAGTATCCTTCCCCTGGAGTGGGGTGGGAATGGAGATTTTGCAGTATCCTTCCCCTGGAATGGAGTAGGAATGGGGATTTTGCAGTATCCTTCCCCTGCCACACTCACCAAGCCACACCACGCCCACAGAACCGGTAGTAAAAAAAATTGGATTTCACCACTGCCCGGGACACCGCGACCGTCATAAATACGAGCCAGTTGCCACGCGTCTGAATTTCGATCACGTGACCACGGAGATGCTACAACGTTGGTTAATTGTGAATAAACAGTCCTAAATCCATTTTTTTCAGGGCCCTTTCGACTCGGAAGGGTCACTAAACGAACCGCTGCAACTCGAGGACTACCTGTGATTGTGAAAATCCCGACGTACCGGTGCAGAACTCTTTGCTCGCCTGGGGAACGGTGATCCGTCTGTACACGATGGGCTCTGACTCCAAGATGTTCTCGTCGTGGCGGTAACGGGCGGCCGCCTTCTCGCTGGGCGTGCCTCGGGAGCGGGTGCCGCTCTTCCTCTCATAGGTTTCGATCTCCTCAAACACCGCGGCCTTATCGAAGAGGGCCAGGTTGCCCTCAAAGTCGAAATCGGTATCCAGAATCTCTTCGATGTCGTCCCCAAAGCACTCGTCGTCCTTGTTCTTCATCTGGCCGTTCTTCATGCTGCTTTTTTTCGGGGTCGCCTGGTTGGGATGACGGCTACTGGACGACCCTGAGGGGAAAGACAGGAAACGGAGGTCAGAAGAGCCACAACAACTGATCCCCAAAGGTTGGGGGCTTCTGTCATAGAGAAAGCAGGCAGAGCAGCAGACCGTAACCACATCTACGCCAAGGTGGGACTACTGAGACCACCCAAAAGAAGTCCCTAAGAGAGACTCACACGAGTTGTGCCTGCGGCGGAAGTTTTTGGATGAGTTCAAGGATTCTATGTGCCGGTCCATGTAGCTCTTAGAACAGGGGTGCAGCTGGGGAGAAAGAGCAACCTCTTGAGTCTTCACATCGGTTCTCCTGGGGATGTTCTGCGGAGCACTGCTAGGCTTCTTCAGCAATTTGCCAGTGCCGTTCTGACTGGCACCACCCAGACACTCGAGAGCAGGAATGCCAAGGTCGGGATGCTGGAAGTCTCCACATTGTCCGTTATCTCCAAGGCCTGGAATCTCCAGGATCTTCAGCTCAGTGATATCCCCAGCCCTAAACAGGGGGAGAGGACCAGAGATGAGATTAAATTGGCCATAGTGCTTGCCTCTCATCGCATCCTCTGCCCTGTTTGCCGGCGTGGGATAGAAAAGGAAGAGCTATGCATCTTGAGGGCTTCAGGTTGGGGAAGAGTGCTGTATAGGAACATAAACCATCATGGTTTATCGTTTGACCATCAGAATAGCAATAGCAATCACACTTATATCCCACTTCACAGTCCTTTACAGCCCCCTCTAAGTGTTTTAAAGAAACAGCCTCTTGCCCCCAACAATCTGGGTCTTAATTTTACCCACCTTGGAAGGATGGAAGGCTGAGTCAACCTTGAGCCATTCAGGATTGAACTGTTGGCAGTGGGCAGAGTTAGCCTACAATGCTGCATTGTAACCACTGGGAGGGAGGGAGGGAGGAAGGAAGGAAATCTCTCTAAGTGGTTTAAAGAGTCAGCCTGTTGCCCCCAACTATCTGGATCCTGATTTTACCCACCTCGGAAGGATGGAAGCCCGAGTCAACTTTGAGCCAAACTGAAGGCAGCTGGCAGTAATGGATTCTAACCACTGTGCACTACAGCTCATTACACTATTAGAAGAACCTTTCCCAAAATATAAACATATATTTTATATGTTTACGTGGAGAAAAAAAAAACTGGTCGGTTTGTGAAACCTTTTCTCTGAGATTAGCAGCTGTAAACAATGTTCAGATGCTCCCGAGACAAGCCATTCTTTAACTCCCTTTTGTAAGGATGGACAGACTTCCAGGCTGCTGGGTTTCCAAATAACCCATCTCCCTTATAAACACATATTGCAAAAATAAATTTTAAAATGATAGCAACCCAATTCGACATCAGCCAGAAGCCTTGAAAAATGAAGCATAAACTACATGTACCATAAATCTGTAAAGTTCCCTGCAATGTATATTTTCAGAAAAAACCCTGCAACATTCAGTTTTCAAGCTTCAATGAAGAGTCACGGGGGAGCATTTACCTGAAGGTAACCTCCGGTACCAAACATTTGACTCCGTTATGAAAAGGCCGTGTGAGTGAAATTGTCTGGCTAGCTTGGTTCACCGCAGACACTCTTCCCTGGTAGACTCCCAGGCTGTCTCCACAACTGATCGAGACGATGCTTCCAAGCCAATCCGTAGCCATGATTTCCGTGACTGCTGCAAAACAATCGAAGGGGGTGATGAGCTAACATATATTGCAATAGAAGAGAATATTTGCAGTTCAGGGTGGAAACGTGGAGTCCTTGACGCTCTTTTGAGCTTGGCTGTTTTCCTTGCAGACGTTTCATTACCCATCTAGGGAACATCATCAGTGCTAGGAGGGAATGGGGTTTGTGGAGTGAGTGAGTGAGGAGGAGGAGGTGGTACCCTTGTTGCTCTCTCAACTTGGTGATTTTCTTGCAGACGTTTCATTACATGGCTCAGGGCCAGGGTATCTTCAAGACCGCCTTCTACCGCATAACTCACAACGATCGGTAAGATCCCACAGAGTTGGTCTCCTCCGGGTCCTGTCAGCTAAACAATGCCAGCTGGTGGGCCCGCAGGGGAGGGCTTTCTCTATGGCTGCCTCAGCTCTCTGGAACCAGTTACCTCCTGAAGTCTGGACCATCCCCACCCTATTGGCCTTCCGGAAAGCGGTGAAGACCTGGCTCTTCCGGCAGGTCTGGGGTCGTTGATCTCGCTCTTGCGATCTGGCGAGATCCGGCCATGAATGGTGTGAATGAGTTTTAATGTTTTTAATTCTTAAATGTTTTTATAATGATTTTAAATGCATTGTGAGCCGCCCTGAGTCTTCAGAGAGGGGCGGCCTACAAATCGAATTAATAAATAATAATAAATTACCCATCTAGGGAACGTCATCAGTGCTAGGAGGGAATAGGGTTTGTGGAGTGGAGGAGGACTCTGGGCTCCTTGATGCTCTCCGAGCTTGGTTGCACTGCTGACGTCGGGCGATGAAATGCCCCGCAAGTGAACAACGGGGCTCAAGAGAGCACCAAGGACTCTTGAAATCATTCTTGAAATACCTTGCCTGTAAGGATTAAAATCTTCTTTTTATCCACTCACTACCCAACATCCTGGCACGTAGGTCAGGTTAAGCAAGCGACTGCCCAAAACTTTCTCAATGGGTTGAGTGGTCCGTTCGGTCTACCCCATCAGTCCCCTTTTTATGTCCATCAACCCGTCTGTCCATCCGCCTACCTATCCGACAGACAGGCAGGTGGACAGACAAGGTGTGGGCTGGCTGGGAATTCCTTGAGCTGTTGTCCAACAGGCCTGAAATTGGCTTGAGGTTTTGCAGGATTGGAACCCAGAGCCCGTCTTTATTAACCCCTTTAATTCACAGGGCTGTCAGGGGGAGGATAAAATTTGGGGGGGGGAGGGAAGAGACTCCCCCCTGGAACTGAGGGGGGGCTCCCCTAACTAAGTTCCCTTTTAGGAGGAGGGGGAGCCAGCCACCCCCAGGACCATGTTGGCAACGTGGAGACTCGAACCCGGGTCTTCGCCTTTCGGGATCCCAACCTCTTCATTCTGGTCTATGAACTGAACTGGGGGAAGGAGGGGGGGAGGCTGTGACGTCACTCCCCTCCCAAAGGGGGCGTGGCCGCTCCCCCTCGCGCCCTGCCTCAGCAGCCTCCAGGCGGGAGAGCGGCGGGGCAACCGGGGCCCTGGCCCTCGGAGTGGCGGAGAGGGGGCGCCGGCGGGCCTCCCCGCCCCACGACCGCTTCCACACCTGGGACTCGGAAGCCGAGGAACCGCGGGCTCCAGCCTTCGCCTCGCTCGACTCTTCTCCTCTTCACAGACGCCTTCGCTCCGGAAATGTCGCCCAGCAGAAGGAAGCAGGCGTCACTTCCGCTTCCGCCTCGCTTTAAAAAGGCTCTCTAGGGATGAGGCGCAGAGGCGGTGGCCTTCGTGGGAAAAGGTACTCAGGAGCGCATGCGCGCGAGGCAGGCCGACCAGGGAGTGTTGCGCATGCGCCTTGGAGATGTTAGGACCGCTTGCGGCTTGCCGTTTAAGGCAGAGGTGGGCAAATATGGCCCTTTTGCAACCTGTGGACTTCAACTCCCAGAATTCCTGAGACAGCCAAGCTGACTCAGGAATTCTGGGAGTCGAAGTCCACAGGTTGTAAAAGGGCCACAGTTGCTCACCTCTGGCTTAAGGGAAGCCCAGCTGTCCTTTCTCAATCTTTAAAGGTGTCGGGGCTCCAATTCCCAGAATTCCTCACTTCGCATGCTTTTAAGATGTGTGGACTTCAACTCCCAGAATGCCCCTGATTAGGGACTTATGGGAGTTTTATTCTTCATTCATGTGATTCTATTTTTATAACTGCCAAGTGAGTTTGAAGTCCAGGCGTTTTAAATTTGCTAAGGTTGAGAAATACACCATCATCCAGATCTTGAAATGTGGTCATGTCAATCAGTCAAAACTTTGTGGGGAAGCTTTTTTTTTTTTTTTTGGAATTGAGCAAAATCAGCAAGGATGTGTAAACTGTAAATCCCCAATAATAATAATAATTCAGAAAAGCATCAGGTTACCGTTTTTTTTCATTACTGTTTTCCTAAAGGTTTGTATCCCTTTAAAATAGGATCAGATTTTCCTGTAAAAGAGCAAATGACAAAACTCGCAAGCCGTCTCGTAGAAATCCATTTTTATTTTTATTTTTACAATATATATTATACAATACTTAATAGAGACCTTCTGGCCCATCCACATTTTAATCTCTACGCTAGAATTCGACACGTACATACTTCTGCAGAATCAGTGGCTCTTAGGCAGATAATTTGAGACATAAAGTGCATTTAATCATTCAAAGCACCTTTATCAAGCATAATTCCCTAGTTATCACGCTTAAGATGCCTATGCTTAGCTCATTTTAATTGCAGTTTTCCTCTTAAGAATGTCAAGGAGTATACATACGTACTATTTTCCGCAATTTCTTCTACAAGAAAGCCTGCGAGGTAGATTAAGATAAGAGATAGCGGCTAGTTCAAAGTCATAACCCAAGTGGCCAGTGAAGACAAGTTATGATAGGCTTTAGGTAGCCCCATCATGCCTACTTTCCAGATCGATGCCTTCCCGGTAATCTTGCAACGATTTAGATCCCATCCCTGTCATCTTGCAGAGATCTAGACCAGACCATCCCTATGCCAAGATCTAGATCCAGGTCCTGTTGTCTTGCCAAGATCTAGATTCAGATCCCATCCATGTCTTGCAAAGTTCTAGTTTCACTCCACCCCATTCCCTTGCAAATATCTAGACCCAGGTTGCATCTCTGTCCCCTTGCAAAGATTTAGATCCTGCTTCTACCCCTGTTATTTGCAAAGTTCCAGATGCTATCCCTTTCACACACACAAAAAAAGAATTTTATTTATTTTGTATGGCTGAGCATCTTAGAAAGGAACTGGGATTTGCGCATATGGATGGCCACTTATTTAGGTGTACCTAGATATGTTGATAATATTTGCCTTGCACATGGATGACGAGTCTGAAGGAATCAACCTTTGGCATGCAAAGACGTTGCTGTATAATATACATGGAAATCCTGTCTGCGTTCCAATATCAGTGCGGGGATTTTAGAAATGCCTCGGGGTGGCTTTTCGGCCAGCCCTCCCAATTGTAACAATTCATCATTGCGCTTCTCAGCTCTACCTGCTATAGTTTTATACCTGTGATTTTTGTCATGAAATAACTCCACATTGGAAAGACACTTCCATTCAGTGTGAACTGTCCATCACAAATAAGAGCCTTGGTAGTACAGTGGTCTAAGGCACCCTGTTATTAAGCTGGTTATTAAGACCAGCTGCCTGCAATTACTGCAGGTTCGAATCTCGCCAAGGCTCAAGGTTGACTCAGCCTTCCATCCTTTCAAAGGTAGGTGAAATGAGGACCCAGTTTGTGGGGGCAATAAGCTGACTTTGTATAAATATACAAAAGGATGAAGGCTATTGCTGAGCACATTGTAAGCCGCCCTGAGTCTCCGGAGAAGGGCGGCATATAAATCAAATTTTTTAAAAAAATAAAAAATACATGGGATTATTCAAGGTTCAAATTCAGCGCCTGTTTAGATCGATTTACGTCCCGAGACAATTCAAAGGGTATTCTGTGTTAATTAAAGACCTTATGAGATTATCCCCGAGATATAAATTCCCCATATACTGTAAATATATATATATATATTGCAGCAAGCTAGTAACATCATTGTAGGTGGCTGAGCCACTCCAAAACCAAACAACAAATCAGAATAAGTAACCCCTCGTCCCCCTTCCTGGACAAAGGGTCAGCTTCTGTTCTTTCCGGATTTCCCATGCTAGAAACGGGGTTTGACCCGGAAGTGTTCGCATTTCTTGTACTTCATGGTCAGGCCATACTGCGGGGTTGCATCCATCATCTCTGTGTCAGACAGAGTGAATTCCAGTTTTTGCACCAAAGTGGTCAGAAACAGGAACACCTCCTGTTTTGCAATGCTCTGCCCAATGCATTGCCTTCGCCCCAAGCTGAAAGTCATCACTTTTTCACATTCCGCTCGGTTTATTCCTGTCCCGTCGGTCGTAAGAAATCGTTCCGGGTTGAAAACAGAAGGCTCGTTCCAAAGTTTCCTGGGGAAAGAAAAGCAAACACACCATTCTAGGTTATCTCTTTTTGAAACCCGCAAAGCAGATTAGTGTTGTGGCCCACCAGCGGCCTGCGCGGATCGTGGCTGATCCCGACGACGAGGAGGCTGGTGTGGTGTCACGCCAGCACCGGTGCAACCGGCGCTCGCATCTGGCAGCGAGGAGGCTGAAGAGGATGCCAGAGGCAGAGACTCAGCCAGGGCCTTCAGAACCTCCAGAGGCTCCTTCAAGTGAAGAGAGTGAAGTGGAGGAGCCTCTCCTCAATGCTCGGGCACGCAGGGCTGCCAAAAAGCAGGAATGCCTACTCAGGAGGAGGAGGTCTCCTCGAGAGTAAGGCTTGAGGATAATTGGCCACTCCCTTAGCCTATTTAAGTCACACGCCGTTAGTAAGTTTCTTGCTGGAAACAACTTGTAATTATCATCAGACCATTTTTGGAAAAATCTTATCGTATCTTGTTTTCTGGGCTGGTTGCCAACCTTTGCCAGACTTTGGTTTATTCTTGCTACTTAATAAATTTGATAAGGACTGTTGGTGCGTGTCAATATCCTCGGGAATCCGGAGCTGGGGCAGAACAATTAGGAGAAAGCACTATGTTCCAACATCCTTCGGCTATCCGGATTAAAGCAACTACTACATGACTTCCCAAATTGCCAGCCTGCTCCTTCTGTAATAACCTATGTGGACACACCTACTAAGGGTTTTGTGAAGATGTCAGCTGTGGTCCACCAGCAGCCTGCGGAGCTGGCAGAGGAGTCGGCCAGCGATGAGGCTGAGGAAGAACATGGACCAGTCCTGGAGGTGGGGAAGGCCCGGATGAGGAAAATCTCTGATTCAGTTCCACAAAGGTGGGTCTTTTAAATGTGCAGTAGTATCCTAGTAGCCCTTACTACAACCTTACTACAATTTTCTCCCCTTTCTTTTAAATTTTTAAACTGAAATTTTAATTTGTTTTAAATTATTGGGAGTTTTAATTGTCTTGGGCTAAATTATTTAATTGGGTTTTAAATTGTTTCTAACTTTTGTATTTATGTGTTTTATTCTGTGCCTGTTCACCGCTCTGAGTCCTTCGGGAGTAGGGCGATAGATAAATTTAGTAAAACAAAACAAACATAAAACAAACAACCCTTTAAAGCAGCCGTGTCCGAATGACATCTAAGGCGCTGCATGACCCTAAATGCAACCCAGATTTTGATCCATTGCATGTACAATTCTATTATCTTGCTTGCCTTGGCAGGTAGTTGTAGAGCTGTTCTTGGCAATACTTACGGATCATGGTTGACCTGCCATTGGTTCACAAACACGCAGGTATCGTTAGGAATATAGAAGCCATTCAGAGCTGTGTCCCTGGTGGTGCTAAAGAGAAAGAAAATATTTGCGGTAACAGACTGAATACTATTAATAGAATCACATGAATACAGTGGGTTCTTTTGATAAGATTGAATAAACTTTTTTAAAAAACATGGAAGTTAAACACATAGCAGGCCTAGCTATTGGCAAACTACTCTCTCCTGCTAGTCACTAATAATATTTTCTGCAACCCTGGAGCAGGGGTGAAATCCAGCAGGTTCGGAAGTACTCGTAGCAGAAATTTGGATAGCTCTGCAGACAAGGCACTGTAATTTAACACCAGCTGTCTGCAATTAAAGTAAGTTCGAATCTTGCCAGGCTCAAGGTTGACTCAGCCTTCCATCCTTTCTAAGGTTGGTAAATTGAGGACCCAGTTTGTGGGGGCAATAAGGTGACTTTGTATAAAATATACAAAAGTATGAAGGCTATTGCTTAACGCACTGTAAGCCACCCTGAGTCTCCGGAGAAGGGCAGCATATAAATCAAAAAAAATTTTTTTAAAAAAATTTGAGTAGTTCAGAGAACCAGCAAATGCCACCTCTGGCTGGCCCCAGAGTGGGGTGGGAACGGACATTTTGCAATATCCTTCCCCCAGGAGTGGGGAGGGAATGGGGATTTTGCAATATCCTTCTCTTGCCACGCCCACCAAGCCATGGCCCACAAAAATACAGTATTTGTTCCAAACACTGGGAAAAAAAACACCCTCAAAAGTGATGGTGGTATCTCAAGATGCCTCAGATGATCCTGGATCACTTGCCAACTCCTTTGTGTCACAGTGAGCTCTGATTTTCTACCATAAATTACTCTCCAGCCAGTTCAATCTTACCAATGTGGGATTGTGAAGGGAATGAAGGACGAATGCCTGAACATCTCGTACATAAAAGCTTCAGAGTAAGGGAGCATGGCACGGTCCGATTGCTTGGGGGTCCTTTCCCTTCCAATGATTTGGTCTGTGGGTCAGGAGAAAAACAGAAATGAGAGTCAGTTTAATCTACTGGTGACGGCATTTAAAGAGGAGACGGTGAGTTCAAGTCCCACGAAAGCCAGCTAGATAACTTTGAAATAAGAGGTGTGTTGGATACAGGTGTGAAATCCAACAGGTTCTGGAGAACCAGTAGCAGAAATTTTGAGTAGTATGGAGAACTGGCAAATACCACCTCTGGCTGGCCCCAGAGTGGGGTGGGAATGGGGATTTTGCAATATCCTTCCCCTGGAATGGGGTGGGAATGGGGATTTTGCGGTATTCTTCCCCTGGAATGGGGTGGGAATGGGGATTTTGCGGTATCCTTCCCCTGGAATGGGGTGGGAATGGGGATTTTGCAGTATCCTTCCCCTACCACGCCCACCAAGCCATGCCCACCAAACCACGCCCAGAGAACCGGTAGTAAAAAAAAAATTGGATTTCACCACCGGTTGGATATATTCACCGCCTTGGGTTATTTGTAAAAAAAATAATAATAATACGAGCGGGATACAAACAAGTAAATAAATAAGAACAGAAGATGGATGGAAAGCCACTCTTGGAAAGGGAATGTCAGGGTGCCAAGGAGCACCCCCAACAAAATAAAGCTCTTTTAAAAGTCAACGGATTTGGATTTACCTAGTTCTTCTTGAATTCTCCTCTGGATTTCTGGGTAAGTCACCAGATAGAGAAGGCACCAGGACAGAGCAGTCGTGACGGTATCAAATCCTGAACAGACACAAAAAGAAAAAAAAGAAAAAGGGAGGGGGGGGGGAAGCACTTAAGCATCAAACGTAGAATTGCCGATTGGGACTGGGTTCTTTGGATGATGTGAAATGCTTTCGTTTAACCGTGGAGCATGTGAGCCATATATAATGCTAACTCCTGAAGGGCGGTGAGGCTGCCTGGCTTCAAACGTTCTGCTAAGCCACCATTCCTTAGCTCAGTTTGGAGAATTTAATCAAGCACGGTCAGAAAGTGGCTTGAGGGAATGGCATCGGTTTTGCAAGTTGCCAAAGGCTTTTTAGCCTGAAATCACATAATCAAACGGCATTAAAAGCAGTATTTCTCAACCCTGGGCCACTTGGAAATTGCCAAGTATTTGCAAGCCATTGGCACATGTGTCACATAGACACCAGTGGAGGCAGAGAGTGTCTCCACCCCTATGTGGAAAGAAGGGGCTTACCCTGAATATAAAACCCCCTCCAACCTTTTCCACCTCTCTCGCTCTCTCCTTCTCTCTCTCCATCTCTCTCTTTTCAGAGACTTGATCTCTGTTGTACATAGTTAATATGATTTATCATATGAATAAAGACGTTTAAGACATTTATTTACGCATCTGCCTCTGAACTCTTCTATGCTCCTGGGTGTTTCTACGATCCCAATTCCACAGAAATATATGGTCTTCAAATCCCAGAATTCTGGGAGATGAAGTCCACATATCTTCAAGTGGTCCAGGATGAGAAACACTGATCTCAAAGATCTCCAAATCATCTTCTTTTAATCTCTTGCGGGGTGGAGTCAGCTTCAACCACAACAATACACGAGCAAATAATAGATACAAACTCAAGGTAAATTGTTCCAAACTCAATTGCAGAAAATATGACTTCTGTAACAGAGTGGTCAATGCCTGGAATGCACTACCTGACTCTATAGTTTCTTCCCCAAACCCCCAAAACTTTAAGGTAGTGCATTCCAGGCATTGACCACTCTGTTACAGAAGTCATATTTTCTGCAATTGAGTTTGGAACGGTTTACCTTGAGTTTGTATCTATTATTTGCTCGTGTATTGTTGTTGTTAAATGGATAGTAGTGAAATCGTCGTGGGAAGAAGAACAAGGAGCTTGCATTGTAGGAGAAGGGTTTCTTACCAGCTCCAAAGAGTTCGTTGACGATACCAACAATGTTCTGGTCCTTTAGAGCATCGTTGGCATTTAAGTTCGTTTTTTTATCCTGGCAGAAGCTGATGAGGGAGTCCGTGATATCTCGGATGTTATTCTGCAATACAGACCAGAAGGACAGATGATGTCACACCAACTTCCAGCCCAAACAACTCCCAATTTCATGAAGGAATCAATGTTATTATTTCGATGACCACGTGCCAAACATTTTTCTGCAACTAGGAGGTCATTAGGAGTCGTTCTCACTGAGTATTGGTTAACAGTAACAGAGTTGGAAGGGACCTTAGAGGTCATCTAGTCCAACCCCCTGCTCACGCAGGAGACCTGTACTAGGGATTCGAACTGCCGACCTTTCTGATTGACAAGCTCGGTGTCTTAGCCACTAACAGTGACTCCAGGGGAAGGATACTGTAAAATCTCCATTCCCACCCCAATCCAGGGGAAGGTTACTTCAAAATCCCCATTTCCTCCCAATCAGTTGGGACTCGGGAGGCAGAGAATAGATGGGGGTGGGGCCAGTCAGACTGTTTACTACCGGTTCTACAAACTACTCAAAATTTCCGTTACCGGTTCTCCAGAACTGGTCAGAACCTGGTGAAACACATCTCTGGTTGTATTGTGTTAGGGAGTGGGGTGCACGAAGTGTCAGCGTTCCAGAAGAACCCAACTTCAATTAAAAAACTAACATGGAAGCCATATTATCACCGGAAGCTTCCACGCTGACACGAAGGGTGGCTCAGCCAATCTCACAGTACACCTGTTGTACTCTGACAATAAAGATTTGACTTGGATTGAATTGAATCAACACACCTTGTCAAAGCCCTGGTAATGTTCTTCCACCAGCTTCCGCATCAGCACGTTGAATCTCCGGTTGAGATCTTTGAAGACTTCCATGCTGCGGTTGGGAAGATATCGGAGGATTGGGAAGAAATCCGCCGGATTTCCAGAGGCGGCCACCAGCCCGAAATCATTGTTGATGTCCACTATCTTCAGAAGTTCTTGATCCTCGTGGTCGTAACGCTTCCCGAAACACATGGCACAGATGACATTGACGACGGAGATGACCACGTACTGGAAGGGCTCAAAACTCTCCTTCTCTTTCATCAGATCCTGGAATTTCATGACCAGGTACTCTGCTTCCTTGGAGACGTGTTCCTCCAGCAGGCAAGTCGAGGAGTTTGGGCTGGTTGAGCCCCCAAAGGTCTTGAGAGCGTTCTGAGCCAGCTTTCGGCGAACGCGCCAACTTTCCTCGGAATTCCTACCGAAGGTGAAGGTCTGGCCATCACCGATGAACTTGAAGCTGTAGAGATCGGGACGTCCCGCAAAATCGCTCCCTTGCTTCACTAGAGCTTGCTTGATGGTTTCCAACCCACTCAACACCACCACCGGCCTTGAGCCAAGATGAATGAGCATGACGTCTCCATACTTCTGGCTCAGCCGGGTCAAAGCCAGGTGAGGGTTTTTCCCGAGGTCAAAGATGTTTCCGATAAAGGGATACCCTCTCGGCCCTCGGAGCTTCCTTAACCCCGCTGGGATCCGTTGCCGGATTTTGAGGAGAAGCAGCAGCAGGCAGAAAACAGCAGTGCCGATCAGGATTTCCGGGACAGAGACCATGTTTCCGTTTCTGATCAAGGCAGACGTCATCGTCCTAAATATTATGGTCTGCTGGGGAGCGAAGAAGCAAGGAACGGGAATGAGTTTTAATATTTCTAGATCTATTCTCTGTTGCGTTCATCTTTGCAACTTTGTAAAAACGCTTCTTTTATGTATAGCAAATAGCACTTAGACTTATATACCACTTCACAATGCTTTACAGCCCTCAACAATCTGGGTCCTCATTTTACCCACCTTGGAAGGATGGAAGGCTGAGTCAACCTTGAGTCGTTCAGGATTGAACTGCTGGCAGTGGGCAGAGTTAGCCTGCAATGCTGCATTCTAACCAATAGGAAGGAAGGAGGGAGGGAAGGAGGGAGGGAAGGAAGGAAGGAAGGAAGGAAGGAAGGAAGGAAGGAAGGAAGGGAAGGATTACAGCATGATAAAGGGAGGGAGAGAGGAAGATGGGAAGCAAGGAAAGAAGGACAGACTAGAGCACGAGGAAGGGAGGGAGAGAGGAAAGATGGAGGGAGGGAGGGAGGGAGGGAGGGAGAGGGAAGGAAGGAAGGAAGGAAGGAAGGAAGGAAGGAAGGAAGGAAGGAAGGAAGATAGCAATAGCACTTAGATTTAAATGCCGCTTTATAGTGCTTTTACAGCCCACTCTAAGCGGTTTTACAGAGTCAGCCTGTTGCCCCCAACAATCTGGGTCCTCATTTTACCCACCTTGGAAGGATGGAAGGCTGAGTCAACCTTGAGCCAGTCAGGATCGAACTCCAGACTGTGGGCAGAGTTAGCCTGCAATACTGCATTCTAATCACTGGGAAGGAAGGAAGGAAGGAAGGAAGGAAGGAAGGAAGGAAGGAAGGAGACAAAGGAGATAGGCTAGGAGAGCAGGAAGAAAGAAAGAGGCAGGCAGGGAGGAAGGAAGGGAAGGAAGGAAGGAAGGAAGATAGCAATAGCACTTAGACTTATATACCGCTTCACAGTGCTTTTACAGCCTTCTCTAAGCGATTTACAGAGTCAGCCTCTTGCCCCCAACAATCTGGCACCTCATTTTACCCACCTCGGAAGGACGGAAGGCTGAGTCAACCTTGAGCCTGGTGAGATTCGATCTGCAAACTGCTGGCATCTGGTCCTGAGTGTCATAATTCAAGGACTAAATCTGCAGATCCGTAGAGACCCACCCTCACCTACAAAAGGACCCTTCCAGGTGTTTCAGCACAGGTGCCAATCCGAATTCGTCCTCTTAACGGAGAGGGGGACACCGAGAGAATCCAGATCCTGCCTTTTATAGTTTATTTTATTGATTTTATTCATTATTCTATTCCTTATTTCTGTGAATAAAAGAAGCGATGGCAGCCAGCAGCATTTTTTTTTTAAAAAAAATTTGATTTATATGCCGCCCTTCTCCGGAGACTCAGGACGGCTTACAATGCACTAAGCAATAGCCTTCATCCTTTTTGTATATTTATACAAAGTCAGCTTATTGCCCCCACAATCCGGGTCCTCATTTCACCTACCTTTGAAAGGATGGAAGGCTGAGTCAACCTTGAGCCTGGTGAGATTTGAACTTGCAATAATTGCAGGCAGCTGGTGTTATCTTAACAGTGCTTTAGTTTGAAGGCTGCAGAGTATTTTTTTTTTTTAATTTGATTTATATGCCGCCCTTCTCCGGAGACGAAGGCGTTAAGCAATAGCCTTCATCCTTTTTGTATATTTATACAAAGTCAGCTTATTGCCCCCACAAACTGGGTCCTCAATTTACCCACCTTAGAAAGGATGGAAGGCTGAGTCAACCTTGAGCCTTGGCGAGATTCGAACCCTGCAGTAATTGCAGGCAGCTGGTCTTAATAACCAGCTTAATAACAGGGTGCCTTAGACCCCTGTACTACCAAGGCTCTTATTTGAATAATAATAATAATAATAATAATATTCAAATAATAATATTTGAATAATAAATAATAATAATATTCAAATAATAATATTTGAATAATAATAAAATAATAATATTCAAATAATAATATTTGAATAATAATAATAATAATAATAATAAAAAATCGCTTACCCCCAAAAAAAGCCACCGGATCGAGTCTAAATGAAAAGGCAGGGATTTGCAGAAGGAGGAGGAACACGCGTGGGTTCACCCACAGCCCACGGGGCACGGATCTCCGACCTGGGATTCGCTCGCTCGCTGGCCCGGCCGGCTGCGAAAACGGCTTCACTCCGGCGTGGCTCCGCTTTTGCCCAGCAGCTTCTCCGACCGAGATGCCCGGGATGAGAAGCGGAGCGCAGGACTTGCCTTGCTTTAAAGCACCCGCTCGGCTCCCAGCTTTATATGCCCCTCCTCGGGCTCGGATTGGCCGGGAGGTTTCGCCTCACGTGACAGCCCTTCTTTTTCTTTTTCTTTTTCTTCTTCTTCTTCTTTTTCTTCTTCCCCAGGTTGGATTTCGCCCAGGGCCAGAGGCGACTGGTGCAATGCTGGGGCGCGATTCTTCCCTGGTTGTCAATGGGTTTACTTTACGCACAGGGAAAAGCGGCGTCTGGGCACCGGGCGCTTTCTTTGCCTGGAAAGCTCATTCTTTCTCTCCCTTGAGATAGAGAGTAGAGTAGAATATAGCATAGCATAGCATAGCATAGCATAGCAAAGAAAAGAAAAGAAAAGAAAAGAAAAGAAAAGAAAAGAAAAGAAAGAGAAAAACAAAGAAAAGAAAAACGAAAAGAAAAGAATAGTAGAATAGAATAGAAGAATAGAATAGAAAAGAATAGAACAGAACAGAAGAATAGAATAGAATAGAATAATAGAATAGAAATAAGAATAGAATAGAAGAATAGAATAGTAGAATAGAATAGAATAGAAGAATAAAATAGAATAGAATAGAATAGAATAATAGAATAGAAATAAGAATAGAACAGAATAGAACAGAATAGAACAGAATAGAATAGAATAGAATAGAATAGATTAGAATAATAGAATAGAAATACTAATAGAATAGAAGAATAGAATAGAAGAATAGAATAGAATAGAATAGAAAAGAATAGAATAGAAGAATAGAATAATAATAGAATAGAATAGAAGAATAGAATAGAAATAATAAAATAGAATAGAAGAATAGAATAGAATAGTAGAATAGACTAGAAGAATAAAATAGAAAAGAAAAGAATAGAAGAATAGAATAGAATATAAGAATAGAATAGAATCGAATAGAAACAATAATAGAATAGAAGAATAGAATAGTAGAATAGAATAGAATAGAATAGAAGAATAGGATAGAATAGAATAGAATAGAAAAGAAAAGAAGAATAGAATAGAAATAAGAATAGAATAGAATAGAATAGAAGAATAGTATAGTATAGTATAGTATAGTATAGTATAGTATAGTATAGTATAGTATAGAATAGAATAGAATAGAATAGAATAGAATAACACAGTTGGAAGGGACCTTGGAGGTCTTCTAGTCCAACCCCCTGCTTAGGCAGAAAACCCTTATACCCGTGATGGTGAACCTATGGCAAGCAATTGGCGACTGTGATCCCCCCCCACTCTATTCCCTTGATATGCTCTCCATCTCTAGTGGGGGCGAGTCGGTAGATCAATTTAGAAGAAAGTTGTGTTTTTTCTAGATTTTATTGATTTTCTGTTCTTTACATTTTGTTAGTGCTTATAAATATCATGTTGTCCGGGTTATTTAATTTGCTTAACCATACAGATTACATTCTTAATCTCCACCTCTTCGTTTTCCCGATGTTATTATACCCAATAAATATAGTTCAGGTGTCAAATCTACATATTTTTCCTATCTTTTCTAACCACTTATGTATTTTCCAATTTTTTTTTTTTATTTTAGCACAAGTCTGCCACATATGGTAATAGGTGCCCGTTTTTGGGGTGACATTTCCAACATTTGCTAGACATATTTTTCAACGTTTCAGCTAACCTAGGAGGTGGGCGAGTGGCACCTATAGAACATTTTATACAAATTTTCTTTGTAAGTTAAGTTGCCATTGTCAATTTATAGTTCCTTTTCTTCATTACTTTTTCATCAGAGTTTCAACAACAGATTCCCCTGCTTTTGTTCTGCTTTTTCCTTCGTGACATTTCAGCTGCCTTCCCTAAACCAGGGGCCTTTGAGTGCATTGGATCACCAGTCCCATCATCCCCAACCGACACAGCTGAATGAGGCAGGGATTGTAATTGTGAGGCACCTTCAGAGGCTCAGATTTCCGCGGGTTATCGGCCCAGCCTACTAACTAAACCATCAACCAGGGTTAAGGGATTATGTTTAACAGAACGACAGAAAACAAGCAAGCTCAGAGAGCACCAAGGACCCCACAGTTGTCCTCCTCCTCCTCCTCCTCCTCCTCCTCCTCCTCCTCCTCCTCCTCCTCCTCCTCCCAGAAAACCCTCCTCCCTTCTAGCACTGATGATGTTACCTAGTGGGGTAATGAAAAGTCTGCCAGAAAACAAGCAAGCACAGAGAGCACCAAGGACCTCACAGTCCTCCTTCTAGCACTGATGATGTTACCTAGTGGGGTAATGAAATGTTTGCCAGAACAAGCAAGCTCAGAGAGCACCAAGGACCCTTCACTTCAACTCGACCTACAAATATTCTCCTTGACTGAAATCAGAACAGGAACGATAAACTGTAATAGATTCGGAAGCCCCCTCCTCAAAAATCAAACAAAAGTGACGATTCACGCCGCCTCCTTCAAAACCCTGAACCCGAGCCACAAATCGCTCCGTTTCCAAATCTTGACAATTGTGCAAAGCCGCAGTTGTGCCTGTTTATTTCGGTTTAGCCATGTCTTATCAAGGTTTTGCAAAGCCACAGGCTCAGAAACAGCCCTCACCTCACCGATGCACAAACACACACGTTGCCTTATCTCTCTGGTTTATCTTATCTGGCTCTTTCAAGATTCCCCTTTTTCATGCTTTGATATTTTTTATTTATTTATTTATTTTATTTACCCCTGGGGTAAAGATGTCTGGAGCCTCCTTTTTGTCCAGCCCTGGAGCAAAAGGGAGGAGAGGGAAGGGAGATGTTTGCTCAGAATTTGCGTGAGAAGCTCCAAGGCCAACCTTTGCCCTCTGTGCCTGCTGACTTTTCCGGGGAAACAAAAGTGGGAAGCAATCGGGAACGCCCAGGCCAGGAAAAAGGAGGGCCTGAACTTCCTGAACAAGAGGGCACCACTGCGGTGGCACGAAGGAGCAGCACATGCACACATACCGTAGCCCTAAATTAAGAGTGAATTTAAATTTAATCAGAAAATCCCCCCCTCCCCTCCGGGCTTTTTCAGCAAGCCTTAAATGCGTGACTCAGCACATCAACCACTTCTATCTAGAACTGATTTTTCACTTGGTCCGTTTCCAAAAAAGCTCCTTGTAGGAATGATCTAATCCAGTTGTGTTTCAAATTTATTTTTTATTTATTTATTTTATTCATATTTATATGCCGCCCTTCTCCCGAAGGACTCACAACAATAAAAACAACCAAACAATAAGTTAATGCTAAAATAATCCAATTAAAATCCCCAACAGTTAAATTAAAAACTCCCAGCAGATCAAGAGATTTGCTGAAGAAGCCATGTCTTCAGGCCACCGCGGAAAAAGCGGAGGTCGGAGTCCATGGGCTCTTTTAAAATAAGTGGACTTCAACTCCCAGAATTCCCCTGGCTGGCTGGGGAATTCTGGGAGTCGAAGGCCACAGATTTTAAATACCGTGTTTCCCCGAAAATAAGACCCTGTCTTATTATTTTTTTTGAACCCCGAAATAAGCACTTGGCCTTATTTTCAGGGAGGTCTTATTATTTTGGGGGCAGGTGGAGCAAGATGGGGCTCCTCTTGCCATCTTACCTGATTTCCAGCTCTGTGGTTAAATATTTTCGGGGAGGGCTTATTTTTGGGGGGGAGGCTTATTTTAGCGCATGCACTCAAAAGCCCGATTGGGCTTATAATTATCAGGGGATGTCTTATTTTTGGGGAATTATTTTATTTATTTATTTATTTATATTATTCATTTTTCTTCCCCGAATCATAAATGTGCTTTCACATCTCAAATGCACTCTACCTTGGGAAATTTCCAAAAGCGAATGTGCGACGGTGTAATTCAGTGTGTTTCAAATTTGGCTACTTTAAGATGGGTAGTAGACTTCAACTCCCAGCATTGCCCTGGCTGGAGAATTGGCTGCGGGATTCTGGGAGCTGAAGTCCACACATTTTAAACATTATTTTTATTATTAATAATAATAATTTTAATTTTAAACACATTATTCCAGATCTTTAACATGTTTTCACATCTCAAATGTATTTTAAATTGGTACATTTTCTAGGGGTAATATATGATGGCCTAATCCAGTGTGTTTCAAACTTTTAAACGTCCTGGCCGGGGAATTCTGAGAGCTGAAGTCCACGACAACTCTTAAAAGTTATTAACTAGTGGAACAAGGTTGCCTTCAGAAGCTGTGGCTACTTCGTCATTGGAGGTTTTAAGAGGAGACTGGACAGTCACTTGTCTGAAATGGCATAGGGCAGTGATGGTTAACCTTTTCGCCGTCGCGTGCCAAAAGTTGGGGGGGAGGGGGGGATCGTGCGCATGTGTGCCCACACCCATAATTCAATGCCCACCCGTGCTCTGCCCTCTTGCGCACGTGCATGTGCTCCCCCCACGCTCCCCCCACTTTTGGCATGTGATGGCACAGTGGGCCCATTTTTTCACTCTCCCCAGCCTCCAGAGGCTTTCTAGGAGCCTGGGGAGGGCAAAAACAGCCTTCCTCAAACCCACCCGGAGGCCCTCTGGAGGCCGGAAACAGCCCATTTCCCGACTTCCGGTGGGCCCGGAAGGCCCCGAAATCAGCTGGCCGGTGGGCACGTGTGTGCTGGAGCTGAGCTAGGGCAACGCTCATGTGCCCTCAGATATGGCTCCACGTGCCACCTGTGGCACCCGTGCCATAGGTTCGCCATCACAGGTATAGGATCTCCTGCTTGAGCAAAGTGTTAGAAGACCTCCAAGGTCTCTTCCAGCTCTATTCCGATGGATGGATGGATGGATGGATGGATCACGGGAGGTTTTTAAGAAGAGACTGGACAATCCCGTATCTGAAATGGTCTAGGCTAGTGTCTCCTGCTTGAGTAGGGGGCTGGACTAGAAGACCTCCAAGGTCCCTTCAGCTCTATTCTGATTGATTGATTGATTGATTGATCGATCGATCACTGGAGGTTGTTAAGACAAGACTGAACAGCCACCAGCTCGAAATGGTCTAGCCTACCGTCTCCTGTTTCGCAGGGGGCTGGACTAGA